CACATCGATAGTACTTATAGTATACCGTGGTAAGGGGATATCCAGCCCATTCAGTTTGCTTACTTAGTAAAGTACAAAAATCGAAGCTGCCTTAAATAATGTTTAAGCATTGCCATATGAGATTACCAAACATATCTAGGACGTTTTAAAAGTTTTCCGGGAGTTAATGGAGCACTTGTGGGGAAAGATATTTCAGACGGCCCGCCAAGCACATCAATAAGCGTGCATGAATTTTTACATTCTTAAACAACTTCCTGTACATGATAGCTCAGGTAGGCTTGTTGAAACCTCTTAATCTCCGTCTTTACAATTGGCACTTCTAGGCTTGAGAAACCAAACACATATTCCAAACCTCGTAGAATGATACAAGGTGAAAATATCAGTTCTCATAGCATGGCACCGCTGCGGCGCTTGCTTTCACTTTTCTGCAATGTGCGCATCTTCCCTAATTTCATCTTTTTTATATATTTTTTCCTTGTTGAGATATAAATACTGTCAAGGTTCTCGTAAGCTGCAATGGCTATTTTTCTTCGACAGAAAGTGGGAATGAAAGGGCAATCCACAGGCTGAGCTGGACATAGACATGCCGCCACCCTTTTTGATTTCGTGATTGTTTATTTAGTATAGACAGGGTCACTATGGACATTAGAAATGATTACCACATGACGATCCGTGCACATGATAGAAAGGAAGAAGCTATAGACAACCTGTGATTACCAGGAGGCGCTACCAGAGCTAGAGCTCATGTGTTGCCGCCTTCAAGAGCAGTAGCCTTTCCCTTTCCTTTTCTTTTGCTGACAAGTTCTATGTTGTCCACATGCGTGATGTCTCGTCTGAGTTTGTTACACAGTTATCCAAAATCAAGAGAGGGAGCCACTACTCTTTGCCTGGCAGCAATATTAAACGTGGGCGACCAAGTCTCTTAATGTCTTGAAGGCATTAGGAGACTTTGCCTGTGTGCTAACCCAACTAAGAAGTGTGTTTTACTGACCTGTAAGGTGTGTCCAAAAATAGATGGTTTAACCCTGGAATCATTGCCAACGAAGGAAAACAAAGAAATCGAAGTAGCTTTGTGGGAATCTAGCGAACTGCTAAAGGAAGAAATGGGAAGTAATGCATTTTGTAATGAGCTAGGAAAGTGTGTAGCAAAGTACTTCCCCGATTAATTCATCCGACATGCTCAGCGGCTTGCTATAAGCTCAGAAAAGTTGCATTTCAAAGCTCACACCATCGTATTGCATTTCGATTTTGTGGAAAAGTGGAGCGTCATGGGAAAGTGGAGCGTCATTTTGTGGAAAGTGGAGCGCCTATTTAAAGAAAAGTTGTGAACCTTAAGATTTTATAAGTGAACTGGACATGTGTATAACTTTTTTTAAAATGAGGCATACCAGTCATGCCTCATTTTTACTAAATGGTACTTGATGTATATTATAAATACTACGGTCACGTTACAAGCATATATATCCTCCTCAGACCTGGTGCCAATTACGCGTATTGATTTTAATGAACAAGTGATCCCTGAAGACATTTTGATTAGAAGAGTTGAACCAAAAAAGGATTACAGCCTTAAGCCCTGTAGGTTTCATGCAGGAGCATGTGCATTCTAATGCACATTGGGTCTCAATGTACACAAAATTTGACGGTGCACAGGCTGCTTGCTGTATTTATTTCAACTTACTACAACATGAAACTGAGTGCTTACATAGTATGAAATTGCTTGTAACAGTTTCGAGATGCGGTTATACAAAGAAAAATGTTGCATCTGGAGCATCTGAATTTCGTGCGCTGTGAGCACCCTGGATTGCGGCACCTTGATGAAGAGACTTGATTCACAAGCTCAGGTAGATGCTTTGCTTGTGCCGTTCTTTGGCACCTTGATGAAGACACAAATTATTCTTGCTTGGTGCAGCATCGTGAAGAAAGGTGCGAGCGTCTGGCAGTACGAAAACACGCTTTCTGGCAGCAGTGTTTCTGCAAACAAAGTAGTTTTTGGGAAAACACTTTCTGCTCTGCGCCATAGATGCGGAGCAGAGGACCTTCACAACACAGTATATTTTTACATCTCCCCCCCCCCCCCCCCCTCCCCTTTTTTTTTTTCTTTTTTCGATGCTCCTCCAGAGAATACCTATTATTACTGAGGGACTCCCTCCTCTGTTTGGACATGCTAATTCAACAATTATAGTTGTGTCATTTGTTAACAGTAATCCTCCATTTCTTTATTTTGACACCCTAAAACTGTGAAGTTTAAACAAAATATGGAGGTGGTCTAAGTTTACGGAAGAAGTTGTGAGCGACACTCCTGTGAGATTTAAAGTGGCCTCAAACGTTCGGCTGTCCCTCTGAGGCTACTTGAATCTTTATTTTCATGTATTCCCTTTGTACACACCTGTAGTTCTATTTACCGTTGAATTAATAAGTCACATTTAGTCCTTTCAATGCTTCTATTCTCGGGGACAACTTTCTGAGGCAGTTCAGCAACAACGAAAACATGTTTGGGTGCCTCAATGATGTGTACATGTAAAATGGTCGTGCAACAATTTTTGTACTTTCAGTAAATACCGCTAAGAGCTAATCCCTGACGTTGATAGCTTGCAAAAATACCCGTCGGTTTTCCTCTCCGCTCAATGGCAGACACAGAAAAAATCAAGAAAAGAAACAGCTTTCCCCTTCTCAACTCGATATTAGAACAAGTGGCCACGTGACGTGACGCTAGTTATATACCATCAGTGTTCATCATAGTCATGCGCTGGAGTTGGCAAAGAATAAAGCATGGGCTGAGCTTTAGACATTATTGGAGTTCGGCTATTCTCATCTCTAATTAAACACGATCCAATACCCGAGTGTTTGGCGATGCAGATTGTCACTCGACTCGGGCTCCTGACATTTGAGTATGTCACAGTGTCACGCGACTTGCGGTGAAAAGTCGTGACGCCATGTGACGTCACGGTTTCGGCAATGCCAATAAATCTAGTGACGTTCTCAATTGAAGTCGACGCAGTGAGTCACGTGACTACATCGCTGGACCATGTGACGTCGCATTACTTGACAGCGTGTCTTGGCACCATGACGCGATATGGCCATGTGACACATGATTAATCATAGAGCCAATCTAACAGTGCCACAAAAACCCACAATTTCTCATACATTGCAATTCGGTATATGACTACATATAAATACAGCTGCCAATTTTTGTTTCTCGAACATTGTTTTGTAATATTTAAAAAAAAAGCCATGAACTGTTTTGAACCAGTCACCGTTATATTTTTTCCGGTTCAGTTATGGTTCGGCTAAAATAATGGTTTGGTTCCGGTTCGACACTATCACTCGACACTCTTGGGGGATATATTGCATTTGTCTGAGCTGTTCTGTTTGGGCGGACACACAAGCGCTGTTTTGTTTCACGATGTGGGCGAGTAATAAAATTGAAAGTATAGTACCTGTGGTTTCTGTTTTACGTCTTACTTTGTCCATGTCAGGAACAGACGCTTGATTGCATTCCGAAAGAAAAAAGTCTGGCTCTCAAACTTCGAAATTGGCGTGTCTGAAATTGATTTGGAACCGAACCGGTTCAGTTCCATGCAAAAAGATCCCTCCCATTCTGAAGTCCTCCGCTGACACAAACTTGAAAAATTTTCAAAATTCATGTTTTTCTTCTTTTTCTTTTAGTTTGTCTGTGAGTTTTGGCTGGAGTTTGTTCAGAACTCTAACATAAACCGTCTGTTTGCAAGCTCGCACGCACACGAAAATTTTCATCAGCAAGCAATTCTGCTCTAACTCAAAAACACAACAACTATTATTTTATGTATTAAACAGTCTGAGTTATGAAAACCCGCGTCCAGGCTAAAATAAAAAGTTATATTTGTGTGAATATTAATTGATATTTCAATCAATCTTTATTTACGTAATAAATCAAGTGTGATTCGTTCGATTCAGTATTTTCACTACCCGGAAGAGTCGGATATATGTTCATCTTCGATTTCAAAATTAAGCAATCGTAGTGTTGAGCATGAAATCAATGCGCGCCTGGCAGAGACTGTTCGCACTCAATGGCCGCGGCTCGCTGCTTCCTTCATTTCGCAAAGATCTGCCACAGCAAAGTTCCCCGGTCAATTGCAAAGCATTACAGCACTTGAACAAGGCATTGGACGAGGAGAACATTACAAAAGAGGGATTTAATTGCAGAACACACAAAACGTAGCGGTGATGTTGCCCTTTAAAAGCATGCAAACAAAACCCGAACCAGAAGTATTCTCAGCTCCCTGTCATGGCGGCCGGAAGCGGCCCAAATACCATGTATAGAGTCTTTGAACCTATCTTTATTGTTAGTTTAAATCTTGTTGGCCATTTTGCTGCCTGGTTGAGACAGTTTGAACCACAATTTCTTGTTTTATGTTCTATGGAAAACAAGTTACAATGGTTCTCTACCCTGCATTTTTGCGGTAACAATTCTTCAACGGTCATGCCACGATTCGCATGGGTACTGTGTTTCTCTGTGCACCTGCTGCAGTAATGGAGGCTTCAAAGTTGTTCTTTCGATTAATCTCGAGCCTGTTGTTCATTTTGCTGCTTGGTCGAGATGACTTGAATAGCAGTTGCCAGCTTTATGTCAGATTTGGTGATTTACGGCCAGCAATTACAAGGGGTCTTCGGTCTGTGTTGTCACGGATTTATGGTGGCGATCGTTGGGGATCACGCCTCGATTTGTGCGGGCATTTTGGGTAGCCGCTGCACTGGGAGAGCAAACACAGCGAAGGCGACATCTTGCTCCTTTCCCCAGGTGGCGGGTTCGAATCCCGACCGGGGTGCCCGCAATATGACGGAGGCTTATTGCGGAGAAGGCGCCGTGTAACCTAGCTTTCGGTTGCACGTCAAAAGATCCCCAGGTGGTCGAAATTAATCCTCAGTCCTCCGCTGGGGCGTGCCAGATGCCCGTCATAGGTTTGGCACGTAGAACCCTCAAATTTGACTTTGATCTTGCTCCTTTCTTGCCTTGACCGCAGGGAACTACTTTGCGAGCCATTTCATCATGGGAGGGGAGCGTTTCGATGGCAACCAGCCGGAAGCCTACCTCTTTGGCGAGAACACTGACCTCAACTTCCTGGGAGGCAAGCCGACTCCCGTAAGCACGTCGACAACCTCTTTGCACTTTCCTGCTGCTCAAAAATTGCTAAGAAAATGTGTGACATTCTTTCGTCTTTTGATGCGTTCATATAAGTTGACCTGCAGTTTCTTTGTTTTTCTTAGAAGTGCAAAAAACAGCCCACATTTGATGCACATGGTTTAGCACGTGGAGAAGCACAATGAGTTTTAATAATCTGTCCTGTATATAAAAAAAATGCTGGCGCACTTGGAGTAGGTTTAAACTTTAAGTCATGGTGAAGCATTGCACGGCACAAAAAAAAAAGGACACTATCTTTTTAAATTACGTATCAATCTCTAGATACTCGCTAATGCTTATAAAAACTCTTTTGCACTTTTGCCTGCATAGTTTCTGGTAGTCTAAAATGCCAGTGTAGCCTTTGCTTCGCTGTTAGAGAGTAAATTAGTCTTTGAGTGTCTAGCTATTTTAACATGAATGTGCAGTCAGCGGAGAAAACCAACCCATTTTCATTCTGTTCATTCAGAACATGTTCAAGACCGGTTGAAGCACGACAAACACATAGTGTGCAGAGCCCTTCTATGGACGGCACTAAGCTCTTGTAATGTTCATGCAGCAGGTACTTCAGGTACTGACATACTAACAATACTCGTGTAGTAAAGATAAAGTTAAGATGCTCTGCCATAGTACCTCAAACTAGCTCCGAGCCCATAATCACTACCACTGAAAACATTTCTTTGGCCAAGATTGTGGCTGGGTCTCGCATGCAAGCGTTCTTGCAGCTTGTCGCTGCCCTGAGCTGCAGTGCCGAGTTGGCATTGCAAGGTGTAGCAAGATGGCCGATTGAATGCCCGCGGGGGCTTCTTTAACGGTTCTCTCGACCGCAGCACCGTCTCTTGCAGTTCCCCTACCCGGCACCCCAGGCCAACGAGCCCACCCGGCCGTTGAGGAGCCTGGTGAACATCCGCAAGGAGTCGCTGCGGTTCATCAAGTAAGGGCGAGCGAAGAGAAATTTGTGGGATGCTCGGCGGCTGCAGTTCGACGCAGACGAGAGGCGGGAGCCTTCTGCTTTGTGACACGTGGTGACGTTTGCGGAAACATTTTTTAGGAGGTTCTCTCGAATCACCCTCACGTCGTTCACTGAGCGACACAGTTAGTGCAAACTCCATGCTGTAATTTGTACATGTTTTTCCAGAGGCGTGTTAACATCTAACACAGAATTTTACTGCCTTGGTTCATGCTTTTTTTTGTTTCAGCTGAATTACAGCTTTTCAACTGCATTAAACATTTTTTTTTTTTTAAAGTATCATTAGTTTGTTTGTGCTGGCATGTTGCACTCTGCCTTTGGAGAAAGCCACAAGTTGAGCGGGTAAATATTCTGGCCGATCAGCATGCCCACAAACTCACAGAAGGTTCGTAGGGGTGGAGGCGTCTATACCTGAGACTTTTAGCCAAACGTTAAAGGCTCTCACATGGTCTACCTTTCTACACCAGGGGCTCTTCGTTTGCTTTAATGGCCAATTCGGGCGGTCAGTCGTCGGCAACTTATTTTGCCGGAAAACCGGCAATAGTGTGCTCATGGTCAGTTTCCGGCCGGCGCGAATGGTTTGGGTAGTGGTTCTCTGGCAAGCACCGGCAACTTTCCGACGCTTTTTCCGCTCAAGCTCCAAACGGCGGGGCAAGTGGGCGCCAGACCGTATCTGGTGTCGTCACTTCAGAAATGAGAGAGAAGGTCAGTGAGAAAAAAAAATGAATGAAAGAGCGAAACTGATTTGAAGTCACTCCAGCAGACACTACTCGAGTCAATCCAAGTCGTTGGGACATGGGTGACGGTGGCGACAGCCTCTCGCTAGTGGTGCCGCGCGGGCAAGAGGCGAAGTAAACTTCCACCGTCTGACGTTTTGTGTTCGGGTGCTGAGGGTCACGTGTTGTGCCGCTGGCGCGTTTCTGGTTGCCGGTTTCACCGGCTCGGTCTCACCGGCGATTGACCACCCGAGTTCGCCATAAGGGACAACATGGCTTTCGACAGAAACATTATTATATCTTGATGGATTTTGGTGAAAATTGGCACAAATACTCCAATTGCTTTTGTAACATGTCCATCAATATATGAGCTTGATATCTCAAGAACTTCTTATTACTATGTTTTTTTTCTTGTTTGAACATGGTGGAGAGCCTGCAGGGCTTATAAAATAAAATAGAAGGCTGCCTAAACTTTGAGTGCACTTGCAGATTTGTGCCACAGGTGAATATATTCTTTGGTATTTTTCTTTACCTAACATAAAAACCTTTTTTTTTTGTTTTGTGTCACCTGGTTGCAAGATACTCATCTGCTATGCAAACATGTAACTACATAAAGTTAAACGACATTAACTTAAGAAAATAGCAATGTCATGCCCTGCACCTTAGCTCAAGGATCACAATGTAACTAATGAACTAAAAATAGACATAGTGGTTGCTAAGAAACCTGCTCCCCAAGCTGAACAGAATAGTAAAAAGACAGTTCTGAGAAAACAATGTCCAAAGTTTTAGGCTGTTTGTAGCGCACTAAAAGGCACCAGGGTTGTAGTCCTTTGTGTCCTTTTCAGCGTGGTGTCGCATGGCTTTCTGACCCTTAGCCTGATCTGCTTTTGATGCCTTCTTCATGCGCATGACGTGTTTCTGCTGCCCTGTGCGGTGCAAGGTGCCCAGGCTTGATGCCAAGGGAGGAGCAAAACTCCACGTAGGCGTGAAGAGTGCCGCAGTTGTACTTGCAAATAGCATCGCTTACTGCGGTCTCGGCAGCAATCAAAGATGCATTCTCATCCTTGAGAAGCACCGACCACATTACGGAACGTAGACTCTTAGCGGCGTTTTGCGTCTTCTTCCCCCTGCACCGGTGGAGAAGAGGAGGCTCGGACAAGCGCTGGTGCACAGGCAGAAGAGCATCTTCAACATTCCTCGCCAGATGGTATTTGTGAGGTGGCTGAGGCTCTCTCTTGGCTTCTGCGACTTGGTGTTTGCACCAGCTTGCAGGGCCCGGTGGCACAGATCATGGTAGGGTTCTTCATCAGTTGAGCTGATACGGTAAAAGGTCGCCATGATGGCTCTCTGCATCTCGTCAACCTCAGATTGATCTCTCAGAGCCATGCCATAATAGCTCGTCAGCTTTTTGATAAAGTTCTTTGTCAGGCCACCCTTTCCTCCTAGGGGCTGACCTTTTTCGTCCTTGGTGACTAGGGCACGTAGGGCTGACCCCATCGTTCTTTATGACATGGTTCACATAGTCTTCCCTTGTGATTTCGATGAAACCCTAAGTCTTGTCATCGGAAAGTGCCAGAAAGGTTTGGCTATTGCCATCACAAACAATGTTTGTGAACTGCGGGTCATTTTCTGCAAGTGAACGTCCAAACAGCAACAACACTGCCTCAACCTTTACACGGCCAGAGTTCACGTTGGTGCTCTTTTGACATTCTGATTCAAGGGATTTCTTTGACTCGCTGTATTTCTTGTCACCCACTTTTGGGCCCACGGAGCAACCATGGCAGCAGTTGGACAAAGCACAGAGTCAAGCACCAGGCCAGTGTAGAACTCGATCACAGTGCCGACTCCAATGTTGAGATGTGTGGCCTCGTGTCATTCAAGTGCCATCATAGACAGCAGTAACATTTCTTGTGAAGCAAGGGTTAATTTCTGCATAGACCTTACGGACAGCCTCAACTGCATCAGAAAACACACTTGCTGATGCGGCAACTCCGGCAGGCCTGAACTTAGCCTTTAGGTGTTTCTGGAATGTTTTCTGGTGCTGGCCTCAGTGGGAGACAACCATTCCAGACCAAAGTCTGTCAATGCTGTTGACCCCTTGCGGATGCTTTTGATCGCTTGCATTGACCTTAGGTTTGCTTCAAAGACCCGGCCTCCTTCTCTTCGCAGCGACTTCCACTCATTTGCGACGGCACCACACGCTCCGCAAGTCAGGATCATCTGTGTCGCCAGCCCGTGCCTTGTACTTGGCACCACTGGAAGCCCTGGCTGAAGACATGGCTCACACGGTGTCGTTGGAAGGAGTGCGTTCATCGCTACGACTTGAACAAAACTCTTCACTCTCTTCCGCACCTGCCGGTTCCTCGCTTTCGGCAAATAGCTTCAGCTTCCGTTCCATCACTGACACGGAACTAAGCGATGCTTGTACAGCCGTGGCCTGCTTGCGGGCCGCTTCTGGTGATGCGAAGCGTGGTTGCAAATGTGCAAGAACGATATTACTTGTGCTCGTAGATGGCATTTCTTCCACGAATGCCATGGCATCTGAAGTGCCGGGCGATGTGTCGACTTCAGCATCGCGCTGCCCGTCAACAGAGGACTCGCTTTTGGAAGCCAGCGGACGAGTCTTCTTTCTATGCATCAGTGATTTCCACTTGCAGCTATGGAAGGCGTGCGCTGTCTTGTACTTCTGATAGTCGAACCATGATCGTCGGGGCAGTTACAAAGCTCAACTATACACGTTTGCAAGTCCGGCTTCAGGGCGCTGCCATCTTGCCTGTCTGGGGTGCACTTGGACCAGACATAATCCGATTACGAAGCCTTGCTAAGGCGTCGTAATCGGATTATGGCCGCTCCCGAGAGCGCACCCCACTGAGGAAGATGGCGGCGCCCTGAGACCGGACTTGCAAACGTGTATTGAGTGACGGAAATTTAACTTTTTCAGCACCCACTTGCTCGCGATGCGGGACTGCGGCAAGCGAAAAGCAGACGACCGTCCCCAGCAGGCGCGCTGGTTGCTAGGGGCAACGGTGAAGCGGAGCAGTGGCAAGCTTTGCTCGCGTGGCACGGGAAGCCAACCAGTAGCCATCATTTCTCTCGGCGAGACCTTGAAACTTTTGCTCTCTATGCATTTATTTCTCCTCAGAGCGAGCAGCCGACGTGGAAACTTTGAAGGCAATGAAGTATGCTTTCCATCAACACCAATATATCGGTGCTCCGTGGTGCCGGAGATATGGCACTTCAATAAATGCCATTATTTCGTGAACTCTCACAAATATTTCATTACCTCAGGTTATATAAGTGTTATATTAGGGCACTTCGCAACGGTTTTCAGCAAGAAAACTTTGGAAACACAGAAAATGTGAACCGCAGATGTTGAAAATTTGATTTAAAAAAAAAACTGTCTTTTGGTAATTTTTTGCGAGTTGAAAGTTGCATCCCTTCTTAACATGTTAGCCCGTAAAACATTGCTGTGAAATTGTATGTCGCCAATTCTCATCGCCGATGGTGACAGTTTGCCGAGCCGTGCTTGCCACCCCGATCACACACGCAGGCTGTATACTGACGATTCAGTTGTGGGGTTTGGAAGTGTTCACGTGGTGGCCCGGGACACTTCCAGAATTCAGGATGCCCCCAAGCCAGAAGAAGAACTGGCTCCCGAGACCACGCCCCCGTGCCGGTACAACATAGAATTCACTTTTGATTCGGACGTTCGGTGCGCCATCACCATTCACTACTTCTGCACCGAGGACATCACCGCCAACGGGATCGTGTGAGTCTCTGCCGTCGTTTCGTTTTGTATGTTTGTTACCAGCAATGCAATAAGATTAGTTCTTTGTCAGTTTAAACACTCGTTGTGCATTGGTACGATTGTGTGAATATTTCAATTTTTGAATTGTGGTTTAGAATAATATGCTATTCGATATGAACTTTGAGATGAACTGCGATATTTATATTTTATTAAGTGTCGATCGCGGCAGGTTAGCCTTGTTGATCGCGATTTTTATCGAACAGTGGTGCTCCACAGAAAAGCAAGACCCGCGAAGCGTGGTTTCATGGGTTTTGCTTCTCTGCAGTGCACCAGTGCTCGGCAAGAAGCACGTTTGTTGGGGCTAACCCTAGTGCTTGAAAAGTATGAATATTGCAGTTGTGTGCTTAGGAAAAAGGCACACTTTCAAAGCGGGATGGTGCACATGTGCACCTGGTGTGTTTAAAAAGAAACAAACACTTTGTGAATTCTGATATCTGTATTGCAGTCAAATTTTCAAAATTATGCTAGGCAGAGATGCTCTAACAATCTGCATTCATTATTAGTGATTGTCTTTTTTCTTTTTTAGTCCGAGATTGAAGAAAGGATGTTTGTACATATCAAAAAAATTTATAAATCTCCTCGATTAGGTTTTCTGGGCATCTCTAAAGGTTTAATTTTATGTCAAATATATCGGCCGCTTGCCATCACAAAGTAGGCCTTGAACTTTCTAAATATAGTTGGATTAAAATTAACTTAGAAATGGACAAGTGGAAGCTTCAGAACAACCTTCTCGAGTTCAGCTGGGTTTTGTTTAAGAATGTTTGCGTTAGTGAAAGGCTTGGAGAAACTATTGAATATTCTATTTGATAATGTGCTATTTTTGTACCCTGACCTGTCAAATTGCTTCACATTGAGGGGCAGTGGAGCATAGAGAACTCTCCCTCTCAGTCAGCAATGTTCGCTTATTTCTCGACGTGGATGAGTTATCCCAGTTCGGACAAAGTCACCATTGGCCAGGGGCACTGCAATTACTATAGTCCGTTGCAACCTAAGAACGAAGGGCGAGGGTAGGACGGGCTGGGGAGGAGGAAGCAGACGGAACAATAAAGAGAGAAGGAGGTTTCCCCTTCTCTTCTGCAGCGTTCCGTCTGCTTCCTCCTCCCCTGCACGTCTTACCCTCGCCCTTCGTTCTTAAGTTGCAACGGACTATAGAAGTGGGTTATCTTTCAATGTTTTTGAAAAAAATAGCAAATCTTGTAAAAAATGGGGTGGGTTATCTTTCGGGGTTTGGACATCTTTCGAGGATTGGACATCTTTCAAGTTGTTACGGTAGTGTTGGGCATTTGGGAGAAATTTTTTTTTTTCACTGAAAAAATATTTTGTGCGTCGCCGAAACCTTATTTGTTGTCCAAACATAGCGTCAGCGGTTGGGACCAGACGTCGGAGTTTTAGAACTTGCACTGAACAACCTAGACCTGTAAAATTCTGCTGCTGCGAAATGGTCCAAGAAGCGGTATTCCGGCAAACTGCCAAGCTGTTTAACTCAGAGACGGAATATTGTTTTCGGTAACATGCCAACAGTGTAGCAACCACAGCTAGAAGTCAGGCAACTAGGAAGTGTTGCTTGACTTCCACCATATTGTGGCACTGAATTTTAGACTTGCTCTCAATTAGGCACGCCAAGCATGCAGTGACTCATCATTGTAATGAAATGTTTCTCGTTAATGTAGGCGTCTTTGTAACTGTACACACAACCAGCAGCTCAAACTTACTGATCTGTTACATTCTCTTAAAATTATATGATCTTGAATTCATCCCTCTTTTGTCAAAAGTGAACTTCCAATACCTCAAATATTTCGTCTTGAGACTGACCACCGCCAAAATTCAGAGCCGCTACTGGTACCATCTAGGAGAGGCGCTGCGGGGCCTTGCACTTGACTGTCAGATTCAACAGAACAAAAAGAGAAGCTTATATACTAGTTCTGCTTTTGGAGCGCAATAAGGGATCAATAAGGGACGAAGTTTAGGCATAACTAAATGTCAGAGTACAAGAAATTGTGTTTCTAAAACAACTTCTCACCCCGGCATTGCACTAGCGCACAGAGAGTGGAGTGGCCACAAGCAGAAACCTCCGTATTGTGGCAACGTGAAGTATGGTCATTCTAGCAGTTGACAGGCTCTGCCCGTCGGCCAAACTCTCGGTACATAGGGCTTTGGCTGCCTCCATTCGTCGCAGGCAGGACAGACGCCCGTCGTGTAACGAGCGTTGCGATTGGTCTTTAACGTAATTGCAGGTACGCGCCTCGCAATCCCGAGATGAGTTCGGAGACGTACCACTACAAGCGGGGAGCCAACCAGCAGTTCTCTCAGGCATCCCACATATTCGACCCCAGCCTGCACTCCGAAGAAGAGGTGAGGTCGTCGCTCGGATGTGGCCGATATTCTTAAGCTCTTCACTTCGGGCTAAGCTTCAGCGCGTTCGAAAAGTATGAAATCTGACGTCTGCAAGCCTCCTGCGGCTTTGCCGGTGACACTTCACTGTTTTCTTTGTTTATTTGCTTATAAGCGATTCTCTGTTAGCATCTTCTTTGGTGTTGCTAAAACGCAAAAGCGAGTGGACGGCTTCGTCGACGACAGAATGCAAGTACAACCAAGGGTGTATTTTTGAACACCTATATCTAAGCTTACTTCTTTTTTTTTCCCCTTTTTGAGTTTTTTTGGCAGGCTTGGCAGCATCTGCTGGGCCCATCTCCCAGAAGTAACCTTAAGACGAGAAATACCTCGATTCACACTGTTCTACCAAATTTGACATCATAGTCCGGCACTTAAAAACACAATCTTATCATCACCTACTATTTAATTTTTTCAAAGATTAGACAACACCTGCACAATACCTTTCTGTCCACCACTATCTATGCAAACTTTTCGATACCCTGAACGATAACAGAACTCTTTGCCCAACCACACAGTCACTGCTAACAATATTCCTACTTTTAAGTAGCAATATTTAATATTGCTACTTAAATTTTAATATTTTAATATTAATATTTTTCTACTACAATATTTTTAAGTAACAATATTTAATAACAATATTTAGCAACATTAAGTTAACAATATTGTTACTTTTAAACGAAAAATTGAAATCTATGCACTTTTAATAACCCTGAAGTGATATGTATGCCTAACTTTTGAACGTTTCTTTGTTGGCTAGGTCGTTCTTAGGTGCATTTGTTACTTTTGTCATTTTTGAATGTATTTGTTACTTTCTTTTTCTGTATCACAATTTTCAGCTGCCCATCCCTCGTGTAATGTTCCATGGAAATATGTTTAAGGCATTATTAAATAAATGAGAAAATAAACTAACAGCTTTAATCTCGTTGTTGCCCACAGCTCTGCTATCACTTTGAAGACGAGACGCTACCCGTGGTGATTCACTGCCTTGCTGAAGAAGGTGAAGGTGAGTGACACTGTTTTGTCGACTCTGTATTGCAGTGCTGTCATTTCGTGATCGTCACATGTCAAGCTGTCTCGTCACCTCCTTTTGACAGCCGCTCCTGCAACTTTTGCTGTTGTTATTGTTGTTGCCATTCTCTTGGCAATAGCAATAATTACTGCTCTCGTTTATGCTTCAAGAACTGCAGTAAAAATGTTTGGCTTTTTGCAGTGCATTAATGATCTACCCCTCTACGCCGTAAATTAAGATATAGGGATTTGCATTTGGGATAAGTTATTTGTTACTTTATAAAATTAAAATACAAAAAGCATAGTTAAAGTTATTGTGCAAGAAACGCCCTGTGGGAACCATGGGTTTGGAGATCGCCCAACAGTGACACCTGTGCCCGTTCATCTTCTTTGCTGTCGCCCCTACAACCGGCGACCGCGATTGCAACAATTCGCAGCATTTCCCGGGAACTCCCGCGACACATTCTATCACCGTTTTTGGAACGCTTCGACGCACGGGAAGCATAGGGCATCAAACACGCCGGCCAGACACGCATTCCAAGCGCCTTCCTGTGACTGACAATGACTGTAACGTCAAGCGCCCCCTGTACTGCGACAAGTTCGCCTGCTTGTCGCACAGAGGTGCGATAAAGTCACAGAGCCGCGTTCTGATTGAGAGGTTAGTGGGTAAACACAAAAACCAGCTGCCTTTGTCTCCACTTTCCGTACCCCCTCCAGTCAGAGCGAATAGGTAAGACCGTCATCTGCTTTTTCTGCAGAGGGAGCAGTGGTGCCAGGCATTCAGGCACCGCACCCTGGCATCGTCTGCTAATCAGCATTGGCTGTCTCATCCTTTATATGGCTTTCTCAGCGTTTCTTTAGGAACGTGGACTCATAACCCGCGAGAAAGAAAAGAGGAAATACCTCGAAGGTATGGTGTCTTTGTCAAGTAACAATTACCGGACACATTCTGACGACGATGAATGCACGGCCGAGATGTTGTCGGCTCCAGACCGAGGAGAAGCCGCGAGAGCGGAGCTTTGTATCATGTGTGATCAATCTCTCTCGCTGCACCTTCTCTCCTCAACTTGTGCGCCCCCTTGGCCCCTGCTGCTCCACCGACCTCACGGGTTGTTTCGTCTGCTTGTGCAGAGCCACGGCAGTCCCACGTCCTGGTTGCCGTGGTGGAGAAGAACGCGGACGGCACGTACACGCTGAAGCCGCTGAAGCAGAAGCTGTTTGTGGATGGGCTATGCTACCTCCTGCAGGAGATCTACGGCATCGAGAACAAGAATGTCGCCCAAGCCAAAGTAAGCGACGGAGTTTGATTTGGTTGAAAGCGGTATGGCCACACATTTCTAGTACCAGGTTCTGTCCCTGGAAGAGGACGTAATGGAAATTGGGAGGAATGCCACTGTGTCATGTCTTGTCTTTCAGTTTCCAGTAGTGGAGGCAGCTGCCGCTTGTTATTCGTGGAGTATAAAAAGAAGAAAAATTGAAAATTTGCCTAAAGAGGATGTCATAATACTTCGTGGTAGGCCAGTAGTGAGCCTTGCACTAAGCATGTTAGGATTTAAGAGTGCTCATGTATGCTTTAATTGGATCCCTTTTCATATTAATGTTAATTGCGAAATTCATAATAGTTATTGCGAAATTGGCGAATGAAAATGATGCAAAAACCGATTCAAATATATGCGCGCTTTTCAGGGCCGTGACGTCAGTGGCAGGCAGGCTTGCCAGTCGAGCAAGCAGCCAAAAAAATAGAATATGCCAATCATTTGTTCCGTGCTGGAGCGCGGGTACTGCAGCGAGCTTCCCAAGCATTCATTTGACACCATGAAACTGCTTCGAATCAGTTTAAAACAAAATCTACAGCCCGAAGAGTGAACCCCTGCCTTCCACTGACGTCACTTTTTCATTGTTGCCAGTAGAGACTTCGAGCTTGAAAAACACGGTGAGGACCAAAACTGTAAATTCAATAACTTCGCGAAAAAACAATATTTTGACCTAATATTTGGGATACTATTTTCGTGATGTTTGTTGGTTAGTTTAGCAAAATTTCAAGCAAATCGGAGACAATAAAAAAATCGATGGAGTAGCCCTTTAAAGGGACCATGAAATGATTTTAAAATCTAATTTCATCCACCGCACGTCGTAAAAGGTATGAAAAGAAACACAAAAACACAAAAATAGGGAGCCAAAAAAAATTATTTGCTATAGAACTTTTAAAAGAAAACTGGACTCTTTTGCGACTTCTTTCCTTCAAAAGCTCTGCCTTTTCACTACGATGCATCCGCAGAAATGGAGCACGTCAGCCGAATCCACGTCGCCTATTGGGTAAGAGCCTACCTCACCAGCACCGCGATCGTAAACAATAAATAGCCGGCGAATGTTTCCTAAAATTTTTGTCAAATAATATTCAGACCCACATTTTGTAGCATAATTAGAGATGTGTGGCGAAAATTGCCAAATTTGATAAAGCTGAGAGCCAAGCGCCATCTATCGTGTGGTAAACGAAGCAACTACTGCGCGTGCGCAGTAGGGCAGGGCTGGCAGGGCCGACTGCCGGCTGGCAGGGCCTTCCTCTCAAAACTCTGACTGACTGAACGTTTATTTTTCTACGTGTTCATCTCGCGCGTGCCGACTTCAAGCAGCAAGAAAAAAATGTACTTAAAACAGACCACGACGAACAAGAACGCTGGATCCACAAACACCCGAGAAGAGCGACAACAGCCGCGAATCGCGCTCCGACGAAGCTCTCAGAATATAGGCCTAGCAGGCACTCCGACTCAACGCAGCGTTGCTTCGTCGCAAGACCGTCTGTCTGCCTGCGACCGGCTGGCGTGCTGAATGGAATATGCCCGCGCTACCCTTGTGGGGTACCCTTGTGGGGTACCCTTGTGGACCCTTCCCGTATAATAGTTTGATCGCTGACCTCAATTTTACGTTAAGAGGTGAGGTCAATCTCTTCCCCTTGTTTTCCGAGGCAGTGTTGACGAACACTCGTCGAAAAGGGACCCTCGTCGATTCTCTCTTCTTGTTTTGTGTGATATAGAGCTGAAATAAACGCTGTATGGATTACCTTCGTAACACGGTATGTACACTTTGTTATTGGTATGCCATTTTTATCCTGACAGACTGCACGTCACTGTCGAGCTGTAACAGTTCGTGAGAGGTATATGTGCAATACCGTGCCAACCTTTCTTTGCCGAGTGTCGCGTCAGTATTGAGTTGCAATCGTAAAAGATCGGTCCCGAAGCGCTTACCAACAGCGCGAATACAGTAAAACCTACCGGCGCACCCCAACTCGTCGCCGCTAATGCTCCCATCTCCTACTGCCGAGAGAAGTACCGGTTCCGGAAATAGCGTACGTCACAGCTTGTTTTGCGGTCAAGAAAAAGTCGATATTTCATTAATTTTTTGTGTAGAAGTTAATAAACCGAGACGAAAACGGATGCCCGTTCGGCATTCAGTGAACATTGACGGTTTAATGTAAAAGTTATCTGGAAAAAGTAAAAAAGTCATTTCATGGTCCCTTTAAGGATGGTTTCATCCAGTATGCACACTGCAGACAGCAAAAGATGGTTCCAAGCAATTATAGTTCTGAAGATTAATCAATTCTAAAATGCGGTAGTTTTACAGGCAGATAGGCCACTTTCATGAAAATGGTGAAAAGGCAACGAGACGTTGGTAGGAGCCAGTAACCTGTCAAGCAAAAGAGGATAATGGTAGTAAATTTTACAGAGCAGATGGACAGAAGCACATGACACAATTTAAAGCTAGGCAGGTCCAGATTTGATTTCGTAGGTATCACGCTGGCATTTCAATAATAATTAGTTAGACTGTAAAAGGGTAGATCTATGTTGAATAACTTCAACTGCTGTTTTAATACACTGGAATAGCCAACCGGTCAATCAAGTGTTTTATCAGTCAATCAATAGACTTACCAATTGGTCATTTATGTGACGAATCTGGCCATTAATCAACAGATCAGTCAATTAATCTACTGATCTATCCACTGATCTCAATGACAATTGCTGTATCGCGCATCCCCGCTTGCTTGCTACAGCGCGAGTGTGGCCACCAGACGGCCATCTTGCATGCAGCTTTTTTGTGTTTTGCTAGCTTTGCAGAGGCCGGCGGCAGCGTGCTAAAGACACGTTTTATACTCGTTCGTCGTCATTCGCCGTAGACATTCTAAAGGTCCTGTGTGAGCCGTGATACATTGTTGAGAACACGTGAACATTTTTTTGAAAGCGCAGTGCCGCAGAAAACAGGCACAACTTGTCGAAAGCAAGCATTGTCGGTCTTGCGGCGTGTTCAAAGCTTCCTTGGCACACCAAAGTGCTGTGTCTCTATCCTTTCGCACGCTTGGGTACCGATCAACAATCGACACCGCACCAAAGTTTTGAAGGTATGTCGCGCGTAGATGTCTTTAGATCATATATATGTCGGCTACGGAGTTTTGGATCGTCCAGCTGTTCCGGTGAAAAAATTGTAAGGGTGCAGGCGAGCTGGTGGAAGTTAACCATAGTTTTGTTTAACCCGAGACTGGGGTATTTCGGAAAAGGGGACGAGAAGAAAAGCGTACACGATTTTGGATTGAGACGTCGCCTCCTTGTGGCCTCTTTTCTTCTCGTCCCCTTTTCCGAAATACCCCAGTCTCGGGTTAAACAAAACTATGGTTGTTCCGGTGAGTTGCTATCAATAAAGCTAGGGGGAGGGGGGGGGGGGGGTGATCTGTACGTGCTCTTATGTACTGTTAACCATGGCTATGTTCCAAATCTACTCTTATGGATCACATGGGAGCACGAATAGAGCAACACTGGAGCAAGGAGGGTTTTTGAAGGCAAAAATACAAGACGGCAAAAATGAAAATATTTGAAGCGCAGCCCATATGGTTGTTTGCAATCTGTTGACCAATCACAATTAGGCGAGCCGCGCTCAAATGTAAAGTGTAATTAAGTAGGTTGATAATGAGCCAGGCCAGCACTGATCCATGATGAGGAGCTGTTGTGCACGGTACTCTGTAAATCGTCTAACGACGAAAAAAAGACGTGCCTTCCTCCTCTCTTCCGTCGCTACTATACGCTGGATTAAGCTCGTTTCTGGATCGCGAGTGCCGCAAGTATACAGTCGCCAGAGTAAAGTAAGACGCTGATCCAGAGGCACATACGGCTTTGCGCACATTGCATTTACAAAACACGTCCACACGGCGTCGATTCTTGGTCGGTATCCAAGCGTGCGAAGGCACAGAGACACAACACTTCAGCGTGCCAGAGAAGCTTTGAACATACCGCGAGACCGGCGAAACTTGCTTTTGACGAGCTGTGCCTTTTTTCTGCGGCCCTGCACTTTCGTAAAAATTTCACCGTGTGTTCAACGGCAATGTATCCCGGCCCACACAGGATCTTTAGAACGTCTTCGGAGAATGACAACGAAGGAGTAGAAAACATATTTTAGCACGTTGCCGCCGGCCTCTGCAACGCTAGCAAAACGAAAAAAAAGCGGCATGCAAGGTGGCCGTCCGGTGGCCGCACTCACAGAGCGTGGATGCGCGATCCAGCAATTGTCATTGAGATCGTAGATCTGTCCATCAGTGAGCCTAGTCAATCAGTCGACCAATCTCAATTTGTCAGCCAATCACCTGTCAATCAATTGACTAGTCTGAATCTATCCGCTGATCAGTCTGTAAATCAGTTGATCAATCTGTTCATCATTCAACCTTTCAGTCAATCACTCGACCGATCTGTTAATATAATGACCAATAAATTTTTGTCAGTCAATTGATCAGTTTGTTTGTTAATCAACCTGTCAATCAATTGACCGATCAGTGAATCTATCGTCCCGATCAACTTGTCAACCAATCTGTCCGTCAATCAACCTGTTAGTAAATCACTCGGCCGACTTGTGAATATATTGACCAATCAGTCTGTCAACCAATTGACCAATCTGTCCATCAACCAGGCTACAAGTCACTCAAACGACCGATCCGTGAACCTGTCGACCGTTTATTCTCAGCCAATCGACCTACCTGTCAACCGACCAATCGGTCAACCGATCGGTCTTCCCCGTGCAGCCCCCCAACGGGGACGAGGAGACGGAAGACAGCGGGGCAGAGTGCGTGATCTGCATGTGCGAGAGCCGGGACACGCTGATCCTGCCCTGCCGCCACCTGTGCCTGTGCTCCTGCTGCGCCGACTCGCTGCGCTACCAGGCCAACAACTGCCCCATCTGCAGGGCCCCCTTCAGGGCCCTGCTCCAGGTGCGGGCCGTACGCAGGGGCACGCCGGGGGGTGCCCTGGCTGTGCCCCACCCGGGTGGCGCGGCGGCAGTGGCGGCAGCAGCGCCCGCAGGGGACGCCCAGGTGAGCAAGTCACGGATCTCATGAGGGGCTAGTGTTGCCAGTTCAGCGATTTCCCCGCTAAATCTAGCAGTTTTTTTTATGTCTTCCGGCTGGAGAAGTTGCTGTTTTATGGGTGGTGGGATTTCGGCGGTTTTCGTATTGCGTAAGTGTTTTTGCTAGCGGTCTAAGGTGTTCTCGAGTGTACGTTTATCGACCCTGAATAGCTCAATTTTTGTGGTTAGTCAGGCTCACAAGGCCGCCATTTTTGCTTACTTCCAGCAAAATTGTTGTCGGCGAGAACGACGCTCGCGACGCCATTGAGGTGTTAAAGGTGGCAAACATTGAAACATGCATTCAACACAAAAGGGTTAGCCTGTTATCCATATCTATATTGGTGCGCAAATCTACAAATTGTTTTTTTTAAGTCTACCGGATGGCATGATCCCAGTAAACTATCCACACAAATTCAGAATATGGAGACGTGAAGCGCTAATATCAAGCGGTGTACGTCACTCTGTGCACGAGATTGATTCGAGTCAAAGAACGTAGCCCTCTCCTAAGGGTTCTTTTATTAACATGAAACATTCTTTGGCTAGTTGCTCGGCGGTATGCGAGGCCCGTAAGTGAAACCTGGATAAAGGTGAAGCCTTTATAAAAGTGTGGAATTTTGAGTAGGGGGGAAGAGGCCATCGTAGTAAAAAGGCGTTTGTGCCAGGCGGGAATCGAACCTGGACCATTTAGATTATTAGGCGAGCGTCTTCCCAGCATGTCACGACACATCGCCGTGAGTTGAGGTGCCGTTTGGCGGGAAAGCTCTGCGGAGCATCCACTCTACGTCCAACAGACGGCAACTTGACACCCTCTCACTCGTTTTAACGGGAATCTTGCTTTGGCAAGTTGTTTAACGTTTCATAAAGCCCATATAAACATTTGGCCCGATAGGCTCGACATTGATTATCGTCGTTACGGGAAGGAAGAGGATGAGTGAGCTGCTCATTGCTGATTGGTTAACGGGTGTGTCATGTGACCTGAGGGGTAGGCGAGGAGGAGCTCTACCATCTGTGTGCACTGAGGGAGAGGAGCTCGAGGGTATGAAAGGCTCCGGTAGATCGGCGGGTTTATCAGCCCGATTAGTGGTGGTACCGCTTTTCATTCCAGGAACAACTATCAAGCGTACGAACGCCACTCAGAGCGCCGTGGGTGCACCGTGTTCGCACGATTCTAACGTGCCCCCAATAATAATAATTGGGGTTGTGTGGATATATAGACAGCCTATAGTTGGTCAGTCATTTCAAAGTTGCGACAAGTCACTCGCTGTAGATTATCAATTTAGCCAGTGCAGTACACCTGCTAGCCTGGGGTCTTTAATGTGCACCACGCAGTAGTGATACACGACCGCACGCCGGAACGAAGCTCATCCAGATTGAAACGGGCAGGGGTGGAGATTAAACCCAGAATCCCTGGGTTCTGCAGCGCAAGCTTTTGCTCCACGTGCTCCGAGCTGGTGTGCGCTAGCCCGCTCGGCCACCGATCCCCCGTCTAAACCCTTCTAACGCCCTTGCGCCCCCAATTCTAACGCGCAAGCAGATTTGGCTTCCATGTATTCAGAAAGTAAATTGCTGTCGATTCTACCGTGCTGGCAAAATAATGGTAGCTTGAACATATACCTGATCGAACAGATATTATGAAACGCACGCAAACTTAAAAATAAATACTGTGCACTAGTCGACGTTGTCCGTGTCCAACGATGGTTCTTCGCTGTCCGCAGAAGTAACCGTTGCTTTTGCTCTTCTACGAGTGCGTGACCGTCACCTCTGGGGAGGTCGTCTTCCAAACAACACTTTGCGAGCTCCTCGGGTCCCTGGGATTACGAGCGTGATGCCAACGCGATGGCCTTTCGTTTATATAAAACCTCTTAGTGCAATTTCTTTTCATTTTCCATCTTAAAATTGCAAGCACACACTAGTCCATAGACAGAATTGCGCGTGAGATGCATACCAACATGGCAAATGTAAACAAGTGGTCACGATGGTGATGGGGCTAGCCACCTTATACCGAGTATTGGAGTTTCGGTTTTTGGTTTAGATTGGAACACGCATGTAAATTTGGGCACTGATTTTGACGAAAAAAAGTGTGCAATAAAAAATCGTACAAACACGATAGGCATCTGGCGTCTGGAAACCCGGAGTATCTTTAAAGATTTATGATGCAAGAACTTTTCATGTATCCAACACAACTGCCTAGCAATTTGCCATAACTTTCTGTTGTACTGTTTTTTGACCGGTTTTATAGCTGCAAATTGTGTTAAAAAGACATTCTTGTCCTGCACCCGAAATTTTGAGATTTTTTGGGATTCCTATTGAGGGCTTTGTTACTTTTGAGTTGGGAACACTGGTGAAGGCTTCCCTGTTCATTTTAAATGCAGCTGCATTTCTGAGCAAACCCTAGATACTTCTGTGTCCGTGGTTCGGTTTGTAACCAAAAAAAGCAGGCGGCACGCATCCATTACATACCTAGCGTAATACCCTGAACGAACGTGCACCTTTTCACTGGAGATAATCTGAAAAAAAAAAAAAAAAAAAGGCTGCTTGGCAAATCGAGATTTGTCCCCCCCGCCTCCCCCGTTTTTTTGAAAGAATGTTCTACTATCGCGAAGTCCAAAGCTTGCGTACACACGATGAACGCCGCCGATCGGCGTACAGCCAGAACGCTTGTTTCATGAAAACATGTTTCCACAACCGCAATGTTCCCTTCATTAGGTTCCCTTGCCTTACTGATCAGTAAATTTTAAAATAAACGTGAAGTAAAAAAAAAAAAGAAGCGACCGGAAATTAGAAAAACTAACCAGGTGCAACGAGCAAGCAGGTGAAAGAAGCGATGAAGGGCAATGCTGGGGAAGCGGGAAAACCGGCGATTGCGTTGGCAAATATTTTGGTGTCGGACCAAGTCGGGTGCGTTGTCTATCACAAGGAGCGGGCTCTTGTGCAACTTTCTTGTTTGGTGCTTAGTACATGCATGCTTCCAGAGACTTCTAAAAAAGAAAGATCTGCCCAGGTCTCCCCAGTTCTTCGGAATTGCTATTTTTGGAGGGTGGGCGATATACCAGGATCTTCTTTGACATAGATATATTGACATAAAAGGGGGGTGGACGTACATTCAGGATATTACGGTACTTCAATGACGTATGCATGCAGGCACGTGCCCAATAAATTGGACACGACGCTTGTGAATGGCAAACGGCATTGCCAAATGTCTCGTCTGACCTTAGGTCACATGAGATGTTGTTGCGTGACCACATCGTGTGAGCCCGGCGAGTTTCCCCGCTGAATTTCACCGATAATTTGATCGGGGAAATATGTCCACTAAATTCCGCTAGAGAGCGCTGCTCAATAAAAACCCCCTCCAGTGCCACGACCCCTTCACTCCATTTGACGGAATGTCTAACTGAGGAAGCTTTTTTACACCCGTTGTGCAGTGACAACCGCACGAGTGCGTGGCAACGCTGAAAAGTCTTGTTTCTTTTTTTTCCTCTGCAGAGTTGTCAGGACGTTCCCCCCGGCTACGAAGTGGTTCCGCTCGTGGAAGCTCTGAATGGACCTGTCGTGGGGTCACCACCGCTGCCTCCCTGTGAGCGTCTTGAGATTGTTTTATTGATGCAGAATGCATTTTAATGGAAGCGAAGTGATTTGTGCAGCCATCGCCTCGCCATAGCCGTGCCAAGCCGCTACTAGCTACATTTAATTGTTCCTCCAATTTTAGCCGATAGCCAAATTTAGCCGATTGGCAACAAGCATGGTGCAGGGATGTGAAAAAGAGGCCGAAAGGAGCAAAGCCAAAAGTGCGGCCATGGCCGAATGCGTCACATCGGCCGCATCATGTGACAGCGTTTGGATGTAAGAACCAGGAAAGTAGGCGCAACAGACGGCTATTTATACAGATATGAATATGGGAGTTCTGCAAGACGAACTTTTGTTTGTGCGTGTGACACCCTGGAAAACGTATCCACCGAGAACGTGTTGTGCATGTCCGATTCCGAAACATAGCGGATGGGGAGATTTCTTCAAGTTTTACCTTATGACAGCCACTTTAAAGTCATTGTGTTGTCTCATGGTACGGTATTGATAGGTCAGGCGTAAACCCTCAAACATTTATTACAAAGATATGCATTCTTTGCAATAATATGTATGCGGAGTCATAGCTTCTATGTGTTGCTGATGCCTGAATTTTTTTTTAAGCTTCTGGTCTTTGAAATGTTATACTCTTTAGGGGTTTTTGAAGGCTGACACGGCATTGTTGTGGCCCCCGCAGTACACCTGACGGTTGGCTTACCGCCCGAAGCCACCAGCCCTGACGGCGCTGTCCCAAAACCGCGCAGGAGCGGAAGGTAATTATCAACCAGATTCTCTGTTGTATAAGTTGATAATTTGCAATAATTCCATTTGCAGCATTTGCAGCTGATATCTAGTTTCAGTTATTTTCTTAAAAAAAAAAAGGTCACTACCAGTTGTTTGTGTGACAACATTAGGGGTTGCATTTTTGCGTGCTATCTAGACATGTGTAGTTTTGTACACTCTTAACTTTGTCAATTTGTATAACTTATCAGTTGCACCTTTTGCCTACTGTAGGGTGACCACCCGTCCCGCGACTCGCGAGACTGTCCCGCATTGAGGGCTCGTGTCCCGCGTCCCGTGAGAAAGTCCCAAATCTACAAAATGTCCCGCATTTCACACTGTCATAAAATTCACTCTACAACTCATAGGGCTGCCGAACAACGGGGCACGGGGAAGCGCGGAGGTTGCTGGTAATCGTGGGAATCGCAATGGTACGCCATCTTCTATACAAGCATTGCGGGAAGGGACCGTCGCTCTTGCAAGAGAACCGAAGCGCATGCGCCGTTGTGCCTCTCCCCTTGGTGGCAAAATATTGTAAGAGAATATTGCTCGCCAAAAGTTTAAATATAAATTATTGTAATTATTTTCATATCGCTGTGTCAATGCGAAAGGGTTGTTGTGGAATTTATTTTAGTGAAGACAGCCTCACAAGACAAAAAGCCTGCAAGTCAGAAAGGTCGAAAAAAACATAATGTTAAAAATTTGTGTATGACCATGTTGATAAAAGTAAGCGTTGACAGGAAATAATAACCCGAAAAAGATTTGCTGTTTCTTATTTGCAATTGATGCATCGAGTTCTGGTGGAGACCATTTTTTTGCTTTCAACTTTGACACATGTAATAGCAAATTTAGCATTAAAAACATAACACTGGGAGTGAAAATTATTTGAACTTAATTGGTGATATACTATTTGCAGGTGTATAAATAGCGCAGGGTATTAAATTTGTTTTTACAGAGTCTCGGTTCGTGGTGTGCGTGTTAACAAATTTCCCCTACCCCCTCCCCCCCTCGCCCCGCGTGTCCCGCATTTCGCTAGCAGGAAGGATGTCACCCTAACCTACTGCCATGTACAGTTGACAGGTGATTACTAGTCAACATATAATAGCTGCGTTACCAAATGCATTGTTTATCGTATATGCTGCCTGGTCGGATAGCTGTATTTACTTGAATTTGTCATCATTTTCGATTTGAAATGTAATATAGAAAGTATTTGCACATATTTATTTGTATTTCTTAAGGGTACGCAAATATTCGAAACATATTCAATATTCGAAGCTATTTTTCTCGAATATTCGTATTCAATTCATATTCAAAAATTTTAACAGTCTCACATCCCTAGTCAGGAATGATTTTCTGAGATTTTCATAGAGAAAATGGCGGTCGACGGAGCTCGAATACATAGAGCTGAAGGGGCGTCATTTACCAAAAACGAGCCCCATTTTCCCATTGAAATTTTCAGAAAATCACTTATAACTTTTGAATGAAATAACAAATAGTTAAATTTTTTTTGGGGGGGGGGGGCATGCTTTATATGAGTTTATCATGTGCTGCTGCTTGTTTATATTGAAGAAAGTGGGTGGTGGTTTATGATAGAAGATACCAAGAGAATAGTTTGTACCTATTGCTACAGCTGATGAAAGCCATTGCAGAGCAGACGAACAGCACCCTCGGCAGCAGACAGCAGGGGAAGACATTTTGATGATGCCCTTCCGCCATTTTGTTGGGTGCTTTACTGCACGGTGTCTGATTTTATACTGAGACTGAGAAAGAGAAAGTTGATGACGTAGAAATTAATGTGGATCTATCCACATGAACTCAGCTGCACAAGTTAGCAATGTGGCATTCAAAATCAGTGCACAAGGATGCACCTTATTTCCTGCAAAGCAGACAACAGTACTTCTTGGCTGGTTGGCTGGCTAGCAGACGCACAAGCGTACAGACTCTCACCTTTCTGTTACCCAGTGCAACAGTACTTTGCAAACAAATTAGTATTATTATTTTTATTACTACTATTATTACTTCATTATCATCTTCATCGTCATCTTCATTATCTTCATAATCATCATCATCATAGCAGCAGTTTGTAGCAGGCATGCCCTCATTGGAGAGCAGACAGCAATAGTTTCTTTGCAGAGCAAGTGGCACATCTTTAGTGAGGAAATGATAATTTGCTCATTGCAATCATTGTAATCGTAATACTCGTTCCCGCAGATTAGAAAAAAAAAAAAAAAAGAACACGTAAAATGGGCGCACAGAACGGCGATATTTATTTATTTATGTAAGTACCCTCAAGGCCCTGGGGCATTACAGAGGGGAGTGGTACAAGACAAATTTGGAGCACAAACAATATACAAACACTAAAAGCCAAGCACGAAAAATGTAAAAAAAAAAATATGTAAACAAATTAAGAAATGTATAAAACAAGGCAAACAAACAAAGAGAGATATTAACATAGGTAAGTAGTCAACGCACTTTTAAACAAGTCAAAGGATGGTATGTTTACTAATTGCGCGGGAAGGCGATTCCACTCTGAAGATGTCCTTGGAATAAAAGAGTTATAATAGGCTGAGGTAATGCAATGAGGAATTCCGACTTTAAATTGATGATCTACGCGCAGCGAGATGAAAACAGGATTTAACATTAGTTTGTTTTTTAGCGGAGTATTGGAATGATAAATTTTATAAAAAAAGACACAAACGAGATATTTTTCGGCGTAATGAAAGAGCAGGAAGTGATAAATTAGTTTTCATAGTTGAGACACTAGATGTGCGATGATAGTTAGTAAATATAAAACGGGCACCGCGATTCTGTAGGGCTTCAAGATCAGTCACGAGAGTTGAGAGACCAGGATCCCAGATTGCTGCTGCATAGTCTAGTTTGGAACGGACAAGGGATTTATACATTAGTAGTTTTAGGGACACTGGGGCTAACCTAAAGTTTCTCTTCAGGTAACCAAGCATGGAGTTAGCGTTGGCGATAATGTGGTCAGTATGAGTTTTCCATGACATGTTAGAAGTGATGTGCACCCCAAGGTACTTATAGCATGGTACAGTTTCAAGAGGAATTTCAACGATTGAGTAAGTAGGAGATATAGTAATTCGACGGGAGATAGTCATCGCTTTACATTTGTTAGTATTGAGGGACATTTGCCACAAATCGCACCAATCAGCCACAGCTTGTAAGTCATTTTGAAGAAGTTCGATGTCAGTAGTATTAGTGACTTCTCGATAAATTACACAATCATCAGCAAAGAGGCTAATCGATGATGATACACACAGTGGTAAGTCATTTACGTAAATTAAAAACAACAGGGGCCCCAAAACAGACCCTTGCGGTACACCAGAAGTAACAGGTTTGATAGAAGAATTTACATTGTTAGCATGAACGAACTGAGAACGATTAGCTAAAAAACATGTAATCCAAGTACAGCCGGCTGAACTTGTAACAAGCCGAAGTGTTCTTGATATTGCAATTGTTTCTTTTTTTTCGGCGGTGGTATACTCTGGTTCCGATTATAAGTACCCCCCCCAGTTCCGATTTTCGAAAATTGAAAAATGGGTCGACCTACAATCGTGTAAATACGGTACACGGCTCGTAGTGTCCATTGCGGTAGGTCGTGAAATGATATCGAGGATAATAACTGCTTGCATTCCAACGTGTACTAAAGGCACTCTTGTTGCAGACGACGCTCGGGTAGCACGTCGTCGTTGCAGACGGACAGTGGATCGGCGATGGCTCCTCCGGAAGTGGTGGTGGCGGCTGTGGTGTCCTCGGACCCGGAGAAGGGACGAGTCACCTCTCCGGTTGGATCCGAAGGTCGCTGGAGCCGCCGCGGATCTTCGCGGGCCGCACCCGAGCAGGTCCGCCTGCTTGCGGGGGTCGGCGAGGGTTCGGCCAGCGTACGCCGGAAGGTAGGCACCCGTCGTTTGCTAGCAGCAACTTTTACGTACTGATGGACTCATATCAGCGGCCATTATAGTTTGGGACGGCCATTTTTGTAAGGGCAGTCATCGAGGGACGGAATGCAAGCTTGAGAAAAACCCTCTGTTTTGTGTAGAGCAGCCATCTTGATTTAGAGCAGCATATTTGTGAAGTCAGCCGTTGAGAGGCAGGATGCTAGCTTGGCCGAGGCACTCAATATAGTGGAAAGCCGCCATTTTGGTTAGAGCGGCCAATTTTTGTGAGGACTGTAGTCTTTGTAAGGGCGACTATAAGGGGATGGGTAAAGACACTCAGTCTGGTGGAAAGGTGTCATTTTGAGTCAGGCAACTGCATTTTGGTAGAAGTGCTAGTTTCTTTATGAAACCAGATGTTTAGATGGGGCCTGTATGAAATCAGATGTTCAGATAAGGCGAGCGATGTACTTACATTTATTTTTAATGGAGGCTGGCATTTTGACATATCCACCTTGATTCAGCTCATTTAGGGGAAGTAATCATTTTAGTGGTGCCAGTTATACTAACGCTTTCTGTTGATTGCTCAGGATAAGCAACCCTCCAGAAGTCGAGAAGGTTAAGAACTAAATGGAAAATTAACTTTCTTGATAAAAGAAGAAACAGCTATGAAATGGTGGGTGTGAATCAAAAAGCAAATAGCCTATGGGACCTGGATAAATTCTTTCAGTTGTTTTCAGGACTACGACGAGTAACAGAACAGAAAAAGAAACAAGTGTGCACCCTCTTTCAGAGGGGAGGACATACCTGGCCCTGTGTGTCGAGGTTTCGGTGCATGCTTAAGAGCCCTCAGGTAGGCATAAAACTTAAAATCGGTAGCTTACCAGTGACGTCCTAGTGTATGCTGCGGTTTTGATGGTGCCACGGTGTGTGTGTGTGCACCTTGAGGTGGCATTTCTGCTGCCGTGTTTTTGTGATCATCGTTGTATGTGAGCGTGCTCTATTTGCTTGACTGCTGGAACTGTGGCACCATTACCCTAACCTTTGATTTGTAGCAAACCCTGTGCTCTCCCGAGCTTAAGCTCGTGTTGCAGACTTAAACATTGCGAGTTCAGCATCTGCTTTCGCTGGTTTCAACGTATATGTAGATGGGCATTGAGCCAGCATGCATCTCTGTAATCACCAGCGAAGACCCCAGGCTAGCCAAATTGTTCAGCGGAGACGCCACTCTCTTTTTAGTGCAGAACACATTTTAATGGAAGGAGTGTTAAGATTTGTGTAGCCGTACCAGCACTCCACTGTCATTAGCTAGATTTGGCAGGCTAACGTCCTGCTAAACTTAGCGAGACGTCACTATCGCTTGCATGGTCATGTGGTCAGTGCCACTGTGGGCCACACGACACCACGGTGTCACATTGTGGTGTCACGTAACTCGTGGTGCGAAGTTGCTTTCTTCATGTGACAGTGTCAACAACGTTATTATTTCTAGTAACGCTGGGTGTCGGTTCGTGGGGCAGTCTGTCAAGTGATGTCGTACAGCGTGACACGTCCGCCGCCGTAATGTCACATGATTGCGTCGCAGCACGCTCTTTAGATTTGCGTATATGTTGCTGAATGCATTCTGCATACAGAACATTTTGGCGGTAGGCCAAAGGGGTCCTGCCTTAAATTTTTATCTGGCACAGTTGTAATCCGGTATCACACTGGTTAGATCTTGTGAAATGTTGGTTTAAGGGGAGACACTGCTCCTTGGGGCAAAAAGTACTAAAAAAACCCACATTTTTTAATTGTGTTCTTGAAAATTGACAGGCGCTTACCTCGTCCCAAAGTATTTTTGTGAAATAAATCTCTTTTATCTTGAAATATTGACTTGAAAACATAGTAAAATGAGTCTGTGCATGCTTTTCTTATTACTTTACTCCATAATTTTTTTTTCTCTGGTAGGTGTATGTGCAAGGCATCCAATAAGACATACACATATGTTAAATATGACGTCAGGATATTTTTCTATGCCTTTTTTAAACTTCCTGCAATAAATCATAATCAAATTATGAAACTGGAAAGTTCAAAAGTGTCATAAGTAACCTATAGCCTTCATTTATACCTCTTCGAATTTTGCAGACCTTTCAGTTTACTGAGATATGTTTATTTCGTGGCTTCAGTATTTCAGTTTGGCTTAATCCTTCCCATATTCTTTGCAAATTAAACTCTCAGTATTAGCAAAATTTATCAGGCTACATCAAAACCAAGTACATATCTGTAGTTAGACTGTAAAGGCAGATAAGCTATGTAAATCTCATTTGAGTTGGATCGCAAGCTATACAAAAAAGGCTTTAGGAGCAGTGTTGCCACTTAAAAAAAACCTGAAAAGAAAAAATTTAAACAGTTTGGTTGGGACACACAGATAAAAAAAATTAATATTATGGCAAAAAAAAAATTTTAGAGCAATATTGATGGCGAGAGACTTATATGAAATTCTGCACGCAAAGTCCCTGACATCATGGAACGGTCATTCGCTCTTTCCACCTCAACGTAAAGGCGAAGCCGATTCACCTCTCCTTCACGCACCCAAAATGACGAGAGAGAAAACAAGTGGACAAGAGGTGACTACCGACTAAATCACGTCTTCTGCCGTCTAAAAAAATTTTTTTCACAAAAGTGTATTTTTTGACACGCGTATCCCAACCAGACTGTTTAAAAAAAATTTCTTTTTCTTTTAAGGGTTTTTTTAAGGCTGAGAACCCGTAGTGGTCATCCTGAATTTTCTGGAACATGCTATCTTTTGTTTTTATTTATTTAAATTTAGATTAAGATAATTATGTACCTTTCACTTGGCCACTAATTAGCCTTTTTCGGCATTTTGTCAAAAAAAAGTATCATCCTAGATATAATTAAACAAGATCAAAATAACTTTAGAAGTTAAACTCACTATTAGGTTTTTATTTTTGTTAATTGCCTTATCACTATCTATTTTTTTTTTTGGACCTTGATGTGAGGGGACATGGCTGTACGGTCTTGTTTTTGAATGTATTGGTTTAAACGATTGCAGTGGTTGGTGTGCATATAGTGATATTATGAGCACTATTGACAAAGTTCTCATGCACAAAAAATGTTCCTTGAATCGACTAAACAGCCCATCAACCGATTGACTCAGTGGCAGATGCACTGCATGGTAAGCCATGTGGAAGGGAAATGCGCGTGTGATGTAACCGTTGTCAAAAGATTCCTGCGCCGAGGGGAACACACCTGGCACATCCCTCTTTTTCCAACTTGCAGTACATGCTTTGATTTTGGTGCTGCATTCTGTAAAGAAGCTTTCGTTAGAAAGTTTTGCCATAAGATTGGGTGAGGCATTCAATTCCCCCAAAAAAGTGGACACTGCTGTTTATTGAAAAAGAAATGTTCTGGAGTTGTTTTCTGTGTTTTGTTTAGAATTCCCTCAGGTCGTTGACTGCATCTCAGCAGAAGTTGGTGCCATTAGTCAGCTTTTTTAGAACTCACTCACAACCAGCTCAAATAAAGCCATTCCCTCACCCTCATACTCACAACTAGAAACAAACGACAGGCTTGCTAAAGGCCTCACTCGACTTCAGTCCCTCACTCATTAACCTATAAACTTGCCGAACTTATGAACTCACTTGACGCATAAGCCAACCAAACTCATGAACTCACCAAACACCATACTCATTAATTTATTGGTTTTATGGACTCGTGAAGTCATTGGGCTCATCATCAATTCACTAAATCCGTGAACTTACCGGACTCATGAACCCACTGGATGCATAAACTGACCAAACTCTTACACTCATCATACTCATAAGCTCACTAGACTTACGAGCGAACAAAACTCGTAAATTAACAAAACTCATGAACTCATCCAACCTCATGAACTCACTGAACTCGCAAACTCGTCAACTTGCTGGACGCCTAAACTGACCAAACTCTTACACTCATCATACTCATAAACTCACTAGACTTACGAGCTAACAAAACTCGCAAACGAACAACACTCATGAGTTCATCCAACCTCATGAACTCACTGAACTCGCGAACTCGTCAACTTGCTGGACGCCTAAACTGACCAAACTCTTACACTCATCATACTCATAAACTCACTAGACTTACGAGCTAACAAAACTCGCAAACGAACAACACACATGAATTCATCCAAGCTCATAAACTCACTGAACTCACCGAACTCGTCAACTTGTTGGACGCTTAAACTGACCAAACTCTTACACTCGTCATAATCATAAACTCACTAGACTTATGAGCTAACAATACTTGTAAACTAACAAAACTCATGAACTCACTCAACTCGTCAACTTGCTGGACGCTTAAACTGACCAAACTCTTACACTTATCATGCTCATAAACTCGCTAGACTTACAACTAAAAACTCGCAAACAAACAACACTCATGAACTCATCCAAGCTCATGAACTCACCGAACTCGTCGACTTACTGGACGCTTAAACTGACCAAACTCTTGCACTCACCAAACTTACTATACTAATGAACTTATGACTTACGAACTAACAAAACTCGTGAACTAACAAAACTCATGAACTCAATGAATGCATAGTTTTTGAGGCTTACGAACTCGCTGTTCCACACGCCTGAGTGTGAGAGTGGTCAAAGTGAACGAGTGTTGCCAAAGCATGGTCGATACCGATTCTGGCGCTCACCAATGTCCTTCGACTGTCGACGACGGGTGCGCAGGGACGGGACGCGGAGGCAGCAGAGACGCGCTCGCTCCTCGAAGGCAGCGCAGAGTCGAGGGGGACGTCCCACCGGACCCTGCCGGCTTCCGGAGCGCAAGGCAGCGTGTCTGCTTCAACACCCCACTCGCTGCACCTGTGCCAAGCGAGGCCAGAGCGGGAGAACAAGGCCACAGGTGTGCAGCTTTGTCATTGATAGCTAGATTCAAAGTCCCAAATTATATGACAAAGATCCATAGATCCTTGTCATAAATGGCTAGGTCTATGATCTAGCCATATATGGTCTATGATCTATGACAAGGATTCGTAGATGGCTAGATTTAGTATCCTAAATTCTGCGATAACCCATTCCGAAGGTGAAGCCGAAGGAATCCAATCCAGTGCATAGAATGTATCGTATTGCACCACTCTCCTCGGTTTAAACTACTTACTGGTCTGGAAACTTAAGCGGTTTCTGCCCTAGTAAATCTTGTCACCATAAGTGGCATTGATGCAAGTAGGAATAAAGGTTCAAATGCCAAAAAAAAAAAAACATGAAAAGGCTAAAGAAAACAATATCTTGAAAAATCTTGAGAACTTTTTTTGAGTAGGTGTAGCGTACCCTTCACCTGGTGTTTCAACTCTTCCGAAATAATGTGAGCCCCCGGTCTAAGGTATTTGCCTCGAGATCGAACCGTGTCGCCACCGTGCAGCCGAAATTGGGAACATGCGAAAGCAAGGATGCTGCCATGCGTCGTCTGCTATCGGCGCACGTTCAGAAGCATGGATCTGGACGACGCAAGCCCGTTTCCAGCTCAGCTGAGCTCTCCTGATTAAACACTTGTTTTTGTTGTCGTTTCTTCCTACTAAAGGTTGTGTTGTATCGTTTCGTGTAGGCGGAAATTCAGCAAAGCGATTAGTATTAAGTTGGATGCTTCCAGAATCGTAGTGTTGTGGTTTGTATACAACCGCTGGCCCGCCATATTTTTTTTATCTCGCCAAACCATAGCTTTCATAAAACACTGAATGTCGATTGGAGCTGTGCTTTGATTAAAAAGTATTCCGACTGATCGCTACCCTTTAATAAACTAATCAGTTGATAAATCCGTTAGTTGATTTTTCACCGGTCATATTGCAAATTTTTACTATGTCATAAAGACATATTGCATTCCCCTTTTAAACTTCACGTTACGGCTACAGAAATCTAAACACGGGAAGCCTTTTAAAGTGAAGTAATTTTTAAGTTATTATTTAAACATTATGATCACCCTCTATGAAAATCACAAGCATGTTGAAGGAGTTTACCATGCAAGCCTGTGTACTAAAAGAAATAAAGACATCAGAAATATTAAAGCAGGCATTTTTTTATTTTTCCTGACTTTCTCCAGTACAAGATTCCAAATAATAAACAGAAAAAATGTGGTGCGGGTTGTTTGTTGAAGTTTCAGGGTCTACTATGTTTGAATAGAAGATTATTTAGTCAGAAATTTTGTATTGTTAGCCTTTTGACATCCGCAGCCCTCACCGAGAAAATTGAAGCAGGGGAACCCACACAACCGAGAAAAGCATCTGATAACACGCCCACTATTGCTTTGCTCGGTTACACCCATTTGTTCGACTCGTGGCAGATATGTTAGAATATCTTGTTTCACTTGTTTCAATTGTCTTGCCAGCAAACAGTTTCCAGATCGTAACTAGAAGAGGCACGCTCTCCTCTCGGCAACATAATAGAATTGTTCCGACTCCGAAAAACTTACCCACGCCATGGCAGAGTAAAGGAAAACATTGGCTGCAGTGGAACTTCTCTAATTTCACTAACTTCTCTTCATGCTAAATATTTATATTCCTGCACCAGCTAAAAGTCGCAAAAGCAAAAATGCATAGAACCTGCGATTTCACAGCCCACAGTGCCCATATTACGTTATCCGGGTAGGAACTCATCGTTTTGTTGAGTTTCCACGCTGGTGGACCGATATACATCTATTTTAAAAGAAACAAAGATTTAACATAAATAGTTCAGTTCATCCAGAGACAGGTATCCGTTGTGGTGATCCATGCTTCCCGATGTCTGCCTAGAGCAGACGACGCATCCACACAAGCGATTATTTAAATATAGGCCGTACGCTGGTAAGACGATTCCATCTTCACTGAAGCACCGAACGGTACCGCACCATTTTCCGCTAAAATTGTTTTCCCACGAATACTATGCAACAAAATAATTGCAACAATCTACACCGTCTCGCACGCGAACATGGAAAGCCTATGGGCCAGCCATGCTTCCACCTCTAGGTTGATCTTGAGGCCAATATATAGAGCCCTGCATATCCGCAGATTATCCCTGGGTATCCGCGGATATCCGTAGTAAACTGGCGGATGCGAATGAAAATTAGACAAATTTTGGCGGATTGCGGATCTGATGCGGATGTCGGGCTGTGTATGCGGATATCTGCGGATCTGGATCTAAATTTTTGCCCGGTGGCATTCAGTTCGTCGACTGACGTTTTATCTACAGACCGTTTCGTCCACATGCGACGTTTCATCGAAAGGCTTCTCGTGTTTGTCTCTTAGAAAAACCTGGGACGTTTCGTCGCATACAACCCTGCTATTTTCGTAACGAACTTTTTGCGTCTTGCCTTGATTACAAGGAGGGGTATGGTTTGGTTAAGCTCGCCTTAGTGAATTGCGCGCTAGCTTTTACCGGCTTAGTGAAGAAATGCGTTGTCAACAAAACGTACATCGTCGACGAACCGTGTGTCCATGGAATGAACGTCCATGAAAAGTTGTCCACGAAACGTATTTCCACGAAACGTGTTTCGAAGAAACAATAGGAATCCTAAGAAAAATCTGATTCTTACTGAAGATCGCTTCAGTTAGTGCGTTTCCTCTCGTCAAAGATACTATCAGTAGAAAATTGAAAGCTTGCAGGGCATCAATCGTCCCGAGAAAGCTAGTACATTGGCAGGGAAAGAGCAGAAACTTTCTCCAGCAAAGAAAACCTCAAACGGACAAGTCACAAGAAAGTAGAAGAAACCTTTCCCTTATACAAATAGTAGTGTGGTCATGATTCCAAAAACAAAAGAAGTGCCTCGACATCCTTTTTGTGCACTTCTTCTGGGCAGAGTGTCGCGGACTCCTAGGTCGATTACATAACTGAGATCATTTTTCCTTCGACGCGCAGTGTCTCGGGAAGGCCAATCGCTTTTAATATAAACATACGATGAAATTTATAATGATAAAATGACATCTCCTTTGAATGGTGACCCGAAGATTTTTTTGAACAAAGATAAGCAAACAACTTAAAATGTGCTTTTTCTATTTTTTTTTTTTTTTTTTTTTATTCTCGCTTGATGTTATGATAACAATGAATGCCTGGACTGTGAGTCGGATCTGGTTCCAAATTTTGCGGATGCAGTTCGCATACGGATACAAAGTCTGCAGATGCGGGTCGGATGGGCATAATCAAACTGTTATCCGCGCAGGGCTCTACCAATAGACAACGTTTCAAATTGTCCGTTTTTTTGATCGGTGCGAAGGGGTTTTACAAAAGAGTAGACAGACTCAAGCTGCAACTTCTTTCGTGGCGGGTTCTCCGAACCCACGTCCATCCGTGAGGTTCTTGGAGCAATCTGATTTGTTGACTCCAACTTTCCCGTAGTGTGATTCCGGACAGAGGAACCTAAAGGCTGGCTCACACACACTTGTGACTGTTTGCGACCTTGCACTTTAAAAACCTCGTCAAATCTCTTACGACAAGAGAATACACTGGTGCCATCTATCGGGTAGCTGTGGAATGCTTGGCGTTTCCGAGTATTCCCTATTTCGTTTATGCATCATTCTTTCTCTCTTGGCTTAAAAGGATATTTCTCGTAGATAGTAAGTACATTTTATCTCGCAAAACCTTTGCTCTGGTGAAATGCACTTTCGGGGTCACCTCATAAGTGGCACCAGCGTGCCAGTGTGTGTGGAGCACAAGTCCGTCTGCTTCTTTTGCAGGGGTTATGGCGACGTCTGAATGCCGAGCTCTGCTTGGCTTTCATTGTAGGATAGTGGGTAGACCTCAAGGCAGCTAGCATTTAGTTCTACCTGATTGGCTCCGATCCTTCGATCAGAGCCAATCGGAGCTCGGCGTTCTTCAAAAAAAAGCAGATGAACTTGCGCTTCTCTCTCGTCGTAAAAGGTCTCGAGAGCTCGGTCCCGAGTAGACGCACGTGTATGAACGGGACTTTGAGAACCGCGATACAATTAACGAGCGTGCCCTTGTCCATCTGGCAACACGCCGCAGACACATCCCCGGGAGCAGACGACTCCGACTACTACACTCCCGAGGACCCCGCCACCGGCGTCGTGGCAGCACCCACGTCCGTCGGCGGCCACTTCCTGGTTGACCAGGGCACCGACACCAGCCTGGACACACCGCAGACCGAAGCACCGCCGTCGCCGGGCCGCAAAGTGGTGCAGGCCATCTCGCCGACCGCCCTGGCGGCGGCACCGCCTCCCGCAAGCGGCACGAGGGACTCCCCGGACGCCATGGCGCTGCGCCGGAGGCGGGTGTTCGAAGACCGCTGCTCGCCCGTCTGCGAGGAGGACCAGCGGCCCATCGAACTGGTTGAGGTCAAGGTCGCGTCGCCCACGTCGGTGACGGGATCGGCGTTTGAGGTGGGTGTTTTCTGTGCCTGTGCCCCCCCCTTCCACAGATGGTTCTTCAGATATCTACGGTACTCTGAATGTCCAATTAATGGCCCTCAAATGTCGAACCTATTGCGGGGCCTCGAATCTTGGTCCTACGACGGCTTCCAAAAGGGGGTGGTAGTATCTTTAAATAAAAAGTAAGAGATGTCAGTGACTGGTTTTGCGTTTGGGAAAGGTATTTTTACGACTAGACGGTGGTGTAAAAAGCGCAAAGGACTAATAAGAGAAGGAGGGGACAGGACAGAGCGCTGTCAAATTTAATAGAGCATGGAGAGAACAACAAGGTGGAAGGGAAAAAGGAGAAAAGAAAGATAAAATTAAACTTACTGCTGCTACAAAGACCGCATATTTAGTTTTAGAAATCAAAATAAAAATTATTTTAACTTCAGCTAAAGGCAAAGTACTTGTCACATAAAAAACTGTCTTTAAAACGAAAAGAAAAGAAGAAAAAGAAGAAGGAAAAAAAGGAAAAAGTATGCAGAGCAAACAATTCAAAAGTCTTCACGAAAAACACCACTAGAACTGAAGTTCTTTTTGTTTCAAGTCTTCAGGGGAAACACCGAAGGAACTAAAGTTCTTTTTGTGTTAGGTTCACTGATGGCGCACTTATACACTTGTCACCACTGGTGAGGATGACTTGAGCCTCGTACATTTCTCTAGTGTTTTTGTCACGGAACCGCTTCAGAACTTTGGTGTGGTTGAATGTTGGTGAGCATTTGCAGTCTCTGACATGCACCGCAAGATGGTGTTGATTTCAATGTTTGGGCATGTTCTCTTAATCTCGTATTAATACATCGCCCCGACTGACGTACGTATACTTTGCCGCAAGTAAATGGTATTTGATATAGTACCACTCCACTTGCACATCCTACATATCTGAGTCGATGTTTTACACTGCACTCTGCCTGTTGATGCTGTTGGCAATTGATCTTAGGGCAGAGCCTTTTTAGTTTGTCCGGAGCTGAAAGCACGACTTGGACTTGAAACTTGCTCTGCATACTTTTTCCTTTTTTTCTTCTTTCTTCCTTTTTTTCTTCTTTTTATTCTTTTCTTTTTGTTTTTTAGACAGTTTTTTTTACGTGACAAGTACTTTGCCTTTAGCTGAAGTTAAAATAATTTTTATTTTTATTTCTAAAACTAAATACGTTGTCTTTGTAGCAGCAGTGAGTTTAATTTTATCTTTCTTTTCTCCTTTTTCACTTCCACCTTGTTGTCCTCTAGATGCTCTATTAAACTTGACAGTTGTAAGTAAGCGCTCTGCCCTGTCCCATCCCTCTCTTCTTAGTCCTTTGCGCTTTTTAAACCACCGTCTTGATGTTCAACCAACTAACCCCCCAATTAATTTTGATGTATTTTTACGAGTGTTCCTCAACCTGACAGGACACGTGGTTCTCAAGGTAGCTTTGACACTCTGGATGTCCAGTTAAAGTGCCTCGAACGTCGAACCGATCGCATTTGACACAGCATAGCCCATGTTCCATTTTACATCATTAAACACAGAATTACAGTAGACTCTCACCAATTTAAACTCTAGGGAGCCACAAATTTTGATCGAATTATCAGAAATTACTCGTGGTGTGGGGAAGGGCAAGTTTAGGTTAATTATGATAGTGATTTAATAAATAAATATAGCTAAGTGCTAGTGTGCAGTAAACTTCTCTTATTGACATATAGGAGAGAAAACACGCCCGAAAATTGAAACATTTCTTCTCAATCTGAGAAAAGACGACTTTTATTTTCGGGCCTGACTGATGAGGCTGGGCTTTGCGGACCCCTAGAATGCCTTCGCGGACCCCAAAGTGTCGGCGGACCCCCATTTGAGAATTACTAAACCATAGCATGCTTGGCCCCCCCGCTGTGCACGTCTATGGACCTAAGTTTATTTATCCCTAAAAATTGTTGTTTATCGTGCACTGTTTCACAGCACATGACAACTCAAAACAAAATTAAGTTGGTTCCTCAGGCCAAGAAGTTGCTAATGTGGACTATTGGCGAGGAGATTGCACTATAGGGGGTGCAGTTTCATTATCATCATCACCAGAAACAGTCGCTGTTTGGCAAACAACGACGCCAGCACTTGCCTAGCGTACGGAGCATCGTTTCCACACTCGCTGCATATTTGTTGGTAGCTATATGGTGCACACTTGCTGCGTACCGCAGTGCTCAAAGCATGCTTTTGCACCCGGTATATGCAGTGCGAAGGACTGCAGCAAGTATGCGACGATGCGAACACTATCCACCGTCTGCTCTGGTGCAACGCTGCACTCTATAACAGGATCGCAGTTGAGCACGTCCTCTCCTTCAACGAAACACGGCTTGCTTTTGCCGATGTCGTCCATGATTGTTTTAAGAGACGGGGAAACTGTGATGTGCGTGTTTTGTGAATAGTTTAGAAAAACACGGACGTTGCGCGATCCAGTGCGTGCAGCCGACACGATGCAACCAGCCCAGCACACGTGCAAGCAGGGGCAGACTCAGGTATTCTTTTAGAAAGGGGGGGAGGGGGGTTAGCATATCATATGTTTAAGAATTCCCCCCCCCCCCTGTTTCCCTGCTCTAAATTTTTACACATACAGAATTCAAGAGGGGATCGGGATATCGGCATGCCCCCTCTGAATTCGTCACTACCACGCATGCGCTTGTTTTGCCTTGCAAGAGGACTTCGATGACATTGAATGCAAGGGGGCTAGATTACTTTTATCTAGATGCATTTAGGAGAAAAAAAATAGTGTTACATATCTTTCATGAGCCTTGCATCGTCGTCTTTTATGGCAGCAAATGCACTAATGACTGCGGTCAATAGGTTTGTTTGCCACACACCGTTAGTTCCCGATGTGGCCGTCAGCCAGGGAGCGCCACTCCTCAATCTCCTCCCCAATAACCAGGAGACACGTTAGCGATGAAAATGGGCACCACGCAGCAGTTTTCACAGCAACTTGCGCGGACGCCATTACGTGGAGCTATGCAATGCCGCCATGCCACGGTGTCCGCGCAAGTTGCTATGGAAATTTTTGCTTGATGCCCGTTTTCATAGCTCATGTGTGCCCGCTTGAGCCTTGTTGAGTGCACCGGTGCTCGGAAAGAATTTCACTCTATGGGGGGGGCCGCGAGAACAATAAGTATGAATTACGCGAAAACGCTGTTCAAATTAAGCAACTTATGAATTGATTAAAAACATAGTGGGACAACCAAAATTTTGAAATTTATTTGAATTAACCAGAAGTATGAAATATCTGAGTTTGAATTAATCGCGAGCCTACTGTATCATCCAACCAACCACAGATGTCAGTGACGGGCTTGGCGTTTAAGGTGGGTATTTTTGTGCCTGTGCATCCCCTGACAGAAGACATATGGTCTTCCAGATACCTATGACACTCTGAATGTCCAATTAAAGTCCCTGGGATGTCGAATTCATCACAGATGTCAGTGACGGGTTCTGCGTTTAGGGTAGGTATTTTTATACGTCGTCTGCCTTACCTGACAGATCAAATGGTCCCCCAGGTAGCTATGGTTCTCTGAATGCCTAAGTCCTTTGAATGTAGAACCGTCACCAAAATAGAGGGTGGGTTCTACATTTGAGGTGGGAACTGTTATGCTTCTACCTATTCTGATAGAAGGCATGGTCCTGCAGATATCTCGATGCTCCCAATGTCCAGTTGAAGTTTTTTGAACGTAAAACCCGTTACTGACATACCTACTTGGCAGGTTCCACGTTTCAGGTGGCTATCATTATGCTTGTAGCTTTTTTTATATGGTCCTGTGGTGATGTACGGGACGTTCCAATGTCCATTCACGGTGTTTTGATCACAGAATCCATCAGCCTTCTAATGCTTTTGGAGCTTGGGGGAATAGATACTAAATTAATAAACATAGCAAACCAGATGGCTCCTCGATATGCGGCTAATGGCAGCTTGTCGTGAGCCCGGTTTCTCATGCTTCTCTGTGGGAGATATGCTTTTTTTAAGGTTGTTTTTTGGGTGCGCCACATTGTGAAGAACCTGGCACTTGCGCTATGGATGTTGCTTAGCGACCACTTCGTCAAGGACCCTAGTTACGTGGGAAAGGCGTGCGCCATGAGAACGCTCTCAGCTGAGGCTACTCGGACGCGTGTCAAGAGAACTTTGTCTGGTCGATCGCGTCGCAGCGTTCGCCGTGCTGTGTGTTCTCATCTGTATAAATCTTAGACCTCGCTTCAAATTAAAACTACCGTTTTGCCTTTTTTTTTCTGCAGGCCAGGACGCAAGCAACATCTCCCGCCAGGGGCACCGCAGTGGTTGGCCATGCAGAGACCAGCGTTTCGCTTCCGGGCACCCCAGCGAGCAACGCCAGCAATCGTAGCAGCGGCGACAGCTGCAGCAGTGGTTCCAGCACGCGTCTGCTTCTGTCTGGCGGACATCGGCAAGGGCCAAACAAGACGACGGGGGCGCCAGAATGCTAACCCAGTCCAGCGATTCTTCTGGCTCCTCTCTGCCTCGTATGCCGAAGTGACTAGACCCAGACAGCCATTTCATTGGCTGTCAAGCTCAGCGTGTCGTCCGCTGAGACAATTCCCGGAACATGACCTACGCCAACTCCCGGGACCGTGACCTGGCGTGTCGTCTGCTGAAGTGGTTGCCAGGATATCATACACACCAGCTATCGTTATCGTGGCTCGGCATGTCTTGTCGCCTGCTGGAGTGGTTACTGGGATGTCATACACACCGGCTTTCAGGATCATAACTCAGCATGTCATCTGCTGAAGTAACCGCTGGAATGTCATTTACGCCAGCTTCCAGAACCATGACTCAGCATGTCTGCAGCTGAAGTGATTGCTGGGATGTCATACCCACTGGCCTTGAGGATCATGACTCAGCATGTCATCTGCTGAAGCGGTCGCTGGAATGTCATGTACACCAACTTTCAGGACCGCGGCTCGGGGTGTCTTGTCATCTGCCGGTCTCCTGGCCTAAACGATGAGATAAGCGGACAGTTTGGTGCATCACCTGCCAGGTTGATGCCTGCCACTCTGACGACTCAGTTCGTTCTTAGCTGATGACTTTGTCCATCATCTGCTTGGCTGGTGACTACAGAGCTTTTGCTGGCATCCCAGCTGGTAATGGGGCTGTTTGCCAAGCTGGTCATTCAGTTCCAGAAAATCACCGTCTTCACCACTTTGCCATGTCTTCTGGTAACGGGCTGTCTTGTCCCTAAATGACTCGACGTGTCGTGAGAGAACTTGGCACCATCCTTCCTGGATGACACCACATGTTCCTGATAATATCTTCATCTCTTCTGCTCGCTTTCACCCCGGGTGATGGTGTGACGAGACATCAGTGAAGCCGCTTTGCTTAGGAAGTGATGTCAATGACACGCGACCACAAGTCAAGACATTGGCTGATGGCTCTTCAGCTGGACTTCATGAAGGCTCCTGATGACCCAACAGTACATGGACACAAAGAACTTCTTAGCTGTAATGGAAGGTCACTTTGCAGATCTTTGGAGGACACTCTTAGCTTGCCCATTCAATGAGCGTGCAGCTTTACGAGCTGTGGGACAACTTCACAGTGCCATGGGATGACATTTGTGAAGGTGTGCTTCGGGCAGGAAGTGCTTCGACTGTTTCTTGCCTTGGAAAGGTGGGAGAGGAAAAGAAACATTACTAATTTAAGGGGAGGGTGTACTACTTGCCAGTCACATAAGTTCTATTCAACAGCGCGAATAATCAAGACTACAAAATGAGTAGGTATACAGGGTGTCAGAAAAAAAATTTACAGGGTTTTTTCACCTTTAAAATAAACTAGGCATCGCCGAACGCTCATTCTCCGTTCAAAGGTAGCGCTGGAGGTCACAACCAGATGCCAAAGTTTCAGCCCAGCCCGATATCTTAATCAAAAGTTATAAGTGATTTTCTGAAAATTTCAATGGGAAAATGGAGCCCATTTTTGCCCGTTTTCGGTTTCTGGTGCCATAGAGCCTCATGTATTTGAAAACTCCGTCGGCGGCTATTTTTTCATTGAAATTTTCTGAAAGTCGCTTATAACTTTTGATTAAGATATTGGATTGGGCTGAAACTTTGGCATCTGGTTGTGACCTCTAGTGCTACCTTTGGGCGGAGAATGAGCTTTCGGTGATGCCCAGTTTATTTTTGCGGTTAAAAAAACCTTGTAAATTTTTTTGGAACACCCTGTAGTTTGGTTAAGAACAATTTCATCAGGAGCTCCTGGTAATGTCATCATCTCTCTTGATCTCGCATAGTGAAGTAACTAAACAAGAGACAACTTTGCCTGCGCCGTGCAGATATTTTACAAGATGCTCGCGCAATAAATTGGCACTGGCTTTGTCGTTCAACCATTGTCAGCTGGTCATGGTACCAGGCAATACCTGCTATGCACCAGCTTTGCCACTAAATATCTATATGGTCAAACTCGAGCCGTGCCTCCGACCTTTTAATTAACCCGTCTCAATTTAGTGTACAGTCGTGGGGTGGACTGAAGTGCGATTGGTGGTGAGAAATGGGGGATGTGCTGCAATCATTGGCTAGTACTCCACCCTAAGAAATGTGTGCAGTGTTGCAGAAGGCTTCAGCGGTTAGGATGCAACTTTGGAGAAGTGCTCTCCTCAAGCAAGTGCTCGTGTAAATTGAGCATTTCTCGGGACTGTATGCTTGTGTGCTTGTGCCTCCAACAGCGCTGTGTGTGTGCGGTACGTTTGGAAAACGGTCGGAGGATGCTTGCGTGCCTGGTGTAAAGTTCCAGAGTTCTTCGAGAATGTGTTCATAAAGTTGACGGTTGAGAATTTTTACAGCGTGGTCTTATTCTTTGTGCGTCTTTCACATTGCCGAATTGCAGGGCAGTTGGAACCAAGCGATAGGTCGAGAAGATAACGTGCTATTCACACAAATTGCTCTGAATGCAGGAAATTGTATAATATCTAGAAAAGTTAAACCAGAAACGACACCCAAAGGCAGTTGCATGAAACTTATTTGGAAGTGATGGAGGCTGCGGAAATGACACTTCTGGAACTGCCTACCATACGGTTTGAAATAGGTATATCTGAATCGTACAATGCCAGAGGGTGGCTGTTAGATATGATGCGGCACTCCACGAGTAGTGGCAAAGAGTTGAATAATGAAGCTGAAGTGTTGCACATATTTTTGTTGCTCTCCAGTTATTTTTAACTATGCGGGTCTCGTCTAATCACTTCTAAATTTAGTATGAATTGGTGGCAACTCCAGTGCACTGAAAAGATTCATTGAAACAAATTGAAAACCACCATCCTGTGAACGTCCGTATGGGACACTATGATGGTCTAGGGTCGTGTCGTCAAATTCTACTTAAAAACTTTTAGCCTTTTCACTTTGGTGAAGGAAGACCAGCTAAGCTGCATGGTGGGAATGGAGTAATGGCCGGCCGCAAGTCGGCAAACCAGTGGAAAGGCTCGAAAGGTTGCACCATCTATGAGCGATGGCGGCAAGCGGACAACCAGCAAACACAACTCTGGACAGCTACCGCCATCTATGAGCGACGGCGGCAACCAGAGTTTTGTGCCAACATTTGTTTGCGGGGGACACGATCCTGGGGAAACTAGCCCTCAACAGCTCCGCTGTAATAATCGCTTCTAAACTTAATATGATGTATAATTTTGGGTCAACTCTGATGCACTAAGATGTGTTGGAACTACTACTTGAAGCATAAAATATGGGCATATGTATGGTATGGGTATGGGCTACTTGCCTTTCTGCGGCACCGCGGTTCTCCTGAACCAAAATAAATATTATTATTATAAAGAACAATCCCATGGACGTCCATTTCGACGTTCTATGTACACGGCGTCCGACTGACTGTTTAGCGTCACAACTTACGTCTGTACCAGCAAAATTTAAAAAGCATTTCAGTTTTTTTTTTTATTGTTTTCTTTTTACGACCCACCGCCCTGACACTTGCTTTCGACGCACTTGGAGGCGTCCCGCAGCGCGTGCAACAAGTCCTGCATCTGCGCCATGTTGCAGGCGAACGAGACCGGCTCGGACGCCGTCTTGAATTGGATCTGAAACACGGGTTCCCCCAACCGCTCCAGGTGACTGTTCTTCACCCTGTAGTCGACGCACCAGTCAACGTCGGTGATGTGCGGCGGCCCGCGCCCGATCTCGGAGAGACCAATCCGGATAGACTCCCTGTGGGCTCCGTACTTGCGCGCCAGGTTCGTCGCCCTGTTGCCGACGACTCCGTACTCCTCGAGCTGGAGGGTGAGCTGCGACTCGTCGAGGTTGTAACGGGCGGCTTCGAGAATGAGGGCCAGCACGCCCGAGCTGGCTTCTTTGAAGTCGTCGCTGTCGTTGGCTCCGCCGTCGTCGGCGTTTTCGGTCGAGGTGGCCACTTCGAAGACTTTAGCGAGGAGTCTGGTATACTCTTGGTCGCTTAGCTTCTGCGTGTCGCCCGCCTTGACGATGCCGTTCACGAATACCTCCGCTAATTCCATCCTTTTGTTTATATTCTCGTAAGATGAACTCGGCTGCAGCAGCTGCAGTCAGTAGTGCTCACCGATGAAGGGAGGTGTGTCTGCAAGGCGTGCTCGATTACAAAAACTGTGCCCTAAAGCGAAAATACGTCACTTTTTTCACCCATGCGGAGTCACTCCTGAGTCGCGGGAACTACGAGGCTGTAAGGCCGTAAGGCTATGGTGCCTCGATTGCGTCTTCGACTGGTGTGTTTAGCGCCCTATCCCGCCCATACATCAAAAGTGGTCCCAATGTGGCAACAAATGACGTGAGTGTCATGCTGTTGCCTGTCGCGATCCTGGCGGTTGACCGTAGAAATACTGGCAAAAAGCACGAGCGGACGCGAGTAGCGCTGTCGTCACGGCGTCGCTTCAGGCGTCCCAACTTCCGGCTGTACTGACTTCCGTGAACTGTCACAGTGGAAAGCGACCTGCAGCAGAACAGGCGTCTGCCATATATACCACAACTGTTGGAACGCCGCCAGGGTCGCGACCGGCGACAGCATGACACTTTTATGACGTCATCAGGCAGAAATCGAGGGACCACTTTTTTGGCCGCGGTAAACACACCAGTCGGAGACGCGTTCCAGGCACCATAGTAAGGCTATGAGCAATGGTGTTTAAACAGAATGCTTTTGTTTTCGTCTCTACAACTAAAAGATTATTTCTGCTTAATTCACATAGTTTATTTCTTTGTTTGCAACTTGAAATAAAAAATTACTTTTGGCTGGCAACCTGGCATTGCGCCATCTTGCATGTAGAAATGCGATTTTGCGAGCGTTGCAGAGGCTGGCGGCAGCGTGTTGAAGACGCGTTTTCTACTCGCTCGTCGTCATTCGCCGAAGACATTTTTAAACCCCTATGAGAACGGTGAGACTTGACTTTGAAAACACGTGGGAGTTTTTTTACATCACACAGCACTGCACAAAAAATTCACAACTCGTCGAAAGCAAGTTTCGCCGGTCTCGCGGCGTGATCAAAGCTTTCTTGGCCTGCCCAAGTACTGAGTCTCTGCCCAACTACTGAGCCTCTGCTGCCTCTGCCGCTCAGGCTCCACCCAAATGTAGCTCTTATAGTTTGGACCGTAGGACCGTATCGCAAAGTTTCATTGTATAGTACTGTTTGAATAATCAAGCTACATGCGATTTTTGGGCATCTAAGTCCGCAAAAATCGAGATGAATGACTTCTGTGCCAGCAATAACTCCAACTCTCGGAGAAAAATATTTTTTTTATTACCAGAGGCCCAATATTTAAACTTTTAGGAACTTAAATCTACTGGTTCAAAGTTGACTGTGAAGAATTTTCTACTCACCAGATGCTACATACTTTGAAACGCGAGTCTCAGGACGACATTTATATTCAGAGCTTCACTCATGTTTCCAAAGGTCTTTACTACAAAATTTAAAACCCTTTTAAGTTTCGTTGATCAAGCTTTTAATGCCTCACTTTTTTAAGTCAATCAAACATTATTTTAGAAATTCTAGAATTTCAGTCCCACGCAGTTCTCAAAGTTAGAAATATTTCAAACTATAGAGGAATTAGAACATCCCTCCAGCTACTATGGAAACCGGTGTGGGAATCAGCATGAAAAAACAATCTTCAAAATGTAGTCAATCTCACAGTTAGTCAACATATGTGGCAGTGATGTCGGAACAAAAGTGGCAGTGATGTCAGAACAACTCCGAGCTCCGATTGAAATAATGGTTGATAGATACCAATGCTAGATGTCTCGAGGTCTACGCACTACTTTTTTTCAATCAGCCAATGAGAGTTCCGCGCTCCGACATAATCGCGACCCCTCTGCAAGAAGCAGACAAACTTGCGCTCCACACTGGAATAAATTGGGAATATACATACCACTTGCTTTAATCGGCTGGAGAGAATCTGTACCCTACAAAACAATCATCAGCAGTAGTGTTTACCGTACGAACGATTATCAGCGATATTGTTCACATGTTTAGCATAGCTGTCCAGAAAATTAATGATGCTGAGTCTGCCCATTCTGATGATACTCTTGCTAGCTAAAACCTCTCCCGGTGACTTCTCTTAGGTTTAAATTTAAATATGCTTTTTGAAGTGGTAATGCATTCATTCAAAAAAGAAGACATGGCGACCTGTTCGGTTCCCTGGAACTCAGCATAAGTTTTCAACTCTCTGATGACAAAAAAACAACTGCTGAAGTAAACTGCAAGTATTACTTGTGCAAGAGCTCCGTAAATACCTATTGAGAGCACAAACATGCCAAATGGTTCATAAAGTTTATTCGAAGATAGATACCACAAAAAAGTACCATGCAAGTAGTTTGGTGAATCGTATGCGGCAATACTGAGCGTTTGTTCATCGCAGCGGAACACATGCGGGATGATAACAGTCCATCGTAGGAATCGTAAATGGTAAACCATGTGACCTTGTACCCCGGCAATCGGGACTAGAACGCTGTGTTCGTCAGTTACACAACAACGCCTGCGTCGGAGAGACTCCAAACGTGATAATCTCATCATAAAAGGAGTTAGAAAAATATACAATCTCAGTGGCTGAAGTATAAAAAGGGAAAGAGTATTTCATTGGACCCACCACATACAAAGATTTGTTCCTTCCGAATAGTATTGCACGCAGTCGTGCCTAGCCCGGTTGATTGAGGAAGACGAAAATGCATAAAACGATTACAAAGTCGCTTCACAGAGACTCCACTGTGCTACATCGTGAGGCAGAAGATGCAGCGACATCTTTGGTCCACAAAGAATCAGGCTTAACAGCGCTGCCCATAAAATGGCTGCGAGCAATCTCGAGTACAGAAAAATATCTAAAAAGAGAATGGGTACCACCAAACTGCATCCCAAAAACAGTTGAAACGTCAATTGGGATGACAGATACCCCACCCTATAAACCGTGTGTAAACTAAAAAAATGGCAGATATTGATGCATTAGAAAAAAAAGGCCAAGCTGAACCAACATATTATCGACGACATTTGATAAAAATTAGGGGTGCGACATAAACTTCGGATTAGCAATTGCACCTCACATAGAGTGAACTCCTATCTCATCTCGACGACACAACATCATACTTCAAATCCTAGCAGACGAAACCGTGGGTCGATCCTATCGGACAACGTCAAGACCGCAACTGCACAAATCCTCGGAACTGGTAGTGACAACATGATGGATGACCGACGTTACTAGACAACTGGGTTCTGGAACTGTTGCAAAGAAGCAAACTCTCCACTTCGGCCTTCACCCATCGCACCGTGGAAGCACCATCTAGTGGCTGTGCTTTAAGACATCTTTGGAGATACTATAGCGAAGTGCCATCAAGACGCCGTGCTTTAGAACCTATGTATTCTGTTACCTTAACTGTGGTCTCCGAAACCGTGGAACTTTGAATGAACCTTTGCGGGAGAGGGGGTACTGCGCATGGAAGAAGCGTCTATGGGCAGTACCACGACCGAGTTGATCCGGTAATATTGCAGACGACGTATTCACCGGTCCTCAGATCTCAACGACACGGTGTTATACTTCAAATCTTAGCAGACAACACCGCAGGTCGATAACGTCGGAGGACGCGTCTGCAGCCCCCTCAGAGTGGTTCCTTGTCCAGGGTGTTCTGGATAGACCTCCTGAGGTTGTCCTGGAGGAACATCTTGAGCTGGTTCCGGTTGATCATGGTGCCCAGGTTGCCGATCTGCGAGGCTATCCAGCTGACCACGGGCACGCTGGGCACCTTCACCCAGATCTGGCTCAGCTCGGTGACCTTCAGCGACTCCACCCTGGCCTTGGCATCCGGCGGGCTCAGCGGTGTCCTCAGCAGGACGTCCACCGTGGCGCGCTCCGAATGCGCTATCAGCTGCCCCGTGACACCGCGGAACGGAACAAAGCTCCACCTGGCAACCAGAGATGAGCAAAGGTAAAAATGTCAAGGATGAGCCTACACAAAAACAGACTCGACCGGATCTTGAAAAGGATCTTGCTATACACGCCGACAGCCTGAGCAAATAGGGGCCCGTCCCGCGTGTTTCATTATCGCTCTGTGGCTAATGTGATTGCGGTGTTTGCCGAGGAACGAATCGCGAAGTGTGACGAATACAATAAGCCACTGAGACTACGGTGGCAGCTATGTGCCCGCCGAACCAATCAGTTGTCTCCCTTTTATCACCTGACCCGGCTCTCGCTTGTGGGTATGGCCGAGAGCGTAATGACGTGGCGAAAGAGAGGCACACAACTGGTCCGATGAGGACGCAGCTTCCATTGCAGCTCAGCTTAGGGGTGAACCGAGTAGTCACGAGGTAGACCTGTACGCCACTGCGCTGCTGCGCCGCAAGTTATGCACAACCCTTCAGTGCCGCTGCTGAAGTCTCCAGAACGCACCGGCTGAACGCGTTTCTTCCTGCCGCCACTGAAAGGGAACACTTTGGCGTGCTGCTGCCGTCAGTTTCTAACCGGCGCACAGGTCTATCACGTGGTCCTTGCGCTCTTTTGGGAGCTTCCTATGGGCACTAAAAGTTACTTATTCATTTTTTCTTTGCTTATAACCAAGGTAATAAGTAATTTTTAGACCCTATTGAATACTCCCGAAAGAGTGCAAGCACCATGTGACTACAGCGGCCACTTTTCCGCAGGCGCCAACTACAAATTCGTTTTGCATCGTAAATGTAGCTCTAAACATTTTTTTTTTGCAAATTTATTTTATGACATTCTTTTTCCATCCAGGCTGTTTAAAAAAGTTTCATCTTCCTTTGTATGTGTCCTTTATTGTGTTCAACCAATTTTGTGACAAATAGGTGACTCCTCTTTAAGGCAGTGCAATAATGTCTACATTAAAAGAATTTGCAGCTTGCACTTTTTACAGCGTTTTGATCTAGGCACAAGTGAGAAAAAATGTGCCACCCTCCCCCAAAAACTGCTATTCCGCTGCATAATTGTGTAGGAAAAAACAAAGGATTTGCCGATCTGCAGCCGCTCATGGCAGGTACGGGAACTATGGTGTCACGTCAGCTGAAGCGCACAGAAGTCAACATAATGAGTTCCCTCTTCAGCTACACTCGCCGTCAGCCCCTTGGCGAACAAGTCTCTTGTCTCGATCGCTCGCCGCAACCTTGTGCGATGCTAGCTCTTGAAAAATCGAAAACTGCGAAAAGAGCGGATGGGGCCCCTGAAGAGAGAACCGAACGGGAAACCAGGTTGTCCCCCGGTGACGTCACTCGGAAAACTGTGTTTAAGTTGATGGGTACTTTGACTTTCAATATGTTTTCATTTTTTAAAGTAAAATCTAGAGCGCGCAAGTAAACATGTTTTGCCTGTTTTTTTATTTTATAGGTGACACAGATTAATTCCCGCCGTTAACTGGCCAAAGTCCAAAAATCGTTGCACTGCCCCCCTTAACACTGTTTTCCAAACAAATATAAACCATTGCTTCTTAAAAATTGCGATCCAGGCCGATCCTTTGTAACGGCAACTTTGACGGCACCGCGATCTGCTCACCTGTAGCGGACGTGAGGCTTGATGAGCCCCATGAGCATGGTCATGTTGGCGTGGTCATCCCCGCACACCAGCTGGGGCGGGTGGCGCAGCTCGAAGCTGCTCAGGCCCCAGAGGACGCCGTCCGTGAGGCGCATGGGCCCCAGCTGGCTCGGCAGATGGAACGGCTCGTCCGCCCGGAGCTTCTCCCGAATCCGCTCGACGAGCCGATCCAGCCGGTGCTGCTGGCCCACGTCGTTCTCGCAGAGGGGCTGAATGGCGCGCTCCGAACGGCGCAGGAGCGCAGTCGTGCCTGCGTGAAAGAAGACGACGGCGATTGCGGGCTTCGTAGCACCAGCGCGACGGTTCCAAACAAACTGATTTAATCCAGGCGACCAGCAGCACCCAAAGGGAATTATAGCATGAAAGTGGTCAAAGCACAGGCCATCTTGCAGTAAATACATTTTGCGCACGCACAAAAATTTAAGCATTAATTAACTCAACTATCGGGGAAGGACAAACATTCACCGTGTTTGTTTAACAGGCTGGAAAAAACACAAAAAAATGAGTCATTTGAATGCCTTCAAACAATAATGCTGTATAACCGATTCTGTTTTTCAACTGTGCATGGAAAAACGGTATTTAACTAAGGAGCTTTATGTCGACCATCGTAAGCGCAATTTAATGGTCAGATTGAGGTTCAAATACGATAATGGACCAGACGACTGTGTCTGTCCAGATAAGTTAAAAGACTTCTAAGTTTAGTTTGAAATATGAAAAATAAAGCAGACGACGCTGCCCGAGGCATACGGTGCACAGAAGTCCATCGTATACATCAGCATAGACACTTATTTTTTCTGCAGAATTATATACCGATCAGTAATATTCGGGGTACAAGAACAGAGTTCTATTTTCAGATTAAAGCCTGGAGAACAATTGTATATTATTATCTTTCCTGAGACATTCAGAATTTGTGTTTCTGCATTCATTGTAAAGCAAAAGTAAACTGGTGCGGGTGAAGTGATTAACTTTTTATGCTACCATGGAAGAGGAGACAAAACATGCAGTAAAGTCTCACTATAAAAGCCATGGCTGTAACCAATAATCTTCTCAACTAACGTCAGGAACTTTGTGTACTTCTATCCTTGCAGTTTCCTGTTTCCGCGATGTCGGGTATTCAAAATGTTGAACAAGTACACGCTTCTAATCTTCCACTAACATTCCTCCTACAACCAAAATTTTGAATTATACATCCATGATGATTTTAGTCGGATTTATGTGGCTTTTGTAACAATCTGTAGTAGCACACAATTAAATAGTAGCACCATAACCATTTTCATCTCTCTTATGTTTTAAAAGTATTAAGAAAGAAATGTTAAGGCACCGTCCTTCTTTCATTTCAGTGTTGAGATTAGAAGCAAGCGAGAGGGAAAAAAAAGCCTGCATCGCTGTGAACCATTTTAGCAGGGTGCTGAGTTGATAAAGGGTTCATAACATCAATGGAATGAATACATAAAAATCAATCAAAACACAACTATCATAAAAAAAGGTGTAGAAAAACAGTAGAAATTCATAGTTGATCACTGTAGAAACAGTGATCAACTATGAATGCGATAGCATTTATCGTTGCACATACGGGCAGCTGTTTGCTCTCTACGGCCAAGGACTGGAGCATGCGGACTGAATTCATGACAATTTTTCCACTAAATTTAGCAGGCAAACTGAACTGTAGCATAAATCACGGACATCAATTTTCTGCTAAATTTGGAGGAAAAAATTTCCGCTAAATTTAGCGGGGAAAGTATGCAAGGCCAGATACAAATCAACAGAAAACTGTGATGAGTAGCTTAATAATGCTATTGCATTAAAAGTAGGCGACGAAAGAGAAATAAATAGCTTCTAAGAGTAACTGCACATTGATTCACGGGCAAAACATGGAAGCAATGAGAGATAAACAGCTTCATCTTGCAGCTGTCAAGTGCAATGGCAAAAAGCCAGTCTTGTCCTTCAACTGCTATAATGATAACTCCCAGCTAGTTTAATGACATTACTGTAGGAATGAACTATTTCTATGGCATCGCTGTAATGATGACTATTCTAAACTATGTTTAAGGCATTACTGTAAGGACAACCGCATCTGTAGTAATTATTACAACAATATTGTAACAACAGTTAAAAGCAGACTGGCTCTTTGCACCTTTGCTCACTTTCTCCTCTCCCCTTGCAGCTTGGGAGAGATTTTCTGCCTAGCATACGACTTTCTGTAGTCAAAATTTACTCACCATCACTAAGGAAGGACCTGTTTTTACAATTTCATGAAAGTTAGAAAAATGCAAAGCAGGCGAACAGAACCGGTCGATGAAGCTGACTACATGTTTTTTTTTTCATTCATTCATTTATTTATTGATACTGTCAGCCCATTGGGCTATTACAGGAGTGGGTATACAAAAATAAAAGATGAAAGTAACCACTATACAAAGAGTAATTAAACAAGACAATAGATTGCTCAAGACCGCTTCATACGCTTAAACGCGCACAAGAAAACGTTACAAAACTGAAAGCAGCACAGGTATTAACATTTCACAAAAAAGCAGAAACTTGGTCCGTATTTATACGATTACGGCTTTTTACGACTGTCACATTCGAGAATATTATGTATATTTTCTAAAAAGGCATTAAGGGATGTTGACGAGACAGCAGCAAATCAAGGCGACAGGGCTGGGAATTTTATTGTAATCCCAGTTTCCATTCCCGTTTTATTTATTTTTTTAATCTTTTTTCCTACAATTCGGCCTCAGAATAAAAACAATAATAAAAAGAAAACGCCATTTTAAGATTTGATCGCCTCTATGCACGCAAGGCGCGAAAAAACACACGCAGTGGCGCTTGACCTCGCGCGTCACGACGTCACAAAAGCTCGGCAGTGACGTAAACAGACAAGGTCGTTCTCATTATTTTGCTTTCCTAGAAAGATTTATCACCTGACAGAAGCTCTGTCACCTGAAATGTCTGCGATTTCTTCTGCTTCCGGATACTGACTGGCAGTTTGAAAGCCTTTTCCTTTACTTATGTAAACGACACTACTGTAATGCTGACCCTACGAATTATTCGCGTTTGTTTTGCAACAATCGCGAGCGCTGTTGAGCCTTCAAAGAAGACGAGGGGCATCAGAGAATCTTTGCCGAATGCATAGTTGCGGATTCAGCGAGTCCTTGAAGGCGATTCATCTTCCCCTTGGCGGAAGCTCAAGGGCAAAGCAATCCGAAAAAGATTTTGAAAGAAAAGGAAGAAAAAAAAAAAATGACGAAGAAAGAGATAACAAGAACTTACCAGCAATGCCGCACACGGCGAGCACTACGACGATGCAGATTTGCATGGCGATCTTGACGACGTTGTGACTTGTCTCTTGTGATTTCCAAGATGCGACTGTCTGCCTTCCCAGCTGGCGAAACTGTTGAAGAATGGAAGCGAATACACAAAAGTTTTAAAAAAATTGCAAGGTAAGGTATTTGCGGTGCAAAAGGAGCACAATCGTGCTGCTATCAAAGTGATGCGTGACTTTGAAATGTGATCCCCCAGCCAGCAGAGGAAATGTCTCAACTGACCCTATTCCGTGCGTTGTCGAGCGCTCCGACCCCGACAAGCTGCTGGCTTCCTTTTGGCTGACCGTCGAAAGTCATATGGGTCTTGCGCAGTCCACGGTCATATCGCGAGAAAGAAACTTGAATCCACTTGAGGAGCAACTTCCCATAAACAAGTATAAAAAATAGAAGCGGCCGGCCGCACTCTTTCGAGGAACAGATGGGACGCCAAACAAAGAACGAACATAAACCTACGCATAAACTGAAAAAACAAAAATGTGCTCCGGAGTGCGTTTTCGTCGCTGCACGAAGTCGAGGGTATTACGTCAATTTTATTTAGTGTAAACGTCACCGGTGTAGAAACTGTAGGCGAGAAATGAGCTCCATTCGCGAACACGCGCAAAACTATCGTAATTTCAGTGCAATCGAAGGGGACCAAAAACTTTATGGTTGAGCTGCGTGTCGCTGTGTGGCGCTATGTCCAGACGCGAGTTTAAAAGAGTTTAAAAGAGTTTAAAGTAAGAGTTTAAAAAAAAGGTTAAATAGGAATATTTGATTTTCAACTTTTCCAGGTTGTTTAATGTATTTTTGGCAATGCAGGATAAATGACAGTTGAGGATGTTTGTCCCAAAAGGCTCGTTGGTTCTCTCGAAATTTCTGCCCCGGGCGTTGTTTTTTCCTATAAAAATAAATTATTTCATTACTGACAAATTAATTTAGAATTCTCAAAGCTCCTCCTTGGCCACCACTGGCACTACCACCATTTTTAGGCTAGGTGACGCAAGTTACCGCCCGTTATGCAGTGCACAGCCGTTAGTATCTATCTACCTATTCAAAACAAAGATGGCAGCGCCCACGGAGTTCAACGCGGAAACACCACCGCTTTCTGCTTTAAGTGCCGCAACAGCCGTGACAGTGCTGGCAAATCCCAATCGCAAGGTTTTCACGGGAAAGTCGGGTCCCCGCACAACGTCCCAGGTGCCGACAGAGATCTCCCAAGACCCCGAGCTCCTAGAAGCCCTGCGCTGCCTGCCGTCCAACTACAACTTTGAAGTCGCCAAGACCATCTGGAGAATACGGCAGCTGCAAGCTCGTAGAGTGGCATTACAGTTCCCGGAAGGCCTGCTGATCTTCGCGTTCCCCATCGCTGATATTCTGGAGAAGTTCACAGACTGCGATGACGTTGTCATCCTGGGTGACGTCACGTACGGGGCGTGCTGCATTGACGATTTCACCGCCAGGGCTCTGGGTGCCGATCTGATGGTAAGGACGCTTGATTCGAGGGTTTCTGGTTTTCGGCATTTACTTTTGTAGCGTGATCTACACTGGCCTAGGTTGAGCAGTTTCGCGTGGCTCGCATAATGAGCCGTGCTGCGCATGCGCGAGGAGCGGTGACGTCACACGGCGCACAGCTGGCACGCCGGAGCCGCTGCCGCCGCCGCGTCCGCCTCGTCGGTCTGCGCATTCCAGAGGAGTGACGTCATAGCCGCGGCAGACGCACTGGCGCCGCCGCGTGCCCAGCTGTTCGCCTCAGTTGCGCAGCAGCCAAGTCTGACGCTGCACTGGGGGCTATGTTGCGCTTTTTGCACTCCCAGGAGACTAGGGAGAGGGACGTGACGTCAACGACACAGCAAACGCAGATTGGGTGTTGATTTCATTTTCTTCTGTCAACATCCAATCTGCATTTGCTGTGTCGTTGACGTCACTTCCCTCTTCCAAGTCTCCTGGGAGTGCAAAAAGCGCAACATAGCACCCCAGGAGACGCTTGATGGCGCCTCTCATTTTGTGCGCATAAGCTACGCTACGTATACACCGACACGCGGGCTTGACGTCACGGCGCTGCGGCGGCGCTGCGATCGCGCCGGAGTCGGGGGGTGTGGGCAAAAGAGCGCACGTTTCGCATGGGCGTCATGGCATTTCAGCTTGCCGCAAAGCTGTGCTGCCATTAATTGCACCCAAATGTGCAAGAAAAGTTGCGGAATGAGTTTCCACAAGTTCCCGGCAGACTCTGAAAGGCATAGAAGGTGGATAATATCCGTGGATCGAAAATTATGGTCTCCTCGCGCGAACGACCGTTTGTGCGGCAAGCACTTTCTTAGAGGCAAGTGCGGCTTCCGTTTCAATCTCCGTCCCGAAGCTTGCTTATGTGCAGGGAAACCGTCGTCTGATCGAGACCACCCGGATTTTGTTGCCACAGTGTTTGCGCACAAAGCACCGGCCAAGCGCCCGTCGGAGGCTCGCTACGCCCGTGCTACCAAGCAGAAGGGGATCGGCGGCAGAACGGCAATGTTGTAGGCGTTACCGAAAAAAAGTGACGGAATACGTTACTTGTGACTTGCAAATCAAAGGTACGCGTTACTGAGCTAAGTTGCCTAAAAATAAAAGGAACGCGTTACCGCTATTGATAAAAAGTAACGCACGTTACTTCTGCGTTACTTTTTAAATTATGATTTAACACGTTTTATGGTTTTGACGATAAAGGTGTGCATAAGCTCATATATCAAGAAACATTATGTTCATGCAGAAACTGAACATAATTACTTTACCTCTTTTTACGGTTTCAGCTAAATAGTCATGAGAAAAAACGGAAAGAAAAACAGCTTGACGCCTAAAAACACGGAAAAAATTGAAGTGTAATTGTAGAAACGAGGTAACGAAACTACGCTACTTGAAATAGTAACGTAAGTACGTTACCTGTTACTGCGTCGAACAAGGAGCGAGTAGTTTACCACGTTACTGAAAAAAGTAACGCGTTCCTGGTAACACCGTTACTTGTTACGTATTACCGCCAAGACTGCAGAACGGACAAAGCGTTACTGCTTGTCATGCCTTGTGGTCATGAGAGTAAGAAGAATAGCATACTTTTACTTGAAGACGCTGTGTGTACTTATTTCATTAATAAAGCACTTCCGCAGACCCAGAGTCTGCTGATCCCGCCGGCAGTGCGGAAACCGAATTGAAGTAATCGTAGGCCTCGAGAGACTTGTACGCCTCCTTCGTGTCGGCCGTGAACTGGCTGGGCGAAAAAACTAAGTAAACGACGACGTGAGCCGTCGACTTCGGTGACAGCAAGTTCACGTCGGAAGCCCGGCAGGCCTTTTTTACGGCGTACGGAACCTCGTAGGCCACGCTGTCCACGCACAGTTTGTCTCGATACCGCCGCCGTTCAGGCTCGGAGCGAGCTCAAATAGTCGGGCACAGCATACGACATACGTTGCCAGGAAACACGACCCACATATAAAGCTAGAAGCGTCCCTACAACGTCAACAACGAGCGCACGCCACACAACGCAATGGCGAAAACACGGACAGCCGGGTCGCTTTTGCCCACATAGCTACCGCGCATGCGCGGCCTTCCGGCCGTGTTGGTAAACAGAGCCGCTCCGCGTGTCGGTCTATATCCTGGCATAGCTGAGCTAAGCCACCGCAATTTTTTGGCGGATTTCTTAAGTCGGTGTTCAACGGTACTTATTCTTTATGGGTAAAACAAGTGCATAAAACAAAGAAAAATAATAATAATAATAACATAAAGACGCAAATAGCGATCTACAGAAACAAGCGAAAATGTAGTTCTAATCAAGTATCTCCTGATTTCGGTCGTACATCCGGAGCAATGCAACATTACATTGGCCTGTATAGACTATCTTTATAAAAGCGCTGAAAGGAATAGCCATCGCATTTGGGTTCCCATAAACCTCTGGTCAAACTATAGGTCAAACAGTCACCATTATAGCACCGCTTCTTTTAACATTCAGGAAATATTTTATGACCAGTACTTAAGATGGTTAGCAAAAGTTTTAGTGGAAATGTTTTAATACTCCTGTAAGATGACTTATCCCCTCGTGCATGTTAAATAGCACAGCACAAGGACCTCGCTAAATCCTTAACTTCATGATTTCTATAGACCTTCAACATCCTAGAAATGGACTTCTTCCAAAATTTGAGGCGCCCCATCGTGGCGAAATAGCACGCAGTGCACTCTGGGAAAGGGGGACCACCCGTCCCGCGACTCGTGGGACTGTCCCGCATTAAGGCCTCGTGTCCCGCGTCCCGCGAGAAATTCCTGAACCTTCAAAATGTCCCGCATTTCACACTGTCATAAAATTCACTCTGCAACTCGTGGGGCTGCCGAACAACGGGGCACGGGGAAGCGCGGAGGTCGCTGGTAATCGTGTGAATCGCAATGGTACGCCATCTTCTATACAAGCATTGCGGGAAGGGACCGTCGCTCTTGCAAGAGAACCGACGCGCATGCGCCGTTGTGCCTCTCCCCTTGGTGGCAAAATATTGTAAGAGAATATTGCTCGCCAAAAGTTTAAATATAAATTATTGTAATTATTTTCATATCGCTGTGTCAATGCGAAAGGGTTGTTGTGGAATTTATTTTTAGTGAAGACAGCCACACGAGGCAAAAAGCCTGCAAGTCACAAAGGTTGAAAAGAACATAATGTTAAAAATTTGTGTATGACCATGTTGATAAAAGTAAGCGTTGACAGGAAATAATAACCCGAAAAAGATTTGCTGTTTCTTATTTGGAATTAATGCATCGAGTTCTGCTGCAGTAGATTTTTATGCTTTCAACTTCGACACATGTAATAGCAAATTTAGCAGTAAAAAATATAACACTGGGAGTGAAAATTATTTGAACTTAATTGGTGATATACAATTTGCAGGTGTATAAACAGCACAGGGTATTAAATCTGTTTTTACAGAGCCTCAGTTCGTGGTGTGCATGTTAACAAATTTCCTCTGCCCCCCCCCCCCCCCCTTGCCCAGCGTGTCCCGCATTTCGCTAGCAGGGAGGTGGTCACCCTACTCTGGGAACTAGTAGGCCACTCAGTTTTGGTCTCAATTGAGCAGCTTCAGTTCATGCTATCACGCCATGACTGAATGCGCTGCTCGTGTTTTCGATGATCTGACTTCCCACGAATGTACAATACTCTCATTTTCGAGCAATATAGAAGGAAGACAGGGGCACTTTTCTTGGTTTTTGGCATGCCGGATATTGTAAGTGTGTATGCAAACGTAGTAAGACGTGGCTTAGTCACGTCTCACCCCACGATTGTATCTTTGAGCTCAATTTCAATGATCCTGTCTAGTATTGGCGAACCACAACTCAGATTTGGTCACTTTGAGCCCTACTTGTATTTTGTTTGCCAAACGTCCGCTTCCTTGTGTTGTATGCAATGTTACTTACAACAGCACTGCATGTACCTAGCGCAAGAGGTGCACAAGATGTGGCTACCGTGGTGCTGCCTCGTGCATGATGCTCTTCGCTGTGTTGGTTTTCTTAACCTCAAGTTGTATGGCATTGTACGCCATGGGTATTAAACTTGTGTGATTAACACTTGGAGACAACACTTGCCACAGTCGGGATTCCCACCTTGGGACCGAAAGTGGTTTGCAATGGCTGATAATCCGTGAGCAACACAGATGGTCGCCCAAACTAATAGACGTGAAACTTCTTCACTCTGAAGATTATGGCCGGGGCCTCGCGCTCCAACCAACTGTAATTTTTCTTGCTGGCTGCCTGTTTTCGATGCAAAAGGAATGAGGCACATCACCCCACTATCATAAACTCTGGACAAAACGGCACCCAGACCATATGAGGAGGTGTCGCACGCAACCCGAATTTCTGCATCTGGCATGTAGTGTGCTAAAATTGGAGCCCAAATTAGCCCCTTCTTTGCCGACTCAAAGGCATCTTCACGTGCCTTGTTCCACTGCAAGGCAACATCCTTCTCAAGTATGCGGTTCAATGGTGCCGCATAGTAGACATGTCTGGAAGAAACTTGTCATAAAAATTGAGCATGCCCAAGAATGACTGTAACTGGTCCACTTCCCCTGGTCTTGAATCCTTCATGACTGCCTGTACCCTTGTTGCAGACGTGGCAATTCCCTGGTCACTTACTTCATGTCCCAAGAAATTCAACTCAGAGTTGAAAAATTCACATTTTTCCTTCTTGATTCTGACACTTCTCTCTCGGAGCCGGTGCAGCACATGCTCAGGGATCTTGAAGTGCTCCTCGTGTACTCTCCCAGTTATCAGGATGTCGTCCAGATAACAACATATTATTCCATCAATATAATGGACACGCGTCGCATGCATGTTCATTATCTTTTGGAAAATGTCTAGTGCCGATGCGATCCCAAAGGCCAGGCGCTTGACCACATAGAGACTCCAGGTGTTGATCGGCAAGAAAGGCTGGGAGTCCTGGTGCATTTTCACTCGTTAATAGGCTCAGCCCAAATTGACCTTTGAAAATACTGTTGCCCTGGCTATCACTCCAACGATTTCCTCCATCTTAGGGAGAGGGTATTTTTCTACTTCCAAACAATGAGTCAAATTGCAAGATACGTCGTCGAAGGCTGGCCCAAGCAGTTTGAAAATTGTCTTAAATCGTTCTTCACACGAAAACAAAAGTTGGTACGACACCAAGGAATGAGGGCGATAGTACCTCCATCCTTGCGTGACCTTGCTGTGGGGAATGAGGGCGATAGTACCTCCATCCTTGCGTGACCGTGTATTGGACGAACTTCACGATAGGCCAGAATGAAAGAAGTCGCACACAGTTACGCTTGGTGGCCAGCAATCGATGCAGCCATCGAACAGTGTGTCAAGCTGTGTGGGGCCTGCCAGCAGCAGAGGGGTGTTTCAAGACCAGCTCCTCTCTACCCTTGGTCATGCCCCACTCGTCCCTGGCAGTACCTGCCCCTTGACTCTGCAGGGCCGTTCCAGGGACATAACTTTCTAATCAGTGTCAACTCCCATTTTAAATGGCCCAAAATATTCATAATGGGCACCACCACAGCAGAAGCCACCATTGGCAAGTTGAAAGAACTGTTTAGCTATTTTGGCCTACCAGATGTGATTGTAACCGGCAATGGTCCTCAATTCATTTTAGACCAGTTGGAAACGTTTTTGAAAGAAAACGAAGTGTGGCATGTGAAGACTGCACCTTATAATTCATCAAGCAGTGGATTAGTGGAGCATTTCGTCTGCACACTCAAAGAGGCCCTGTGAAAGGATGCAAAGGATCAACCTCTCATCCTTAGGTTGGCTAGTTTTCTGCTTACATACAGAAACACGCCACATGCCACCACGCTTCTCAGTCCAGCGGAACTCCTGCTTGGACATCGCCTGACTACACGCCTGGATCGCTTGTAGCCCTCCATGGAGCTAAATGTCCAGAAGGCACAGTAAAGGGCAGCTGTCATCCGGTGCTCATCGAGTATGTCAGTTTGCTGTTGGTGAGCGTGTGTAAGTCAAGAAGTTCCGTCCAGGAGACCGTTGGCTGAAAGGAGTCATCCTGACTCGGACAGGACCCCTGTCCTATCGAGTGCGAGCGAAAACACCTGGTGGTGCGTTCAGTAGACCTTTTGCCGAATTACCCAAACATCAAAAAGAATGCCGGGAAAGTAAAAACACGCGGTGCGCGTGCTGGCGTTTTCAGCTCTAACTGTTCAAAAGCAAAAATCTAAAGCAATTAGCGCTTTGCATGCGTGTTCCACGGACGCTTTATTTTCGTATACCTATGTTCCCGGCATTCTCTTTGATGCTTGGGTAATTTAGCGAAAGGTCTATTGCCGACGACACTTAGACCACCTGAGGCCACGCGAGTCTACCGTTCCTAGCATGGATGACATTGATCTGGTGCTTTCGTGTTTTTGATTGTCCGATTGAGTGTCCGAGGTGACACGTGAACCAGAAACTGTGGACCAAGTGCCAGAGCTGAGAAGTGAACCAAAAATAGTAGAAACGAATGTGAGTGTCAGTGCTCCTGGCCGGGAATCTCGCACCACCACCTCACCGGCCTGAGAGACGGTACCCGGAGAGAATTTGGCACGTTCCCGAACTGGTGCCACAATATTCTAATGTAGTTTAAACTAGCGTGGAGGAGTGTCATACGTGGTGTTACTTACAACAGCACCGCATGTGCCTAGCACGAGAGACGCACGAGACGTGACTACCGCGGTGCTGCCTCGGGCATGATGTTCGTCGCCATGTTGTTTTTATTAACCTCAGTTGTACGGCGTTTTACGCCATGCGTATTAGACTTCTGTGATTAACACCTGGAGACTTCTTTCCGAAAACATTACACCTTGTTACTTCAATGGGCGGAAAATGAGCCATATCCTCACAGGAGTCTCAAAGTTGAGCCCAACGTTGACGCGTGAACTTTTAAGGAAACTGAATAAATTTGACCTCACTACTGCTTAAAAGTTGCTATGACGTCTTCCGCGTGTCATCATATATCCCGCACTCATATTTTATGCTGATTGGAGACTAAGTTTTTGCAAACGCTGAGATCGGCTAGGTTTGACGAAGGCCCTAACACACATCCCCTACTTCTCGCTAAGCCTTTTCGGACGAGTTTTTATTGACGGCCAATATCTGGGTCTGAATGGTGTTTAACTAGGCATACTGAGTCAGGAAGGAAGCAAATATATAGCAAATCTTATTGCCATCAGCAACCGTCAAATGCACTTTGAATCCTTTAGCTCGTTTGGCGCACTGCATAGGGGTTCACGCCCATACACGTGGCATCCGGCAAATGGTGCGACATGCTTCACGCAAGTGCTCGACTGTTGCTTTCTTGAAAACGATTTGTATGTGTGAATATGCCTATATGATTGGCAGGATAACTTCATGTGCATATGCAATATTGAGTTCGTAGAATGCAAGCAGGTAGGGACTTCACTTCATGCAGTGCTGCGGGTTTGTACAGATAAGAGATAAGAAGAGTGTTCAATTTTGGCTTTTCAATGGAATGGTGTCTACAAGCTTTACCTCATGTACTTCGGCTTATTAAGAAAAATGGTAATTGCAAAAAGGTATATTTTGTCAATGAATGCACAAAACAAGTATGGTTCAGGCCTTTGATAAAGCTTTGAGGTCTGACCATTTTGGTTAATTTAGAGACCAAAAATGATGCGCTCGGGACCAGGAAACACAAGATGACGGTTGATAATAGCCCATGCCCTGTGTACAATATTTGTAGGTGTGTAGATCGAAACCGAAATCATGCCACTGTCCTCCTTTGCCTACCATTTCCCAGAGTGCAATGCGCACAGTGGTGCATGCAGGGATTTATGGAAGTAGTCTATTGTGACATCGACAGGTTTGAAAGGCCCAACGAAATGGAGCGAGCTGAAGTCTCTTAAGAGCCAAGAGAGTGCTTGTGTTCGTAACATAAAAGGGGTCTATTACAGTGACTCTTATCTCTAATTGTATTTTTTTTTGTGTGCACAAAGGTAAGTTTAAAAACAACTTATGTGGTTGTTTCTGTGCACAGAAAATAAATATTAATATTATTATTATTATTATTATTATTATTCTCATTATTATTAATGTACCCTTATAAACATACTAAGAATAACACACAAAAAAAACATACAGATTGACGTTGATGTTTGCAGCTGATTTTTTGACGAAATATGAAGTTAAAGAGATAATTCAACGAAATTTGAAATATTCCCGTCGTGTTCAAAAATAGGTTGAATATGATCCACAATATCCGTAAATGACAATCGCACGTTTGTATTTTGAGCCTGGTGGCTGTATTTTTCGTTATAAACGGCCTACTTTGGCAAGGACTCGGAGAAGGCCCAGCGGAGACCACGTGACATCCAATGCAATCGTGACGTAGGTCGTCTCAAGATGAGCAAAGCTACGGCGAGGCTGACGTCGAGAGGATGGCCTAGTCGTTCCAGCCACCGAAGCGGCTGCTTTTGTACAAATTTTGAGTGACGGGTTAATCTTCTATAATCTTGTAGGGGGACAATAGCGACTTCTGTGACACACAAAAGGCATTCTCGGGAAGAGGGGAGTTCCTCCTGCCCCTCTTCTCTCGTCGTGGCCGGAGGCGAGACAACCTTCGTCACTAGCTGCCAAGGTTGCTAGACGGGCATTACAAGCGAGGCGTTAGCGACATCCACCAGGTGCTCTTTGCTAATCGTTTAATTTGTTTTAAAATTCCTTTTCGTGACTTTTTTACCAAGATATTGGTATGTTCGATTTGATGGTGCTTTTTTGAACACATATAGACCAAAAAATGAGCGCCAAAATTTTGTTGTAGTATCCCTTTAAAGGAGTGGACAAGGACACCAATTAAGTGGTGTCTTTGTCCACTCCTTCACCTTCGTGCTTCATAAAAAATTTAGCTGTTCACACTAACATGTATGAACCAACCAGCTCAACAAAAGCCTGCAAGATACACACACAGTTTATGACATTTGTTGAGCCAATCTTTGCCACCTGTCCGTCAGGATTGTTTTTGGTTGTTTCCAGCTGTTTCTCCGGCGGTGGTCTTACATTCCTTCGCTCACCGCTTCTTGTTGTACCTATGGTGGAAGAAATATATTTAGGGGATGACCCTCTGTCCGACACGGCGGCCACATTATGTTTGGCGCACCGAGCATGCTTCACTCACACGGGGATAGATGACGCCCAAGTATGGGATCTTTCCCAAACCGAGTGCTCCGGTTGTTTCTCCCAGCGGTGATCCCGCATTCCCTCGCTCACCACTTCTTGTTGAGCCTCACCGCAGCCACCAAGTTGCCAGAGTCCGTCAATTTGTGTTCTTTGCCTTCTTCTTCGGGTTAAACCTCACCTTCGTGCACGATGGTGGCACCTGTGATCGACACAGCACCAAGGCAAAAAAAATGAAGCCAGCCACTGGCCACACACCACCACCACGCCACCACACCGCGAAAAAGGCAAGCACACTACGCCGCCGATACCGTGGCCACCAAAGAGAGATCTCATGCCTCAGCGCCCTCCGCGGCGGTGCGGAACTAACTACCCCTGCTTTGAGGCTAGCTCCGAACACAATCTGGTCACTCGCTCCCCGCGGGAAGAGCGGCCAGAGTCCTCACTTAATGTGTTTCTTCCACCATGGGTCAGGGGCTCTATCTTCGCAAACACAACACCGACGCAATCTCTAGACACTTTTTTTATGCATGTTTCCAACTATAGTATCAGGGACCTGGTAAATCTCTTGCTTATATTTTGCAAAGTCAATGTTTGTTTTGGATTTTGGAGAGAAAGCCGTTCAAAACTTGGTGGGACCCCAGTGAGATGCTTTTTGTTCCTTCAGGTCCACTATGGCCACAGCTGCCTGATTCCTGTGGACCAGATGAATGGCCTCAAGATGCTTTACATCTTTGTCGACATCAAGATTGATGTGCTGCACCTTATTGACACCGTGAGTCGTGCTTCTCAGCCTTTCTCTAAACTTTGTCTGGCAACACGATCATCTGGTGGGCTAGTTGGTTGATCATATTGTTGAATTAACAGCGCAAATCAGCGCTCTATCCTGTCTCCCTTACCTCTCCTTCCTGTCGTATTTGCGCTGTTAATTCAGCAATTTGTCTGGCAACTCGTGTTCTATTCTGACGTTAAAAGGAAGCTGCAAACGTGTCCGCTAGGTAGCGCAAGCTGCCTCCCGATTCAAAGTTGTTTGCCTTTAATTATGTTTTCATTCAGTGATACAGTGATTGACAATGTGCAAGTGGCAGTAAACTATACTTGTTTTCACACTCACACAGATGAACTGCAACTCTGGATAAAAAAAACGGTAGTTGCTGAAACTCTCCTTGGATGCTGTGTGGGCACTTATTTCTTAAATATATTTATTCTTGTCTTTCCTTTTCTCTAACTGCTGCAGGCAAATAAACCAAATCCCAAACCTCTCTATCCAATCCTTCCCTGAAACCGGTTTTGTGCTCATTGTAATATCGTCTTGTCCCCCAAGTTTGTATATAATCGACCATCTTCCCTCTCCACTTCACGAATGAAAACAAAGAGGATATTTGACATTATGCTGTTCTTCATCGCTTGTTGGTGCCTTCACGCAGTGTTTTGACAGTTGGTAATTTATTTTGTTTTGTTTTTTTGTCCTATGTTCTGCTCGCGAAAACCAGGTGAAACTCAACTGGACCACCGAGACCTCCCTGGCACTCGTAAGCACGATTCAGTTCGTTGCCACTATCCAAGCCGTAGCCACGGAGCTCAGGGCAGCCGGCTACGTGGCTAAGGTTCCCCAGATCAGGCCCTTGTCCCCAGGCGAGATACTGGGGTGCACCGCACCCAAGGTGGACGATGTCGACTTGGTGATCTACGTCGGCGACGGTCGATTTCACCTAGAGGCCATCATGATCGCTAACCCTACTCTCAAGGCATACAGGTGAGCTGACCATGTTGTTATGTGAAGACTTCTGCATCCCCTAAGGAATGTTCACACGTTCACCACAGCACCACGTCAGCGCCATTAGTCAGCGCTGTAAATAGTGCCGACCTTGCTGATGCTGCACTGACTTTGTGCTGTATTAGTGACACAGTGCTGATGCAGTGTGAAGTTATGTTCATGCCAGCACTGTTCCTAGCGTTGATCGCATTGACATATCTCTGAACTGGCCTTGAAAGTGCCTTGTCTATTTCAACCTGAAAACAGTTACTCAAGTATGCCAAACTCCAAGTTATTGACCTTATGTTTCTGCACTGCCATCCGTTACACATGAAACCATTTAATTGGTACGAAGTGCCATTACATGACATAACATTTTGGAGACATCCTCACTATGTATGTATTGCAGGTCACTTGCAAAGAATAATGTTCACCTTAGTGAGAAAAGTGAGGACAAAGTTTTTATTTTTCTACTGACTTAGGAAGCTTCTACGGGGTGTGACACATTTCTGCTCTCGTAGTTTATACCAGTCTCAGCACCAGGGCCGGACAGGGATACTAAACAAAGTCTTCAGGAATACAATTTTGTGAGATACAGGATCTGAAAAGTCAAAAGTATAAATGCTGATTTTTTTTTTTTTTTTTGTATGTAATGGTAAAGAAGTATTCTAAAATACAGACATATACGATATTAGAGATACTGAAATACTTTTATTCACTCGAAATTAACTTTTTTCACGGAGACATAATAGTGCTGTGTAATTATGGCAGCCTTTGTGTGACGGTTGCCACGTATAAATATGACAATCTAGCGCCTTCCAATCGGCAAATGAAGTGATTTGCTTTTTTGCCGCAGCTCAGCTACGTCACAATTCAACATGGCGGCGCCCACAAAAAAACTGTCTTTATGTACCATACTTTCCGGACTGTACATGTATGAATGAATGAATACTAAGCATTTATTACAGGGGATGGCACGAAGCCCTGATTAGGGGAAAGTGTAGGGAGGTGGGACTGGGCACGAGCTGCAAGACCAACATGTAGTGGACCTATAAGTTTGGCAGTGCAGGCCGGACTCGAACGGGAAGGACAAGAGCGCGAGCACCGTGCGCCATTTGTCTAACGTGGTACCCGCAAGCCGAATCCATGCTTCGTAGCTGTTTACCCCGGCAGCGCTGTGGCACTTTCGTCTTAAGGTGAGATGCCTGGTGCAGTCCCGCAGCAGGTGCCGTGTGTGCTGTTGGCGACACCGCATAGTGCCGTCAACTTGGCGTTGCCCTCCGTGCCTTGGGTGTCGAGCGGTTGAGCTTGCGCAAAAGTGTGAGCGTGGTCCAGTCGAGGTGGAGGTGTCGGCTGCGGGTCGGTACGGCTGCGCACCCTTTTTGGAGTGTATGTTCGCCATTTATCCAGTGCGTCGGGTGTTAGGGCAAACCCTCTTCGTGCCTGGAATATGAGGACTTGCACAAGGTGGGGGTGCCTGGAGGAAGGGGATCCGGATTGGGTGGTATGAGTGCTGCTAGGGCCCTTTTTTCGTTCCTTGCGTTGTACGTGAGTGAAGAGGGCGGGGGATGATGCTGCCAAAGTCCTCTGCGTTATCTATCATGCATCTGTGCGCTGGGGGATCAATGTTGTCCCTCAGGCGGAGGCGGTCGGCTTCGATAATCTTGCGCACCGCCTTGTGGGACGACTCGGTCTCCTTTATACCAGTGTGACCCGGAAGCCACCGTACCGTAACTATGGTGCTGCATTCTTGCAACATCTTGCAGTGGTAGAACATGTTTCCTGGGATTGTGCTGGAATGAGCCACAGTGCGGCGAACCCACTCTGCTGCTTGACTGTCGGTATAAATAAAGATCTGCATGCTTGATGCCGCAGTGCTGCAACAGAGGTCTCCCAACGCATCCCTGATAGCCAGCAACTTTGAGGAAGTCGCATCCGTGGCTTGCACAGTGTCGGTTTGGCCATTCGCCTGTGTGTTGGCTGTGTCTGAGCTGCGAAAGGCCGTGGCTGTTAAGTCGTGGCGGGGCGTCACTTCTGCCACGACGTCAATGTATTTGGCAGCAGATCGAACTATAGGGGGCGCTCTGACTCATTTGTTGTCTCCACACCTTGGTGTTTACTCAACACATGCTGTGGGCATGTGCAGGCCTGTGGGCCTGCACATGCCCACAGGCCTTATGGGCATGTCCATGTCATTTTCTACAATAGAGCGCAGGGCACAGTGTAATGTAAAAAATACTAACAATCAATGAAGAGACGTTAAGTGCCGGATCTATCCCGAAAGCAGTCTTCAGAGAATGCGAGCTTGACCCACTTCGGCTTTTGTGCTGAGCTGGGCACCGTGCATGTTGCATTGTTCAAGCAGGCCGGAGTGGTAACAAAAGAGCCCCTCCTCCCCCTCACCGGAGAACAAACTCCAGCCAAACGCTGTCGCCGCGTTCGGTTACATCGGCCGAGCGCCGAGTCATTGTATTTATTGTTCTCATCCATATAGTTCTAAAGTTAACCGCTTGGGGCGTCACGGTCTCTCCTCCTCCCCAATACATAAGGTGCGTGCGGAAGACGGGCTTTCTCGCACTCGTGCAAGCGAGCGAGGTACTGGCAGCGAGCATCTTGGGACCCCCTTTGCATGCGTCCTGGGAACGATTTTGGGTCGGTGATACAGATGGCCTCCCGCGGGGCCTGTAGTGGGGGGCCAAGGTCGGTATCTCCACAGTCACGTCCCGCCGCCTTGAGGATGAGGCGTCCACTCCTTGAGAGTTGCCGTCGAAGTTTGTGGCTTTTCAGTTGAGCATCTACGGTGGCACATAGGGGTGGCATACGAGAATACCGGAGCAATTCTTCTCTTCTAGTGTGTCTGGGTAAGCCCATGATTGTGCGCATAGCTTCATTTAGGAGCATCTCAAGCTGCTGCCACTGGGCCACGCTCAGCTTATAGTTCAAGTTGCCCCGGAGATGAGCATGGCTTGTCTAGGGATCCGTCCATGGCAGTCTCGGCTCCTCTAAGATGAAAGGAGATGCAGCATATAAGATGCAAAATTTTCTGCCACGTAAATTTCAGTTGCGTGAGCCAAGTCACGGCACTGCCCTTGCAGTCGATAGGCAGGCACAGAACACGGATGTGACCATCCTCTGGTTGACGGATTGCTTGTCCGGCGAACGTGGGGTGGATGGCGGCTTCGGTCGTCGGTGTACCATGTAGGATGAGGTACTGCGTCTTTTTTCCACGGAGGGTCGCATGCCGGTTGGTTGTAGGAAGTCCGCTATCACGTTCAGTGCTGCCTGCAGCATGGTTCGTTGTTTGTGGGCTGGGTAGTCGTGGGTTGTCCATAATCTGATGTCTACCGCGTAGATTGTGAAATGGACGGCATCTAAGTCAGCCATGACCATATTGAAAAGAGGTGGTGATAGTATGGCCCCCTGTGGCATGCCCACTTGGTTGTCATAGCAGGAGAGTTTTTCAGTAGAGTCGCCGATGCGCACCTCAAAAGTCTGGGCATGGAGGAATGCCTTGGCGAAGTTGAGCGGTCATTTGCCCAAACCAGCCTCTTCCACTGCCTTGATGACGGCATCGTGCGTGACGAAATCGAATGCTTCCTTCAAGTCAACTGTCATGAGGACACCCGGGTTCGCTCTCTTGCCTCGCCTAGGATAACTGAGTGATCGGTGCAGCAGAAAGAGACTGTAAAAGTAGAAATTTTACCCGGTGTGGACTATGCAAAGATTTGCTTTTTTTCTCGATCGTTTGCTGCGTGAGATGGAAAGAATTTTATGAATAGAGTAGTACATTAATGGTGATTTCTATATAATACAAGCGTCTTTATGAGTTAATACTACAGGCATTCGTCGAAGTATGCTGTGTACATGATATTTTTACGTTTGGGTGCCGGGTGTGTACTATCTGAGCAAGAACTTTTATTTCACCACAACTTGCATTTGTGAAAAAATATGGTATATAGGCCCAAAATACGGTGCAAGTCACTAACAGTATTTAGTTCCCAAGCATAACAGAAATCTTTATTTACAGAAGTTACAAAAGCCAATGCATTAATAATTCTATAAGCCACAACAACAAAAATATATATATATATTTTTTTTTTTTTTTTTTTTTTCTTTGAGAAATGCAATAGTTGAGGCTTGGGCGAGTTGGTACGACATGATTTTGGATTAAAAACAGCGCAAAAGACGAAGGACCGGACGAAGAAGTAATACGGACACAGCGCTGTGTCCGTGTTACTTTTTCGTCTGGTCCTTTGTCTTTTGCGCTGTTTTTAATCGCAAATGCAATGGATTAGTTTTACTACCCCCTCCCAGCCACCTTTGCATGATAGATGAGAGAGGAAATGCTGGTAGTAAAAGGCCAAAAACAACTCCAAAGCTCGTGCCGATTTTCCAAACCACATTCCTGTTTTTACTTCGCATTTCTCTCTTCCATTTTTGGCAGCTTCTTTCAACATCTGTCAGGTCGAGACACACTACCTAGACGACCGCCAGCATGGGGACGTAGCAGTACCACCTCATAAACGGTGTTGCTATGTCTCTGCTCTTTTATTTTTAGCATAAATGCTTATTGCAGTATACTTTCATTAATTCAAACACCAGGAAGCCACGAATTTTGTTTGAATTATCAGACATTTGATTTATCGGATAAAATTATGATTTGTTATATGGATGGCTGCACATACAAAGCAGGTATTTGATCATTTTTTCTCTACGCAGGCCTACAATCATAAGCAGGTATTCCACTCATGAAACATTGGTGGAATGTATAAGTTTTTTCATCCCTCAAAAATGTTTTCTATCGTGGACTGTTTAGACAGCACATGACACCTCAAAACAAAGTTAAGTTTCTTCATCCATCAAAAAAGCTGTCTACTGTGGACTATTACCCTGGTGAGAATGCCTCTTATTGGTGCTCTGCAGGGAAGCAACACCCATGGAAGCGAGCGGCGCTCCGCAGGTGTTGGTAAAAAGTGCGCTCAATGGGGCCGCGAGAACAAAGTATAAACTACAAGGTATAATTTTTTTTCTGTATCCTGTGTAGTTTTAAAGATATCACGCTCAAAGTTGGGTTTCGGGCATCTACGACAAGACTGAAACTATCTGCTAGAGGGATGGCAAGACTGATCATCAGTTGTACGGTTGCAACGTGACGCCAATGTGGTGCCGCGGTATGCAGTACAACCAATCAACCGCAGCTCCACCGCGATGCAACATCACGAGGGTACTACGCCAGCATTCCTTCACTAAAAGCTAACCTGTTTATCGTCTGCTAAAGAGCAGCTGGTAGCATCTTTAAAATCGGTTTTAGTGGAGTATGCGGCATCAATTTGATGTAATATTTCGGCTGTGATCATATTTTGTGCCACTAAAGCCATGCCATTTTGGTTTCGTTTTTGACCAGAGTTTCTCTTTAAGTGATGCCCAACCCTCGAAGAATAGGGAGTTTTAGTAGGTAGTTTTTGCATCTTGATGGCGATACCCAACACTTCGCCAACGCCTTTGCGCACGCATCTTATCATTATGACATATTGTTATGTGTGCACTAACAATTAATTAAAACTCGTATAATCAAAACCTTGTAAACATGTTTCGCCACTGAGATACAAATATCGCTACAATAAGTGCAGATGCTCGCGGTGCAGCAATGCGAAAGGACTGTACAAAGCTTGCAAGTGTCACCATTCCTGGGTACTGCCGTTATTTTTACGTACTGGTTCCTTCAAACTATGACTTGTGCGGCGTGACCCTAGTACGGTGAACCGAACGCTCATGCCGCACAAAATGCCGGCGGGGCCACGAACGATGTCACATGCGGGCTGTGTACAGTTTTGCAGCCAGGTCTCTGACTGAAGTGTGCCTTCACACCGAATCGAGTAGTTTCCATCAACGCTATCATTACTTGCAGGTACAACCCTTACGACAAGACATTGACGGAGGAGACTTACGACCACGCCCAGATGCTTCGAGTCCGACGCACTGCCATCCAGAAGGCGTCCACGGCAGGAACGTTCGGTGTCATCGTCGGGACGCTGGGACGCCAGGGTAACCCCAAAGTAGCAGACGGTCTCCGCAAGAGCCTCTCCTCCAAGGGTCCGTGCAACGATCGTGGGTAGGAATGTTTCTCACCTTGCACAAGCTTATTGGCACTTACACAAGTAGACCCGCATTAAATGCCACCGACCAAGAAGCTTCTTCCGTGATATCACGAGAGATGCCCTACCCCAGAAAGATAACCCATCCCTATTTTGGCTTTGGTTATCTCTCTTTCTTTAAACACCAAACGATAGCCCACTCCTAGTAGTCATAGTGTTTGGATCAATGACAACCTTGGCGTAAATGCGGCTGGTTTGCTATGGCTTCACTGCCTTCTCGAGATATTATGGCATGTCGCCGTGTAATTTCAAGGATAAAAGCGGATGTTTTCTTTCGGTCTCTCCTTTGCGAAACTCTACGACAAAATTGTGGGGATTGCACTGTTGGCGTTGTCAACAATGTGATCCTGAGTATTTTGTCATTGAGCTTTGTGATCCTTTTAGTGACAATATTTAAACGCTGCTCGTACAGTGGTCACGAGCACTGCGGGAGCATTCAGTTGGGGCTTGTGACAGTCGCCACAGTGATGGGAATATTCTAACTTTAATAATAGATAGTTTTAAATGGGGGCACGAGCACAGCGTTCCTCGCACTGCCGGCTTGTAGAATAAGGTCTTCAATATGTAGCATGCTTGCGTTTCTCGCTTGCAGCGCCAACCCGGCTGACAAGCGAAATGAATAAAGCGAAAAATATTTTTAAAAAAATGCAATCTACTTATGCTTAACGAACACTCTGTGTTGCTTGTGTCACAAATACTGGGTGAGCTAAAACCTAATCTACCAGTTTTTTTTGCAAATCGTTAAATATTGGGATGTTCGAAGTCGCGTCCAAATCCATACAATTATAACGTATATGAACAAAACACCAAAGGGAGCGAAGCTAGCTGGCAGAAGAATGTGAAGAGGTAGCTTGTAAACCTCAGGACGGTGTGCCGACATTCCGCTAGGAGACCTAGCTTCTTCAGGGAGCCTTTTTGTCATTAGTATGCGATTTCTTCTTTTTCCTTTGCAAGGCGCTGTCAACAGGTTCGGGCTTAAAAAAACACTAACACCACCAAATTTTTTTTTTTTTTTTTTTGTTAGGCAATATATTATGGTGTCAAAAGACCAACCTATTAATATTTTGCTACAGCGTCATTTTTAATAAAGTAAAAAAATGCAGTGCAACATACAAATAAAAAGCTTGGCGAGTATAAATCTTTAAGAATGGTTCGAATCTAAGCACGATCTAGAAAACACGGTGGGATCATCGCTCATATTTTGCGATTTAAGCGAGGTAAGGCGAAGCGAATGCTTGCTACACCATTACGGTCTTGTTCCAAAGCGAGCGATGCAGGACGCCGCCATGTTTGTTTGCCTTAGGGGTCTCACGAATAAACTACTTCCAAAAATTCCTGCAAGCAACACTGCCTATTGCATTACGGGACCTCTTTGACCATGGAGAGGAGTGCCACAATTTCGATTTCCTCATTGACTAAGTTGTGTGCCTCTTGGCAGTGCGTGAAAACAAAGTCGGCACTTGCATGCATTGAACCTATTGATCTTCGTGAGGGCCCCCATTGAAACATGGACCTCTAGCGCCGTAAGGGCCTGCCTAGGCTTAGCTAAAAGTGGGAGTAAGGCCTGCCACGTTTCACAGCTTTCTGGTGGCCTGGCTACAACTTTAAGAAGCCTAGGACATTGAGACGATGGCACATGATGATCGCCCCACTACAGTCCTTCTTCTTTTGTTTACCTGTGCACATACTCTGGTACGTCGGGAGCTTCAAAAGACTTGCTCCGGCATCCTATCCGCATTGGCACGCAACATCATGAATTTAGAAGAGCTGTGCAACATTTTTAATGTTTAAAGCATTTGCATCTTGTACATTTGACATTGTTTACCTTGTCAGAAAGGACAAAAAGCACATCGCCTTCCTTCGAAATGTTGCGATTCCGCCGCGTAATTGAGAGGCGTAAATTGGAATATATTTCCCGATTTGAAGCCGCAAGCGGCGGCCACGAGAACCACGCGGCGCGACTTCAAAGGGGAACTTGTAAAAAAATAGCAAGTTGCGCAACTACCTGCTCGATAAAAGGTAATTTTTCTATAAATCTTGTCGTTCCAACATAGATATAAGTGCGTCAAAAACCTGGCATCATCGACAAAATTTTTATTACACGAAGTTTGAGTGGCGCCATCTATCCGAGGTCAACAAAACCGTCAGCTCTATCTGCTACTGTGAGGAGCCGCCAGAAGCCGGACGGCCGTTAGGCGGGACCCGGACAACTACGTTGGAGTTTTCCTCCTTTCGTTTTCTGGTGTCTCAACTTCGAACACCGCCGCGAATAGGGAGTTTTTGTAGATCGTTTTCCCTACTCCTCTACCCTCTCCGCAACAAAGACGCCGCTAGTCTGCATGCACGCGGCTGGTCACATAGTCACGAGCGGGTAAGTCCTCGCTGCTCACTGATGGTGCTAGAGTGAGAGCTTCACAGGAACCACTTGTGTCTCCCTTACACGTCACAGCGCACGTGACTTGGATATGATGAAGGAGTTAGGAGGTGCCAAAAACCTCTATCTTTGTCATTTTTTAAAAATAAAATCTAGGACATGCAGGCAAAAGCGGTTTTTTGTTCTTTACTTCAGAAGGGTCGAGACACCAACTCCCACAATTAGTTGCAAAGCACCGAAATTGTTGCACAACTTTATTAAGGAACGTCACCTGTTCAAAAATGCATGCACTGTATTTGGTTGTGACGGGATGTCGTGAATTGAGGTTGGCAAATCGAGACCAAAATGGTGGCCAAAAGGTATACAACATGCTTTGTGTGGCACTACGCTGCTATGATCACTTCATATTTGCGAGAGCTCTATTCTGCGTCAGGGGCAAATGCTAACCCAGCAGATGGATGGCTTGGGTTCGGTGCATGCGCAATGGTAAGGCCCCATTTCTTAGGGGCCCCTGCATTGGGCCCCCTATTCTAAAAATTCCTAATGTGTAGAAATCAATACAGGTCCTGTGCTTTCTGTGCTTTACCAGCCTCAACACGTGGCTATGATAAACTGTGACGGCATACAATCGGCTCCAGATCACATGGTGACTCATTCTTGGGGTGCATGTCATTAGCTTTTCTCGAGTTCTTCCTGCTACTGCCATTGCTTGGAGAAGAGAAAAAAAAACAAAAAACGAATGCGCGTTTCGTAGGTTATGAACGTGGAATAATTCCAAGCAGCATTTTTCGAAAGTACAAAAATTGCCACGTCGCCCCTTTCAGCAACGACAACCTTGAACGAAACGTCGTCAGTGTCCTGTTGTCCGAGGTCTTCCCCAAGAAGCTGTCCCTGTTTGCGGACGTGGACGCCTGGGTCCAGACGTCGTGTCCCCGGCTGTCTATCGACTGGGGCCTTGCGTTCGAGAAGCCCATGCTGACGCCGTACGAAGCAAATGTGGCGCTGCGGTCGGTCGCCTGGCAGGACAGGTACCCCATGGACTACTACGCCAGGGACAGCCTGGGGCCGTGGACCCCGAACCACAAGCCACCCGCGGTAGAAATGCCGCGGAAGAAGTGCCCCGACTGCAGCTGTGGAACGTCCGGCTGAGAGATGCCCGGGCATGGCGACTGCGGTTGCCGACCAGGAGAGAGCGGCAGCGCGTCGCTTCGGGACGCCTCCAGCACGCACCCGTCGCCTTCCGGCTACGCGGGCGTGCTTGTGGTTCGCGAGACGTCAAAGCGTCGTCGAAGGTGGGAAGCACACACCGGAGGCGGGACAACCGAAAGACTTCCCTGCCGTTCCCGTGCCGTCTGCCACCGTACAGCGTGTCCCAAAAAAGAATTCACGCCGTTTTTTTCACCGCGTGAATAATCTATGCATTGCCAAACGCTCGTTCTCCCCGAGCCGTAGCGCCGGCGGTTCGAATGCCGACGTTTCGAAACTAGTAACCGTTATGTCAATCAAAAGTTGTAAGTGATTTTCTGAAAATCTCGATGGGAAAATGGGTCCCATATTCGGCTGTTTTCGGTGACTGGCACCGTTCAGCTCCGTGCATTCGAGAGCTTTGTCAGCCTCCATTTTCCTATTAAATATTTCAGAAAATCACCTAGAAACTTTTGTGTAGGACAACGGTTTGCTCTGAAACTTCAGCATCTGGTTTGGATTGCTAGCACTACATTTGGATGGAAAATGAGCGTTCGGCGATGCACTTTATTTTTTACGGTGAAAAAATCCCTGAAAATTTTTTTGTGAGACACTTTGTAGATAAGGATAGGCTGAGCCACGGAGGAGGAGGGGATGTTGCCAGAAGGAACTTCAGAAAGGATCCCCACAAAGATCCTTAGAGTCGTTGAGTCGTCAGTACAGTACAGACACCACAAGGGCACCATCATTATCATCATCATCACTGGAGCTGGGAAAGGGGTCACAGCACCAGCGATGATGATAATGCAATGCGTTTGTGGAGTCTTTACATTATTTTTGGGGAGAATCATACAGCGTGAAATGGGCCTTTATCGCAGAGAAATTAAATCTGCCGTTCTGTATATAATAGGAGATTCCTTTCTCGAATAAAGGGTCGTGAAAAGATTGGATGTGACGAGCGGATTTATTGCAGTTTAGTGGGAGGGTTCAATTCCAAAGGAAAGGTTGATACAAAGTTTTTGTTTGGTTCAATTCGGTGTGCATTTATGCACATAGAAGCCATTTCTTATTTCTTTTAATATCATCTGGTGTATGCTCATATACGCTTGCCTGCAACTTCATCATCACTTGAGTGGCACGTCATTTCAATTGCTGTGAATGCAATGACCGAGACAATGTGTTATTCACCATCTTTTCACAGAAATCAAGTTTGGGAGATTTTGGTACGAGTTTTGCAAATTTGTTAGCAGAAGCAAGCGCGAGCACTTCACTTGAAAGATCTCCCCCATCAAAGAAGTGATGGTCCTACCAATAGGTTTCAGTTATTTTCAATCGATGCGAATGACATTGTTGATGCCATAGACCCATCTGTGAGTATTAGACTATTTGCGGGCAATTTTTGGAAGTAAAACTTTACTGTCTTAATAGAAATTTGCTAGATGCAGCTCTCGGTGCTGTTCAAGACTGATGTAATAAATGGGATAGGAAATTAAACCTCGATAAAACTGTCTCTCTTCGTGTAACTAAGAAAAAGATACCTTCCATATTTTACTATCACATCAGAGATGTTCTTATTGTGGAATTCGATCCCTTGAAATACCCTAGAATCATCATCAGCAAAACCTTGATTTGGTCACACTATGTTAGTAGTGCTTCTTTGGCAACTTTCTGCAAACTCGATCTGGTTCGATATAAACTTCGAAACGCCCCTCCAAAAGTTGAATTACTCGCCTAAACTTCGCTCATTCCATGGGATCCATTTACCAAGAAACATTTCAACATTTTGGAGAAAGCTCAAAAACGTTTGTTTCATCTATGGAAAATTATATCTGTGCAGATTCCTCATCATTGCTAATGCAAACAAAAAAATACTGACTTTACAGCACCAGCGAAAACTAGCCTGATGGAATTTCCATCGGCCAGTCAATAACCAAGTTTTTAAGTTAGCTTTCAACGAAGTCAAACAAAAATATACAGACTTTACAGCACCGGCAAGAACTAGCCCAATGAAATTTCCATTGGCCCGTCAATAATAAGTTCTCTCTAAATCCTTGTTTTTAAGTCAGCTTTCAACTCTAACTCCCTATTTTGCACATACTAATTATATTTAATTTGTTATACTTGGACAGTAAATAAGTGGAATTTATTCAGATTTATGAGCGTCACATATTTTGCCAGTGTGAATACCACCCAAACTGATTCGATGGTGATGTTTCTTGTTTTGTGTCTGCACGTACGGACAGAATACTTGCAGCATCAGATAATGTTTGCCTTTTCATCGCAGCATTGATTGTCGCACTTAATGTATGCAAGATTTTTAGGTTCTTTTATTTTTTCCCATCCTGCCTGGACCCACGCGGTCTGCTGTATGCATCAAAAAAAAATAAAAAATCTTTGTACAGGACGTTTTTGTCGAACACCACTCGGATGTAAAAATTTTAGGTGGTGCATTTATTATACTGAAATTTTACGAGTAGGTTTCAGGAAAAATCTTAAACCTTAAAAATTCATTTTTCTTTCCTGTGCACAGGGATGAGAACGGGAAAAACTGTCTGGTTGACGCCGCTACTCGCAGTTGGCAGCACACACGCTAGGGAAAAAACATTGGTTACGTGGCGCAAATCGCAGCCCGATTCAAAGGGTTCAGCTGCATCCATCCATCCATCTGCTAGATTTGCTTTTGGGTGTTCCTCTCAATGCTTTCACATTTTGGCTCTATGTTGTGCCATATGTCAGTAGCAGCGTCAACCAGATAGTTTTTACCATTTTTCTCCATTGTGCATCGGAAAAAAAACTATATTTTCAAGCACAAGTGCTTTTTTTACTTGTATACACTTGCGAAATTTCAGTGCGACTCCACCCAAAGACGAATTTGCAGTTTCGTTGCTCTTGATGTCTTGTTCTATTGATACAATTTTTTTTTATATCCGAATGTTGCTTGAAAACACCCTGTACATATTGTGGGACACGGTACCTACCACAGTCGGCAAGAATTCAGTAGGTATGCCCCTGGCACAGACTTGTACATAACTCAAATACTTTACTCAGGTTACTGTATCTTTAATACTTTTAGGAGTAACTTTGTATCTTGCAAATATTTTCAAGTACTCAGTATTCTAACTTTAATACTTTTTAAGAGTAACTTTGTATCTTGCAAATATTTTCAAGTACTCAGTATTCTAACTTATACTTTTTAAGAGCAACCTGTACTCACATCTTCAGCTACTTGTAAGTTACTTCCACCTTTCTTCGAAGGACGAAAAAAAAATTACAAACTTCATTTCTTTAGTTTCGCAGCGGGAGCTCTCGCTGCAGCTTAGAGATGTGCGGGCGTGGTACAAGCACGCGCAAATATTCCTTCGAATAAGGACTAGATCCTGATAGGTCCTCTAAGCGGCGTGACCTAGATTCAGTTCCCTAGGCATCGCTTTTGTGTCCAGTGGGGCTTATCTTTTGCCCCCAAGTCAGCACAAAGCTTGTTGCCTCCCCTTTCTACTGGCGTTTTTTCATTTCGCCCAAGATAATCATCCAACACGGGCACTCTTGGGTGAAGGGCGTTTAGTACTCTACTCGGTTACTTTTTAGCCTGATATTCAGTAACTTAAATACTTTTGAGTGTGCTCCGGCACAGGTTTTCAAACTTCGATGACACTGCGGTGCATACAGGCCAAAGCACGACAAAAGACGATGAGCATGTGCTCGATGTGGAGCTTCTGAATGCTTAACCAACGTGTACAGAGTATGGAACTGCATGCCACACGGGGAGTCTGATTGAATAGCTGAAATAGTTTGTTCACTGTCACAAATTTTAGAGCGCAGCTCTTAGGGGCCCGTTTCCAGCCTGAGCGGCGTCGGCGTCGCCGTCGGCGTAACCGCGCCCCTCCCTCTTTTCCTCCTCCCCCTCACCTCCCCTCCTCCTCCTCCCCCTCCTTCTCCTCCTCCTCCCCTCATTGTGTAGTATGGTCCGGGCGGGTCACGTGACCTCGGGGGGAGGGGGTCACATGACCCGTTTCCAGCCTGTGCGGCGTCGGCGTCGCCCCTCCCCCTCCTCCTCCTCCCCCTCCGCTCCTCCTCCTCCCCCCTCCTCCCCCGCCCGGTAAAGGTGGTAAAGGTGAGGGAGGGGGAGCAGGAGGGGAGGAGGACTAGCAGGCATGATCTCGAGGGAGGAGGAGGAATGTACCCTCCACTCCTCCTCCTCAAGAGCTGCGCTCCCATTCGGCGTTACAGGAAGTTGTAAACGGCTTTCACTTTTTTATTTGTTTGACTATTGTTTGTACACAGGTCGCTGCCCTGAAAACTCTATTGCTATTTTCAGTTTTAAGGTTACAAAAACTAATAATTCATCCATTTCTGGGAATGCTTTGTTCCCTAATCTTTTCTCAAAACATACTGCAAAAATAGGCATGTTTGCAAAATCATTCTCTACAGTTTGGCCACCTTGAAGCAATTGCAGTGAATTGGCTACGACTTGACCTCCAAGACGATGTGCAGTGTGTTGCCGCAAAGAAACCCTCCATTGTCGAGTTTATCTGCAGAGCAGAGGGAACCCGTTCCACACCCTGTAGTCCAGGTTCCTCTCGGCTTCTGAAAAGCGGGTTGTTCTCGATGTAAGTCGGCATTAATTTTGTCGGAGATGTCCATTGACCGGCACTTAGGATGAACAATTTTGAATTCAAGTGATTTACTAAAAGGCCACCCAAGGTCCGAATCATTGCTGCCAGGATGGATACTGAAAAAACAGCCGAGATGGAGCTCTCCGTTCTCGTTCTTCTGAAGCTTAAGATGAAGACGAACCCTGTATCCAAAGGCATACCACGTGGGGCTGAGGGAGTCTGCAGAGCCACCTTTCATTGCTGTGGCCTTCATGCGAGCCCAGTCACTGGTGTACCAGTGATATGCCCTTTGCCCACAGAAATAAATGAATTCCCCGGACAGCCCTTTTGTGCATGCAATCAGCCGGTTGCTCTCTGCATGTAGTTTCTTAATCAATAGCTCTCTGTTGCTTGTCACAGTGGTAGACACTTTTTCTGTGCCCGTAATGAGCCGGTCGCTATGTGTACACAATTCCTGACTCACCAGCTCTCTGTTTCTGTTGCCGTCGTTCGTCACAACGACGGACACGTCGGCGACAGCTTTTTCAAGTGCCCTTTGTTCTTTGGTAAAGCCAGCAGCACAGAGTGCATTGAGGTCACCGATCCTGGACGCCTGATCTTCCAACAGCTGTATGCAGCTCACATCTGTTGCTCTGATGTCTTCACAGCACTGGTTCAAACTGGTTTTCAGCGACATTATCTCTTCGCCGATCCTTCCCATGGCTTGCTTCATCTCGAGGCAAGCTCTGGTGACTTCTCCGAGGTCTTGTGTGGTGGGATTGTGGGCAGGTTCAAGGGTGGCTTCGTCAATGCTGCAGCCACTCTTGAAGTGCTCCCAAATGTCGCCTTGCGACACTGCCGAGTGGCAGAGGCAGCAGGACACGATGCTGAAGTGGCACTCCTTGCAGTGGTCCAGGAGGCTGGCAGCAGAACCGATAAAGCAGCAGCCTCTAGGTGCGTTCCAGCAGGCAACCTTAGAACAATGAGACAACAACAAACACACCAACAAGTTACGCCATATTACCATATCAATGTCTATGCCAGCAACGCATGAACTAGTCAAAAAGCACTGCAGAAATACTTTGACGCCGGTCATAGTGAAAAACCAGAGACTACTTCCATTGTATCACAATCATGTGAACTGTGTTTGCCGCTTATAAAGATATTGCAGTAAATCATTAGGTAAACTCTGGCATACAGTACTTCTGGTTGTATTAAAAGGCAGCAAATAAGGATGAGCAGACATCTCGGTGAAAGCGATGAAAAGGTATAGTACCTCACCTTACGTTTCAAAATGTACTCAACAGAGACCTCCAGTTTCTCTACATCTTCTTCGCAAAAGGGTTCCTGGTCAACAGGGCATACACTTCCTTTGTCGACGCACTTTGCATGGCATTTTAAGCACAGTGTGTGCACGCAGGAAAGTCTGACTGCTTTCTTGTACACAACGCCGCACAGGGCACATGCTCTTTGTGCTATGATGGGCTCTTGAAACAGCACAGGCCTCCAGTCAAGGATGTCCAAGAAGCCTGCTACTCGGAAAGACACCGTCTCCACTCGGGCACGGGCGCTGTCCCCCATTCCGTTGCTTGTAGTCATGGAATGCTGCAAAACGCAAAGTAGTCAATTAAACCAGGACATCCTTCTGTAAAGCTCAAGTGTACATGGAAAAGAAAAAAATATGCTCTGCATTATATTAATTTTGCAGATCGCTTGTTTTGAAGACTAATGCAAAACAGTGGAAATCCCGCTTTGAGGGCTCGTGTCCTACGTCCCGCAAGAAATTCTCAAATCTTCAATATGTCCCGCATTTCATAAGTAGTAAAATTCACTCTGCAACTCATGGCGCTGCCGAACGTACGGGGCACGGGGAAGCGTGGATGTCGCTGGTAATCGTGTGAATCGCAATGGTATACACCATTTTCTATCCAAGCATTGTGGGAAGCAACCGTCGTTTTTGCAGGAGGCCCGACGCGCACGCGCCTCTCCCCTTGGCAAAATATTCTAAGAAGAATTGCTCACCAAAATTATCAATATAAAATATTGTAATTATTTTGAAATCACTATGTCAATGCGAAAGGGCTGCTGTGGATATTTGTTTTAGTGAAGGCAGCCACACGAGGCAAAAAGCCTACAACTCGCAACGGTCGAAAAACAACATAATGTTAAAAATTTGTGTAGGACCATGTTAATAAAAGTAAGCGTTGACAGGAAACAATAACCCGAAGAAAATTTACTGTTTTTATTTCCAGTTGATGCAATGAGTTCTGCTACAGTCGATTTTTATATTTTTCAACTTCGGCACATCAATAAGACATATAGCATAAAAGATATATCACTGGGAGTGAAAATTAATTGAGCTTAATTGCTGCAATACAATTAGAAGGTGTATAAGCAGCACAGGATATTAAATGCCCGGGTTCGTGGTGCCCGTGTTATTTCCTCTACCTACCTACCCCCCCCCCCCCCCCCCCCCTTGCGACTTTGTGGGCGACTGGGCCGACAGAGGATCTTTTCACTCGTTGGTCGCTGCTGCGGGACTCGGTCTCAAGAATTTGGTGGAAGAAAAGGTACTCGGTCGTTCCCTCTATGGACGAAGTGGAGCAATGTCCGGACGGAAACGTGGTCACAGTGAATGCAGCGGGAGCTCACCAGAATTTAAAAAGCTCTACGGTAGCAGCGTCGAAAATTTTATCAACCAGGCCCTCTACTCCGGAGAGCGAGCCAGGGCAGATAGCACCACCAGTAACCAGGAAAAAGAGCAGTCGCAAGCCTTGCGGAATGAAGAAGGAGCCGGCATTGGAAGTAATGCTGCGAATGACGGAGTCGTCAAACAGCAGATTTTGCGCATCCCCCGAGACAAAGGAATGGTTCGGGTGCATCGTGACAGTAAACTACTTACCACCTGGGGCTATGTCACAGTGATAACCGAGATTACCTATGCACACAGCTACAAGTACAAGGGCTACCAGACCTCGATCAGCAGACTACCCGTCGAATATCTGTACCTCTACATGACTCCGGCGCATTTCAATATGCTATCCGACAACACCAAGGCCATCAAGTGCAGTGCCAAAATTACACCGCACGGCATTCGCACTCCTTGGAAGACTGGGAGCAGCGTCGTACAACCCGTCAATTCGGACATGATGGTATACGGCGTGAGCGCAGTGGGCCTTAACCTATCTCTGGACACTGGCATGTGCGTTCCCGGTCCCGGAGGCGCAGACAATGCCATGTATACATCCAACCCCACAGAGTTTAAAGACGCGGACCACAGACACCTCATTGAAAAATATTGGGGCATGAGCATGGACGAAAACCTGATCATGACAAAGTCGGACAAGATATACCAACGTGTATGGGTGTTCCACGCCACAACAAGTGCTATGACTTTATTCACTGTGCTAACTTTGCTCCTCGCACCAACAAGTTTGTCAACGTGTATCCCTTCAAGAGCCACATTGGAACACCCATCCAGTGTTGCGGAGTTGCCACTCCGGAGTTGGAATGATTCCGGAATCATTCCGCATTTTCGCGACCCCGGAATGGAATGGGAATGGAATGGCGGCAACGTTCAGGGGAATGGAATGGGAATGAAATTAGATGCCTTTTGCCCGGAATGGAATGGGAATGGAATGGGCCAGGTTCTTTATATTTTATTTATTTATTTATTTTTTACGTTCAGCCATACCGAGCCAGTCAGGGAGTCGGTTGTTCAGAAAAATGAGCGGGAAACTGCGAACCCGCGTAAGGCCCTAACAGACTTATGCGCAAAAGAAAAAAAATGCAATACAAAAAAACAAGCGTCAAAGCAAAGAACATAGGGGGGGCGACGGCGGTGGCGCCTTTCACCAGTGAAGTTCAACACATATCCGAATGCGTCTGCGCCTGTAATATTGCACGGCTCAAGGGTACGTCATCAGCCGACGCGAACGTGACCTGCTGCTCTGGTGATCCGACACCCAGGAAGGAGGCCAGACGTGGCCTCGCTGTGCGGACCCAGACTTCGTACACTTTCGACTCGTCTCGAGCGCGCTGTTTCTCGAAGAGCTCGCACCTGTGCCGGCCATCTAAGGTCGCAATCCACGAGGTCTCTGTTTGAATGATGCTAGGCGAAACTTGAAGACTGCCATTCATGCGTTGGAGGCGGAGAGTCGGCAGGAAGGACCGTCACAACAGGGATGCCACCGTATCGATTTTTCAACCGTAACAGATGATAATGCATGTGCTTCAGGGTGCTTCAGGTGGTCCACTTTTCTCGAAAATTCCAAATGCAACTGCGTGCATGGTCTTCAACGAGGTCTCCTACAACGAAAGTATGTATTGTCCTTTCATACAGCAGCGTGGGTAAAGCTTCATGTTCAAGGCAACACCTACAGATTCAAGAATACTACAGGGTGAAACAAGGAGACGCCAGGCTCTTTAAATCGACCGCAAAATTCGGTTTCTTAACCTATCGCGCTACGACTTTGTGCAGCGTTGCCCACAGATGGTGCATTTTTTTTTTATAAAATTTGCAAAGAGCGAATTTACCTTAGAAAAAATTAAAGAAAGAAAAAGGCTTAGCTCCTATGGAAACGCAGCGACGCCACTTGTCTCAAAACAACACGGCGCCGTTTCGCACGGGAGACATGAGATGGCGCAAGCGGTAGCGACGCCAACTGCCGCCAACGAACGAGCAGACGACGCCGAGAGCCGGCCCTTTAGCAGACAAGGAACTGCAGTTCCTTGCTGTTACCGCGCCTGTCTTTTTTGTTTCTGCGACTGTCGCCGCCTGCGGAACGCGCGCCGCTTTTGAGTCGAAAAGATCGTCTGCTAAAAAGGCCTGCTCTCGGCGCCGTATGCTGGTTCGTTGGCGTAAAGCCCCTTGATAAAGACGCTTTTTACAAGTACCGCCAACCATTGTTGTGGAACCGCGCGAGACACGTGTCACGAGCGGGTGCTCCGCCGCCATTCGCTTCCTAGGGCCGCTCATTTCAGTGCTGCGCCGCCATTCGCTTCTAAGGGCCGCTCGAGACGAGGCTCTCGTGCACTCGCGCATTTGACGCTACTTGCACGCCAAACACAAACATATCAAGGGGCTTTACCAGGCTTTACGTTGGCGTAAAGCCCCTTGATAAAGGTGTTTTCACAAGTACCGCCAACCATTGTTGTGGAAATGCGCAAGACACGTGCCACGAGCGCGTGCTCCGCCGCCATTCGCTTCCAAGGGCCGCTCATTTCAGTGCTGCGCCGCCATTTGCTTCCAAGGGCCGCTCGAGACCTGGGCCACGTGCGCTCGCGCATTTGGCGCTACTTGCAAAGACAAACGAAAACATATCGAGGGGCTTTACGTTGGCGGCGTTTGTTGCGCCATCTCTTGTCTCCCGTGCGAAACGGTGCCGTGTTGTTTGCAGACCGGTGGCGTCGCTGCGTTTCCATAGGAGCTAAGCCTTTTTTTTTCTTTACTTTTTCCTCAGGTAAATTCGCTCTTTGCAAATTTTACAAAAAAAAAAAAAAATGCACCAAGGCTGCACAAAGTCGTAGCGCGATAGGTTAAGAAACCGAATTTTCCGGTCGATTTAAAGAGCCTGCCGTCTCCTTGTTTCACCCTGTAGTTCATCCCACCGTGACGTCATGTGATCAGTGCTTACAGGGGCGCCCTTATTGGACAGGGGGATGTTTTGATGGAATTTATTTTTGAGGTCGAAGTATTTTCGCATCACTGGTCAGTCAGACAGGATGACAGGGAAGGGACCGCGGTTAATCCTTGATGGAGCGTTTTTTAAACCCACTGAGAACTCTTCGTCCGCAACCACTACCTTAAAGACAAAGTGCCAAGCCTGCAAAAAGGTAATTTCACAAAACAAAAAAAAGAAACTTCCCTTCAGACTTAAAGCCTCATCTCAGTTGGCATCTCAAAGAAATTTGAAAAATGTATTATCAGTATTTATATTTCTGCCTTCCCTAAAGTGTATTCTTGTATTTGTATTTCCAAAGACTTTTTGCCTCTTTTTAAAATATATTTCCGATACGTATCACGATACATTTTTATAGATATATTTAATAATAATAATAATAATAATCTTTATTTGCAAGAGCAATGTAACCCCGGGTGGCTTGCGAGGCGATGACAGAAAGGCGAGAGCCCGTACACTAGAGTGCCTGTCAGCCAACCACCCGGGGCATGAAATAACAAAACAAACAACAATAACAGAGAACGAATAAAAACAAAATGAAACCGAACACTGATCATGGCGTAGAATCAGTTTAGGTGCTTTGACCGCGAAAATGCACGGCGCAAGGCAGCGGACTCGTCACGGTTGTTGGGGAGTGGAGATCGAATCGGCAGGGGGGCCGCAAGAAAGTCTCTGAGGGCGGCGGGGAGTACAGAGTGCGAGTGGCGCACTGTTCGGGCGTGCAGGAGTTCTGGCTGCCCGGATCGCTTCCCGATCCTGATGCATGAGTGGAGGTGGGTATCACTCATGGACCCGTCGAGCAACCTACAAAGGAGCCCAACCCGAGCCACTGTCCGGCGGTGGCAGAGGCTTTGCCACCCAAGGGCCCTAAGGCGAGCTTCATATGGCGGCACAGGAACTTGCCGGCCCAACATCCGAGAATAAAGTGTTCGAGTAGCCCGGCGCTGCACGCCCTCCAGCCTGTCGATGAGGTGAGCCTGGAAGGGTCCCCACACGGAGCAGCAGTATTCCAGACGAGGCAGGACTAAGGCAGTGTAGAGAGCGCGGAAAGTTTCATGTCCCCAGTTCCTTGAGACACGTGTGACAAAGCCAAGAGTCCGCCGGGCCCTGGACACAGTGTCTGCAATCTGAGGTGAGAAGTCCAGAGTTGAACTGAACACAACCCCAAGGATTGGGAGAGACTGAACACTAGGAATGGGAGAGCCTGACAAGTGGTATGCAGGAGGAACGGTGGAACGGCTGTTGGAGACTCGCATTGCAGCACTTTTGTGGAAGCTAATTGAGAGGCAGTTTGTTCTTGCCCAGCAGTCAATCTGGTCCAGGAGACTCTGGACACCCGGCGTGGAGGAGGGTACGTCTGCTGGGGCCAGAATGGTGGTGTCGTCTGCATATTGCACCAGCAGACACTCTTGCGATGAAGGCATGTCGTTCACATACAAGAGGAATAGTGTGGGCCCCAGTACTGAGCCTTGGGGTACCCCTGAGGTGACAGCGAACTCATCGGAGGCCTTCCCATGGAACAATTTCGCCGGTGGGAGCGACCGATAAGAAAGCGGCTCAGCCAGAGCAGCAGGGGGCCACGAATACCGGACTGTGCAATTTTCTGGAGGAGGATAGAGTGGTCGAGGGAATCAAAGGCGTTGCACAGGTCTAGTTGAATGATATCAGTTGGGGAACGGTTATCCAGGTTATTGCTTATGTGGTGAACAATAGTAGCGAGAGCTGACTCACAGCTTCGGCTGGGTCTAAAACCATGCTGGGAGGCAGAAAGAAGGCCGTTGTTGTCCAGAAAGCGAAGAAGGTGCTGGTTGATGGTGCGTTCGAAAGTGCGGCAGAGGATAGAAGTAATAGAGATGGGCCTGTAGCTGGAAGGGTCGTTGAGAGGTTTCCCTTTACCCTTGTGAACTGGTGTCACAAGGGCCTTCTTCCACGCGGAGGGCACGTAGGAGTGGTCGAGAAAGGATTGGAAAAGTGAGAGCAAGGAGAAAGATAGGTAAGGGAATAGGGACTTGATGAAAGTAGGGGCGAGCAGGTCAGGCCCAGCACAGTGGGAGGGCCGGATCAGTCGGGCAGCTTCATGCAGGTCGTCGAGAGACAAGCACAAATTTGGAAGGCAGGTTACAGGTTGGGAGGTGGAAGCTTCGATAGTCTGCACAAGAAGGTCGGGATCTGGAGTAGAGGAGTTGTGGCTGAAAGCAGAGGAGAACTGTGAAGCGAAGAGTTGGGCTATGTCCCTGGGAGACGTGATGGGGTGATGGTCTCTGGAGAAACAGGGACGCTGTCGGCTAGACTGAAGCCCATTGAAATACTGCCAGAACAGCTTAGGGTCCTTTTTTGCCTTCATAGAGATGGTGTGGGCGTAAGCACTGTGAGCACGAGAGATGGCAGACTTGATTGAGCGCTGCAAATCTTTAGCACTCTGAAGTGAAATCTGGCACTGTGTACGAGCGGCACGTTTGAAGAGGGCTCGTTTCTGGCCAGCCATTTTCCTGATTTCGGGGGTGATCCAAGGGGACCTCTTCCTTCGCGTGGAACTGCGCGAGCAGGGCACACATTCTTTCTGGATGGCGCCAACAAAGTCGCACCAGAGTTCGTAGTTGTCAGCGCAATCGTCCCCAGTGGTAAGACACCAGGGTGCAAGATGGGCTAACTTAGCCATATGGGCATGGTCGGTCCGATAAAAGTTCCAGAGTCCGTGCGAACCGGCCTTTCCGAGGGAGACAAGTGGCATACTCAACCTCTATTGCTTGGTGGTCGCTCCCGGACAGGCCAGGATACACGTCACAGGAGAGCATCCGAGTGATGTCTGTGGTAAAAACCAGATCGAGAAATGATGAGGCACGGCCCTGCGCAAGCTGGGCTTGGTAGGTGGCAGAGCGGCACACTTGTTGGAGGCCCACAGCAGATGTGACGTCAAGGAGGGTATCATCGGTGAGGTCGCTAGGATAAGGTTCTTGGCGGCTCCACCAGTCAATATGGGAGTTGAAGTCGCCAAGGAGGACGACATCCTTGTAGCACTCGAATCTCACGCGAGAGAGCGAAGCGTCCAAGAGTGAGTACGATTCTTCGCGGCGATTGGGTGGGCAGTACACACAAGCAAGCAGAACAGTCCCACGCGGGAGGAACACCTCCACGAAGACAGCTTCGAGGTCAGAGGACTCGAGATCCTCCCTGCGATTAACGCAGAGACTGGACGGTGTTGCGATGAGTACACCACCACCCTTCCCGTGTCTGTCCTTCCGGAACACCGTACGTGTAAGAGGGATCGAAGAGCTCGCTGTCGTGGACCCCGGGATCGAGCCAAGTTTCGGTTAGGAGGATGACGGCAGGACGTGCAAGTGATGCGACAGTGGCTTGGAGGTCGAAAATCTTGTTTTTGACACTACGGCAGTTAGTGTACCATAGCGTCAACCCCTTGTTGACACCAGAAGGACGGGTCTGGTTTCCGGCACCGACCCGACGGCCGTCCGCGATGTCGGGGGTTGGCGACGGTAAAAGGGGGCTTGGAGCTTTGCTAGGGACGTCGAAATAATCGTCCGAGAAGTGCGGCAGCGAACACACCATGCACAACCACGGATCGCTGCAGGAGCCCAGTCGGCGGTATTGTGGTATTGTCGCCAGCGACATGTGGACGCAGCCGCGGTGAAACCACCCCTCACAAGTGTCACAACAGAGAGCGGCTTGGTTGTCCCGTACCCGCTTCGTGCAACAGGCGCAAATAGTTTGCTGCGGACCCGGGTTGGGAGCGATATCGCCTGCGAGAAGCAGGCACCAGACAATGTGGTGACGAGGAGTGTGCATCGTGAAGCCAGCGGCGGAGGACCGACGGCGATCCGGCGAGTAGCCCGGCCGGTTAGGCCTAAGCGACGTCGTAGCCCCAACGGCAACCCAGCTGGAGAGGTGTGGGTAGGTCTGCAGACGGGTCAGGGGATGCCTGGAACGCTCATGAGTCTCGAGGCCCGAGAAGTCGTCTAGACGTAGCTTGAGTAGCGCAACAAAAATAAGGCAGAAGCGGAGCCGCGAAAACGTGCGTGCGGACGCCATGCTGTTACAGTGCAAACCATGTATTTGAGAGGTACAAAGTTGTTCTTCTTTGTGACTTGAGTATCAGTAGCTTAGCAACTATTTTCATCTACCCCAGTATTTGTATTTCCGAATACTTTTTTGAATATTTCTGCTCAACCCTGCAACGTAATGCAGCTGTCAAGTGACACTTTTAACGTTAAGGAATTGGAGGAATGGAATGGAGCGACTCAGCCATTCCAGGAGTGGGAATGGGCCCAGTGTCCCCATTCCTAGGAGTTGAAAGGAATCGAATTATCGAAAACTCTAATTCCCCGGAATGGAATTGGAATGGAATGGGGGTGCCCATTCCGTAACACTGCACCCATCATCAACTACGAGTACGAGTTTCAAAACGCTTGGATCAAGACTTGTCCACCGTATTGCGGCAACAGCAGGACCTATGTTGCAGCACCGGCCGACAGCCTGACCAAGACGGCCTCTAGCCTGGACAACAACAAGGAGAGCCCTCCAGGTGTTTCCTCGCCAACCAAACTCTCCCCAAACACGGAAGTTACATGGTACACCAACCCAATCGAACGTGAATGGGGCCGCCAGGGACTCGGACCTCATCCCAACTTGCACGCTGCTCAACCTAGTGTGGGTTTCGGCATCATGGCCGTATCTAAAAAGAATCTGGACCAACCGGGATCGGGGACAAGTTTCAAGAAGTTGCTGCCTTTTTCCAGGTCGACACTGAAATTGTGCTGCACACGGATATCGACACGATTAATCCCATGGATTAATCGTGTCGATATTTTTTTTTTTTTTTTTTTTTGATACAGTAAGTCCAGGTCAAAAGCTACCTACCTACCTACCTATCTATGTAGTATATCTTCATCTGTACTGGACAGCAATGTCTTATGTCATCTTATGAGTATTCATTATTTTACCTTAACGGCCGCACACATACATGAGACCGCATGACAGGTCAGTACTTTTGTTCCCTTCAACTCAATTTTAAACATTTTGAAGCAACCCAAGACAGGGATACGAAAGTTGACACCGGAAGAGGTCTCAAAAGTTCAGGCAGTTCAGGGTTATATGGCATGCCACGGTTCGCAAGTGACACTTGTATCGGTAGAAAACACTTGGTAGTCAGTAAGGAAGAGCATATCATACAAGTTGCCTTGTTTTGTTTTTGCAGGCAAAAATATTCCAGAAGCCAGGAGACGCCATAACAATAAGGCTCAGAGAACTTCACTCGTGTGCCTTTTAATACAATGTGATGTTATCAAACATTCTCATAGTACCGCCTCCGCCAACAGCACACTCTCAGAAGGTTTCAGGTTCGTGCGATGCGTTGTTTATTTACGGAGCCCGAAAAACAGGGTTTTCTTTTTCTTTTCGAACACCGGAATACATGAACCCTCGTGAGGTAGGACGAGTTAGAATTGAACACTGAAAGTTTACGTTTCTAAATCACTGCGAGAATAAAGAAGGTTGCACTTACCTTCGACGTTTGCAGACCCGCTAGAAAGCGAAAAGCATAACTTTCAGGGCGCCGAAAATACACAAGGACAAGATACAAGAAAGGAGACGTGAACAAGGCGCACTCGCAACTAGCGTTTATGAAAAAACCACTCTCTTATATACTCATGGAAAACAACACAGTCATACTACACAGTCATACTACACAGTCATACTACGTCCGGTGTAGCCCCCTTCGTAGAAAAGTGTGCTCTTTTGCCGATAGTGACACAGACGTGTCACTAATGCAGTCCTTGCCCTTTTCTTTTATTTCGAAGGCCTCGTGCAGCTCCCTCGATATCCGATCGGCGTATCTGGCCAAAAACCTCGTGTCACTAAATGACGGTGTGCAGGAGCAACGGCTGCAGTGCGTGGCGATCGTGTCCCGACGGGGTAGCCCGTGTAGCCGCAGCATGTTCGCGGGCGCGATCATTAAAGCATCTGCCCGTTTGGCCAATGTACGATGCTCCGCATGACATGGGGATTTCGTATATGACGCCCGTAGCACATTCCGTGTACCTGTTGCGGTGCTTCGTATTGCAAGGATCTGCTGACTCACGGGGATTGTTGATTCTGCGACACAGTCTCGATAGTTTGTTTGGTGCGGAGAACACAATAGGCACATCGTACCTATCAGCAACCTTTTTAAGATTGTGGGTTAGTGAGTGTACATAGGGGATTACCACCGGCCTCACTGCTGCTCTTTCACGGGGCTGCCTCCGTGTGCCTTTGAACTTTTTTATTAGGGTTTCCGCTACATCCACCAGAACTCTCTGCGGGTAGCCCGCTTTTTGCAACCTCGCTGCCTGTCTCGTGAAGCTCGCTTGAGCGGTGTGTGCGCACGATCTTCTTAGTGACGCCTCGAGACAACTAGATGCAATTCCTCTTTTTACAACTTTCGAATGGGCCGAGCTGAACGGAAGGATACCCTTCTTAGAGCGTGGCTCATATGTCCAGCATATGTGATTTTCTTCAAGACTTAGCCTAAGGTCCAAGAACTGTATATGCCCGTTCACTGGCTCTTCATGTGTGAACGACAACCCATCCCCGCATGACCTAAAAATGTCAAGCACTTCTTCAACCCCGCAGCTCGGTGCGTCAGCGGGTCTGCCGAGGACAAGAAAGTCGTCCACATATCTGAAGATGCGACACCGGTTCGCGTCGCCCAACCTCTCGGCAATCTTTCTTCCGCACACACTTAAAAAAATATTGGACAGTATCGGCGCAACACATGACCCGATGCATATTCCCCTCTTCTGCACATACATCTCTCCCTCAAAAGGGACAAACATGCTCTCTAGGTAAAATGCCAAAAGTTCCAAAAAATGATCAACGGAAATGCCACAAGAGGCTTGGAACGGTAGAACACCGTTTCGTTCAATGCACTCTCTGACAGACTCAAACAGGGGCTTGTGCTCAATCGAATAAAACAGATCAACAACGTCGATCGAAAAAGCGCTGCGCATGCCGTGTTCTTCATCACTCAGGTATTCGATAATGCAGTCTGAATTTCGCGCAAAAAACGGATCATGCAATTCCAGCAAGGTCAGATACTTGCTAAGGTAGCTGGCAACACGAGCCTGCCATGACCCCCTCTCCGTGACAATAGCCCTGAAGGGGATATCTGTCTTGTGTGTTTTCGCGGTGAAGAAAATGTCAAGTTGAAGGTTCTTACTGGACTTGGCACTCTTTAGCAGTCCCGTTAGTTCCAATGCACCACACATTTCAATGGCGCGGGATTTCACCTTGGCTAGTGGGCCTGGTCTCACTCATTTGAAGTTCTTCTGGATGGCTTCCCTTGCTTTGGTCTTGTAGAGGGCTTCAGGCAGGACCACGAAGCCTCCTTCTTTGTCCGAAGTGAGGAGCTTGAGGTTGTGCTCCAAAAAGTGGTCGACGATGGTGTTGGTCTTGAACTTCCTAGTCGTTTTGCCCTCAAGGCGTTGCAGGACATCCACGCCATCGGCTACACACCTTTCTCTGTCTTCGGGTTTGGCTTTGTCTCCCATCCATCTGATCAGCGACAGCTTTAAAACGGGATTCATGCACGGTTCCTGGCTGTACTTCGGCCCTTTATCCAAGCAGTCCTTGATTTGCTTAGGCAGTGTTACGTCTCCAAGCACAGTTACCTCCTGCTGCCCACCTTCGTTGCGTCTGGTATTCTTCGCCAGCCTCATTCTTGTTTGCTGCCAGAAGACCTCCGTGTACTGGGCTGCTGTCCGGAGGTGGAGTTTGTAGTTTCTTTCAGCGCTGCTCTCTTTCACACTGAGGGCGTGGCACTTGATCCTTAGGACGTCTCTGTACCTTCCCACCTGCTTCCAAGACTCCGATCTCAGGATCCTGCATATCCTCTTGGCATGGCCAGTCGAAGGTTGTGCTCCGTTGAAGAGGGCGACGACTTCGCGCGGGTAGCATCCGTGCCGGATGGCATAGCTGTATTGCCTGGCGCGGCAGCACTCTATCGCAATTAAGTTAATAAGGGGATACACTGTATGGTAGGTGGTGGTAGAACATAGAACAGAGCCCGATGTAAAAGAAATGTACTGCATTAGAATGGCAATCTGGGCTAGTTGGTTCATGATAACTTTCAGGGCGCCGAAAATACACAAGGACAAGATACAAGAAAGGAGACGTGAACAAGGCGCACTCGCAACTAGCGTTTATGAAAAAACCACTCTCTTATATACTCATGGAAAACAACACAGTCATACTACACAGTCATACTACGTCCGGTGTAGCCCCCTTCGTAGAAAAGTGTGCTCTTTTGCCGATAGTGACACAGACGTGTCACTAATGCAGTCCTTGCCCTTTTCTTTTATTTCGAAGGCCTCGTGCAGCTCCCTCGATATCCGATCGGCGTATCTGGCCAAAAACCTCGTGTCACTAAATGACGGTGTGCAGGAGCAACGGCTGCAGTGCGTGGCGAGGTGTCCCGACGGGGTAGCCCGTGTAGCCGCAGCATGTTCGCGGGCGCGATCATTAAAGCATCTGCCCGTTTGGCCAATGTACGATGCTCCGCATGACATGGGGATTTCGTATATGACGCCCGTAGCACATTCCGTGTAAGTACCTGTTGCGGTGCTTCGTATTGCAAGGATCTGCTGACTCACGGGGATTGTTGATTCTGCGACACAGTCTCGATAGTTTGTTTGGTGCGGAGAACACAATAGGCACATCGTACCTATCAGCAACCTTTTTAAGATTGTGGGTTAGTGAGTGTACATAGGGGATTACCACCGGCCTCACTGCTGCTCTTTCACGGGGCTGCCTCCGTGTGCCTTTGAACTTTTTTATTAGGGTTTCCGCTACATCCACCAGAACTCTCTGCGGGTAGCCCGCTTTTTGCAACCTCGCTGCCTGTCTCGTGAAGCTCGCTTGAGCGGTGTGTGCGCACGATCTTCTTAGTGACGCTTCGAGACAACTAGATGCAATTCCTCTTTTTACAACTTTCGAATGGGCCGAGCTGAACGGAAGGATACCCTTCTTAGAGCGTGGCTCATATGTCCAGCATATGTGATTTTCTTCAAGACTTAGCCTAAGGTCCAAGAACTGTATATGCCCGTTCACTGGCTCTTCATGTGTGAACGACAACCCATCCCCGCATGACCTAAAAATGTCAAGCACTTCTTCAACCCCGCAGCTCGGTGCGTCAGCGGGTCTGCCGAGGACAAGAAAGTCGTCCACATATCTGAAGATGCGACACCGGTTCGCGTCGCCCAACCTCTCGGCAACCAACTAGCCCAGATTGCCATTCTAATGCGAAAAGCATAAACGCGCACCGACAGTCAAGGAGGACCCTTGCCGACAGAGACGTTGAAAAATGCGTCAGAAGTAGGCCGGAAGAAAAAAACACGGTGAAAAGAACGTGGCGACCTGGCTTACGGATTGGCGATTGGCTTTCGACTTTCGTGCGTTGGGCCGTTGGGCACGATGTAGTTTCGGTTTCAGTGCGCTCATGCAGACTTGTACACGTTACTGAAAAATAGTAAGAAATTACATTTACAATTACTCAAGGCTAAATTGTAATTTATTACAATTACAATTACCCTTTTATTAAAGTAAGTGACCGTTACCCCCGAAAAGTAATCCGTTACTTTCGTGGCGTTACTTTCAACATTATTGTCCTCAAGTAGGAAACAAAGGGAAAGGGCTCTCCAAGTATTGTTGCCACCTGTTTCATTTATTGACCTTGAGTATTTTAGGCAACTGCTGGCTCTCAAAAGTCTCGTCAGACATTTTGCATTATTTCTTACTCAATAGGGAGTTTTAGCAGATCGTTTTTTCGCCCCACTAACGATACCTCCCCTCCTCCTCCCTCCCTCCCCCCCCCCCCCCCCCCCCCCCCCCCCCCCCCCCCCCGGTGGCCTTGAGCATTCATCGTATCGTTATCGAGCGTCGTTATTGGGGTGAAAAAACGATCTGCTAAAACTCTTTATTATGTCGATTGCTACGCTCAACACCATATGAACTGAGGCACTGCATGCGAGTGCCATATTTTCCCTCGCGAATGTTTCATACCCTGCATTGAGCTTTTTCGGCGAAACAATGGAAGTACCATTTACCTTGAAGAAAGAGCAAAGCTTCGTCATTGCAGTCGTTGCCTGATATTCGAGTTTCAGTAGATCGCTGATACCTCCGATACCCCCGATAACGATATGATCCACGCGCAAAGGCGGCAGTCATCGGACCGATCTACTAAAATTCTCCATTATCGAAATCGCGAAGCTGTAGAAGTCGTTATACATCTAGCCAAAACTGGAATAAGAATTGAATTATGTCCATCTTACTACACCGGCATATATTGCCAAACACTAGCAAAACATAGTTGTAACAGTAACGTGCTAATTAAATAATAAGTAAAATTTCGCTCGCTATTCCCATTCCTTTGGTTCTGAATAGTTCTAGCCTCGGTTGAGACCAACGAGGTTGGTTGAGACGTTTGTGAATAAGAAAAAACGTTTCCAATATATAAATATAAGTAATCCAGAAAAAAAAAAAAAAAAAAAAAAAACACTAGGAC